GTGCGGATCATGCTGTTCGTTGCACGAAATAAATGCTGCCCTTGGCCCCTACTCATTCACTCTGACTATGCTAGTCTCGACGTAGAGGAATGGCCCGATTTTGACAGTGAAGGATCTTTTCTCCAGGAAGATGTAAGGAAGCAGGTGTTGAGCCTTTTTGTGCGCTTCTCGCTTAATGAGGAGCGGTGCCTTGTTAGGAGGCGGTTCCCGAATAGGATATCAACCTAGCATTGAGTGAGCTAAACCAAGGGCGATGTTAAAGTTTCCAGAGGATGTTGCCTCTTTCCAGTGTCGTTTAATATGATTTGCATAGCTATATATCCATTCTCAATCATCAGGTTAACCCATGTTATTTGTTCTCGCTTATTTAAAAGGCCAAATAGAAATTCTAGAACCGAAAGGACATTCTAAATATCTATTGCAGCTTGAACTTGGCTGTCTTTGATAAAATGTTTTTTTAATTGCTGCAGACAATTCTTTTACTGTCGAAGAGGTGATAATAAGCAGAAGTGTGGGTGTAGTAATATGTTGCTGGTGAAATAATAGACGGACGCCTATCAGGGTTTATAATGTAGGCCTGATTTCCATACTACAAAAATTAGACAACGGCGCCATCCATGAATGAGATGCTGTCTAGATATAATTCCGTGATATTTGAGTTCCAGGCGTTGTTAAATGGTCTATTACTGGTGTTGAAAGAAAGCCGAGAAACAGAACAAACAGTTCAGGGGCGTCAAAGCACTCTTGCAAACGAGATCACCAAATGTAAAGAGTAGTACCTATCCGAGCTGTAAAAAGACATTCCATCCTGCAAAGACACCAATCCAAAGACCTAAATCGATTGCCGTTTCCGTCACAGCTTCAGGTATCTCAAGAGTCAAACCTGGAAGTTTATAGGAGGAAGATAAATATTCATACTACGACATATAGATTGTATAATATAGGTTTATCATCTCAGCTATATGTTTCAATAATCTACCTCCGTACCTAGGTAGGTACTCCGATGAATCAAGTCTCAGTAAACCTTTTTAAGAGGTTTCGCACTGCCCAATGAGCAGACTTAGATGCTCTAACAAATATATGTGGCGTGCAGTAGTTCAGCATCCTCATCGCCAAGGAGTGCCACGATTGCTGGTTGAACCACTAGGGCATATCTGAAGAAGCCACAATAAAAAATTTTGATTCGTAGGATTGGCGTCGATTATGAACATTGGGGTAATTTTGATGACGAAGAGAGAAGCTGTACTGCTGTGATCATGTGATCTGGAGTGCTATTACATAAGTCACACGTGGAATAAATCACGTGATGATAGTTCCAATTACATAATCATCACGTGTCAAGAACACCGACAAATGATTTGCGCTGATTTCATGAGATCACCGTCTAGAGAACGAGTTGAAAAGACGATCCTAGGTGGCATGCACCCGACTTTGGCTCGATTTAGAGAGTAAATAGTATGCACTTACAAACAAGAAACACGGAGTACTGTGCACCTACGCACTAGTTCCGACTATTCACTAGTGCGGAGAAGACGATGAAACAGCGCACGCCGACGGAAAGCGAGAACGAGGCTACGTCGATAGCTTCAGCCTTGACTTTCAGCCATCGCTGTAAAGGAGGGGGGTCTGCAAGACGGAACCCGAGTCAGGCCACAATTGCATGTTGAAATGGGAAACTGTTAAAACTTGCAAGGAAGGGACTATCACTATGGAGCAGGAATCCTGATAGGGAACTCGTGGACACTGGAGATTCTGGAACTCTGGAGTAGCATCGTGTCCATGGTTTTATGGAGTAAAGAAAAAGGCTGAGAGGGCCAATCGGGCATGTGGAAGTTCTGTTCCTTCGGCATTCGGCTCGGCATGGATCATTCAATTGTGCACTAAGGTATCTGGTCTCATCATACATACAAGGAACAAGTACGAGTATGTACAACAGTCGTATAGTGCAGGGAGTATGGTTATGGAGGCTAACTACGGAGGATAGTCTAGTAGCGGTGATAAGAGTTTTCGCGGCCTGCCGAGACGGTCGGGATGCGGATGCCGATTCTTACAAGGTTTTTTCGGTGAACTAGAATTAATTTCCATACGCAGGCTTGTTCCTGGGACACAGTCCGGGATTACCCGTACTACGGGCAGTGTCTATATCCGAATTGTCTTCGCTGTATTTCCCAAACTAGTCTATAGGTGCTCCATAGCCACTCCACCGCGGTGCGTGTGTCTAAGTATGTTGCGTGCGAACCTCGAGTGCCTTGCATGTGAACAACACAGGAGAATGGGAGATAAGATATAGCATGTGAAGGTTGCTCTGTACAAATATTTGTCTTCTCGGTCTAGAACTGATCAACAACAAGAAGTGTACGTGCGTAATGATAGTTTGTCTGTAGGTACGAGGCATGTGAGCGGATAAACAAATCATGATTCATCGATACGCAAAGTTCCATGAGGGGTCCAGATTGTCTGACTCCGACCTCTTTGATGTCATCAGCCCCAGGTTTGTGTGTGTGTCAGGCAACGCCTTTCCCCCCCTCCCACCTCATCAGCTGAAACCTCCGCTGAAAGAGGAGGCTCTACATATGTGTCACAATGTTGTTGCAAGATTGTGCCATGTGTGATAGGCCGCATAATATAAAAAATAAATAAATAATGGACTTGCCGCGCGACTCGCGGGGGTAAATGGGGGGAACATTCCAATTCTTATATGATAAGCACGTAAGGAAAGCAAGTATAAATACAGTACGGTATTTACCCCGGATTCGCGGGACGTTTTCCCCGGGCGAAAGATATTATCCAAGGTTCTTTCTCTACAGAAGAGCAAGAGGCCAAATATGAGCAGTACGGAGTATACTCCGTGCCATAGTATGTAGAACTGACGATGATCTGCAACTACTGCGTACTAAACCTCGAACTCGTCGACGATCGCGTGATGTATACACTACGTTTATTACTTCAAGAGGCTGACACATCAAGCAGTACGAAATTGCCAAGTACTCCGCCGAAGGGATGTTGGGGATGGGTCTGGGGTACAATCTACGACGTAATTCGGAATCCACGTTCCGCAGACATATTGTATATACCTATCGCAAGACCTAGGTTGTTAGTCAATGCAAAAGAAATATAGCATTCTTTGTTCGCGGTTGCAGAAGTAGCTGAATTGTTGTGGGAATCGGGCAATAACCGCTCCAGAGTTATACAGTTATACAGTTATGCGTAAAAAGTTATGCAATATTTATGAGCATGCCTGAATTTTGCAAGGTTCGCAGAAAATATCGGTTAAATATGAGCAGATCGTATGAATAATATGAACAGTAATGAGGGCTGGTTGTATCGCCGAATTTGGCCCGATAATACGATTTCATTCCTGCTACGTTAGAGAGTTTGGCTGAGAGATAAGCACTCCATATCTAATTATCTACTCCAGATATCTGGAGTAAACCCGCGCCAATGACAGCGCGCAGCGGCGCCACCTGCTGCAATACTTATTTTCATTACATTAGAACACAATGCTAACAGCTGGCCAGAGACTCATGTAACCATATCCTGGGGTCAGGTACGGACGCCATCTGACTAATGTCACACGACGGAGTGTCACTTTCGAGCCTGCAGAAAATTCAGGTTTCTTCTCGCACAAATGACATAGACCAGACAATCATGGGCTGCATGCGAGCAGCGCCGTCGATCTGGGGACAACGATCATCGCCCATAAATAGGACTCGACTTAAGCGTCGAGTGTATGACTATGATAATACCCTTTGTAACTAACGAACTTGTTGCTTATCTGCATTCCGAAGAATTCTCGTGACGGAAGAAGAATGTATCGACAGCGTGTGTACGGAAAACGGTAACCCCCGGTTTTCGCAACCGGTTATTATACCGGGTAAATTGGGGTATTACTCGTATGGCAGATCTCGCATGATAACGAGGTGATGATAGTGTACATGCTATAATTTTTTTCATTTTAGAAATTTAAATGCAAATATGAATATATGAATGTATATACTGATATGCATACAAGAATCTGGATACGTGTAGCGGAGCTGCCCTCCGACAGACAGTGCAAGATAAGCCGTATATAATATGCATAGTTCATACTCGGCGTACCGTATCGTACGGATCCCCAGATCTGCGTATGATTCGACGCACGAACTAGGCGACTGCGTATCACCTCATCCTATCATCATCCGAGACCGAAGTCTCGTCATCATCATGATATTCATACACTATCTCCGCACGATTTTGGAGCATCTCCAACGGTCCACTTGGCGATAGTCACGTAGCATGTATCATCTATAAGCCATAAGCCATAATCTCAAACATCAGCTGATGCCCGTACTGGCTTCCTTACAGCATCGCACCACGACATATAGTCCATCGTGTATAGATCTGCGCACTACCCGCGATACCCGGGGCAAGCCGCTGCGAACACGCACGCCAAGGGCCAAAAGCCACAGGATTTCCCTTCTGGGCCGTGTGGAGTGGGGGCTCCACATTCCACTAGCCCACTTTCGTCGTCCGACCGGCGCTTAGCGCTATTTTTGTCTGATACGCACTTACATAATACAATACCTAATACCATACACACGTCAATACACCCGCAAATACGGCCGTACGATACGTCAATACGCCGTACCCGGGTCCTCGTCGGCGTCTTCAGCCAGCAAAAAATTCTTCTTTGTATTTTTTCTTTTTTTTTCTTTTGCCCCCCCCAATCGCCCTTCCCTTCCCCCACACTCGCAGCGCGCTAGCCAAAATCTCCTGGTTGCACTGCCAAACTCGGATAGCCCCCCCGTTCCCAATCCCCTCCATTCCTTCCTCGCTCGCTCTCATCCTTACATCTGCTGCTCTTTTCTCGCTCCCCAGATTCGCCCTTCTCCAGACTTTTGGTTTTCTTTTCTTTCTCCCTTCCTTCTCCAACCTCACTCCGCCTCTCTGCTCAATCAAAAGCACCTCATCCTGGACACCTAACACTGCCGGCATCATACCTCCTCTATCCAGCCTTTCACATGCCACCGCCAGCCTCAGCAGTGGATTTTTCCAATCTGCTGAATCCGCAACCCGACAATCTGGTCGACTCGACCCCAGACACCTCCTCGACCACCACTCCCACACACTCCGATTCCGATAGCGACAGGAAAATGGCTTCGTCGGTCAGCTTGCTGCCGCCGCTCATGAAGGGCGCCCGTCCCGCCGCCGAGGAGGTGCGCCAGGATCTCCCTCGTCCGTACAAGTGTCCTCTATGCGATCGCGCATTCCACCGACTAGAGCACCAAACGAGACACATCCGCACGCACACCGGGGAGAAGCCGCACGCCTGCCAGTTCCCCGGCTGCACCAAACGCTTCAGTCGTTCTGACGAGTTGACTCGTCACTCCCGCATTCACAACAACCCCAACTCAAGACGAAGTAACAAAGCCCAGCATATCGCTGCTGCTGCAGCCGCCGCAGCCGCCGGCCAGGATGCAGTCATGCTCAACTCTGCCGCGTCGATGATGCCGCCGCCCAGCAAGCCCATCACTCGCTCGGCTCCTGTCTCCCAGGTGGGCTCCCCCGACGTGTCCCCTCCACACTCGTACACCAACTACACCTCACATCTGCGTGCCGGTCTCGGCCCGTACTCTCGCACCAGCGAGCGTGCTTCGTCTGGCATGGATATCAACTTGCTCGCCACAGCTGCCTCACAGGTTGAGCGCGACCATTTCGGGGGCTCCCGTCACTACCCCTTTGGCTCTCGATACTCGGCCAATTCGTCTGGGCGTCTGCCGTCGCTGTCTGCATACGCCATCTCTCAGAGCATGAGCCGATCGCATTCACACGAAGACGATGACCACAACAGCAGCAGCAATAATTATGGTGGCTACGGACATCATCGAGTCAAGCGGTCCCGCCCCAATTCACCAAACTCAACTGCGCCATCATCTCCCACATTCTCTCACGACTCGCTGTCACCCACCCCCGACCACACACCACTAGCAACTCCCGCTCACTCGCCTCGTCTGCGTCCCTACGGCGCTGCCGATTTGCACTTGCCATCCATCCGTCATCTGTCGTTACACCACACCCCGGCCCTGGCCCCCATGGAGCCCCAAGCCGAGGGACCCAGCGTCTACAATCCGGGCCAACACCATGCAGGTCCCAGCATAACCGACATCATGAGCCGGCCCGACGGGACACAACGCAAACTCCCAGTTCCGCAAGTTCCCAAAGTTGCCGTGCAAGACATGCTCAATTCGACCGGTGGCTATGCGTCTGGTAATCCTGGCTCCTTGATGGAGGGATTATAACCACTTCACTTCATTTCACCTTTTTTCATCCGACCATTTCTTTTCAGACGATACAACCCCTCACCTTTCAACTTCAGCAATGAATTATTTTCACAATCATAACGGAATAGACTTGTTTTTTTTTTATCCTTCTCACGCGCCCTTTTTCGTTTATTTTATATAAAGTCATTGTTATTGCATATCATCCCGAATGGCGCAGTGCAATTCCCCTCACCCTTGTCTTGTCTCTTTTTTTTATCTTCATGTTTTCTGTTCGGTGTGTCCACGGAGTCGATTATACGATATAGAATGGGAATGAAATGGATGTAGGCGAATGTTTTGTTTTTATTTTTCGCGAACAAATACTATTAGACCTGTTTTTTGTCTTTGTGTTCTTCGCCACTCAGGATCGATCCTCTTTTTCTTCTTTCTCATCTACTAGCAGATAGATTAATTCCAACTATTTTATTTTACTTCAATGAAATGGTGCATTTTTATAAAGCTCGTATTTCTAGTGAATAAACATCAAACACCACTCAACTTATTATCCCAAAACGCAAACGAAAAGACTAGAAGAAATGATAATAATGAAAAAAAGAAGACAGCATAGCAGAACAAGAATGACTAAAAAGAAAATGGTAGAAGGATCACTTCCATACATTCAACCCCGCCCACGGATCGCTACTATTCTGTACCTGTCCCGATTGAGACGTCTTGCGATGATGATATTGCTGACTTGATGTGTATGGTCGAGCTTGCGCATAACCGCCCGGACCGGAGGGGTAGGCGCCGCCGGTTGAAGGCGGATATTGGGTTTCTGATGGTCGTGGGGGAGGGGGAGGGGGGATGTAGCCTGTAGGAATGAATTGGGGTGTCTGAGAAGGTTGTGGTGGAGGTGGAGGTGGAGGAGGGTGAGGTGTTCCTGTCGCTGGTATTCCGGGGTAGCCTGTGTATGATGATAGTGGAACGGGAACCGGCGTGCTTGATGTTCCTGGGTGGTGTGCGTGGTGTTGGTAGTATGCTGCTAGCGCGGCAGGGTTGGGAGGTGGTGAGACCGGTGTTTGGTAAGGGTAGGCCATGGGATTGTATCCTGACGAAAGAGGCGTGGCTGCTCCCTGCTGGAAGGGCTGCGGCGTCATGGAGTAATATCCTGCCATTGAGTTGGGTGCTGCGTATTGTCCGAAGGGAGCTGGGGATTGCGATGGTGGGGGTGCCACTGCTGGTGCCGGTGTGGCATTGTGATATCGAGGTGATGGCGATTTCGTGCCACTGGGCATCGTATGAGATGCTGTCTTGACCGGAGGCTGGGGTCGTGGTAGTGGTTGTTGTTGTTGCTGCTGCTGTTTGGTTGGTGATGATGATCTCCCCGTCGGCTCTGTTGACAACCGCTCCATCAGCTGCCTCAGCTTTTCTCGCTCTCGGTCTTCTTGCCCCGATGCATTGCTAGTCTTGTCAGTTTCAATCTGACTGAGCAATTGCGCGCCCTCAGACCGGCGATTATTAACAAATGTGTCGATGTTCTTGCGCAAGTTGTCTACAGTTTCATGCATCTCACTGTAAAACTTCTGTGCCTGAGCAACTCCGGACACCAAATCTCGAAACGCCGTGTAGATTTTCTTGTATCGCGCCATTACTGCGTTCCGTTGTCGAGTGATGGTCTCGTATTTGGACTGCTCTGAACGAACCCGTTTGTCCTGCAGGAGGTCGCCATATGTCCTTGTGAGCTCTTTCATTAACGATGCCTGTGTGTGATTTGACTTGACGATGCGGTTTTGGTATGGTCGGAACTTCTCCAGTTCCGCTTGGAATAATTGCTGCTCCTGTCCGTTACCAAGAGATTTCTTGTTGAGGATGAGAACATTGGATATATCGTCCTCGTGAACCTAAGACAAGTTAGCACGATACTAAGGCTGCCCAAATGAGACCTACCTTTTCCTTCAAGTCCTTCAATATCTGTGCTCGTTCGCGTTTGACGAGGTTGAGCTTCTTCAGCAATTCCTCTACCCTGTGAATCTGCTCCGCAACTGACAGGCTACCCTCATCGTCGACATCATCCAACAGAGTCCCTTCACCAGGTGAGTACGGGCTTGCATGCCCATTGCGGATTAACTTTTGTTTTGACCCAGCTTTGGTCATTGCACGTTGGTACAGCACTTCGGCCTCGTCTGTCTCTCCCGCTGACCGCATCTCGTCAAAGTCTGCTTCGTATTGCCTTAACGTAGCATTTAGTTGGTTGTCACTTGCTCCAGCCTCGTTAATCGTGTCTCGTAGACTCCGGATTTCACCGCGAAGAGTCGACGTGAGCCGGGAGCTTGGCTGTTGTGTCCAGTCCGCGCCGTATTTCGACCGCATCTTCTCACACACGCTTTCCTCCATGTCTAGTTGTCTTGTGAACTGACCTAGAGAATCAACAATGCTAGCTCTGCTGTCTTGCAGCTCGTCCAGTGTCTTGTGGAACCCCTTGTGATCGGCCATTTCTTCACACCACCTGCGGAATTCCTCATCAACCGCTACTTCTTGATCCATGCCCCCCTTTAAGATATTTAAGCTAGCAGGAAGTTTGAGATAGTCCAACCCAGCTGCCATTTCTCCGTTGGCCGTCTCAGCTCTTTCTGTTTCCGCCCGGATCAGTTTCGCTTTTTCTTCATCGTATAAACTCGCAGACTCCGTCACAGAAATTGGAACCAATTTCTGGAAGATATCCGGCCCAATAATCCGCTGAATATCTTGCCCTTGATATAACTCGCTGACTGGTATAGCTTTTGCAACTGCCAGCTTGGAAATAACCGTCAGACCAGCTTCATTAGGCACGGGTTGGTGGTATATAAAATCATTGTCCTTGATTAATGTCGATACACTCTCTTTAACAATTGCCTGGTGCCTTTTGATTAGTTCCATCAAACCAGTTCCGTCTTCTGCCGTTAGGTTCGAGTTTGAAGGCACCGAAGAAGGGAACGACTTGGCCCAGGTTACCGCCGCAGCAGAGAGCTTTTCGGCTAGTTGTAGTCTGGCAATCGCGACTCCATATGATCCACTCTCCGAGTCAGCGTTGGCCTGGTGGAAACTCGCGACCGATGCCATATGCGACGCTTTGGCTTGTATTACAAACGACCACACTTTCTCAAAGAAGCCCTTTCCAACATATTCCTGTACGGTATCCCCGGCCTGAGAATACAGATATGCAGACTGGCTAGCGAGCTTGGCGAGAACAGCAGGCTTCTTGTTATCTGCAACTTGTTTCTCCAAGAATACCTCCTGCGCCTGGGCTAGCATGATGTTGATGAGGGTCTTGACCGTAGTCCGGCTCAGGTCTGTCGACGGTGCATGCAGGAAGTTTTCATTAATGTACGAGTACATGCCGGCAGAGGCTTGGAAGGAGTGGAATGCGGTCTTCAACCCAGTGTCATCAGCCCGATTTTGATTCGCGGCGTGGCAGGATAGCACGGACGAGATATTGAAGAGAATCGACGCTTTCTCAAACGCGAGAGAATACTGAGACGTCGGCTTCTGTGTGAACGCATCGTACCTACAGTAACATCGCCGTTAGCTTTGGAGGCTTTCCGGTATAGCCTTGCTTGACGTACCATGTAAATGATATTTTGATATGGTTCTCATCAACAGGAAACCGGAGATCCAGCAGTTCGAGTTGCCCATAGTATCGATACAGTAAGTCTCTGCCGGATGCGCTGTCCTTTCCAGCGCCCCTCATGTCCTGGCGCAATCGGCTCAGGTTCGCACATTCCTCCTGGTACCGGTCTGGATCATCGCCATAGGTGGTGCGGATATAGTCCTTCAGCGGCTGCACCCAATCAATCTCGTTGGTCTGCTTGAGCGGACACGAGAGCATCGGCGACTGGTTCATGGTTGCTGCAGATAGGAGCAGAAGCTCCTATCGGGGGTGGGAAAAGTGAGATGGTAAGAAAGGTGGGCTAGTGATGCGAGGAGGTGAATGTCGCGGTGGTTGGCGATACGTCAGGCAGGCAGGCAGGCAGGGCGGGCGGGACGGCAACCGGTGTGGGGTAGTTACTGCCTGCGTAAATAGGCCTCCTCTGTCCTCTGTCCACTCACTTGTGGTCTGAGTTCACTGTCCGGTGCGTACACTATAAGTGTGTTCTTTCCAGAGGCCGACAATCCTGCTGCCTTGTGCGGGCGAGTCTTTCCTAAGCGAAACACTTCTCTTCTTCAGTGAGTGACGGGGATGGCTTCAGCTGCCGCCTTCATTCTGGAGAGCGTGGTTGGATCCTGTCCTGCACGGCGAGAGCCGCTGTCACGCCCCTGGACCGACCTCGCCCCCGCTGATTGGGCGCCCGAGTTGTGCTCCCAGCGCTGCGACAATCACTAGTCACGGTATAGCTACAGTCGTTTCATCGTTTACGTCCTGCCACGGATCTCATTGGTTACGGGCTTTCGAGGAGGGGAGGGTCAGTTGCAATTATGCCTATACAGTATACACAGACCGTCACCGAGTCAGGCTACGCGACTGACTGGCTGCGAGTCTGAATCTCTAACTAACTATTTGTTTGCTTATTGTACATGGCAACTCCGAAGACAGGAATTGACCGCCGATAAAAGACAACACCGACTCGCCAGCGCTATGACTCTAATTTGTGCAGATGATGAAAAGAACCAAAAATGATAAACAGCAGATCAAAAGAGATGAATGGATGCGGAGTCATCAGCCCGACTCGGAAGCCTTCTTAGGCTCCTCGCCGTCGGACTTTGAGCTATTTTTCTTCGATGCGTCGGAGCTCTTCTTGGGGGTCTCCGCCGCCTTGGACTGGTTCGTGAGACGATGCCACGCGGACTTGAGGAAGCCTTCGTTCTTAGCTGAATCCTCCGTGGAGCCGGAGCTGGGAGGCTCGTTGCTATAAATTCCTGTCAGCATCAAAGTGTAAAACTAGGAGCAGACTCAAAAATGACATACCTGTCCTTGCCAATATTCATCGTACGTTTGGCAGATTTGTCACCCATTTCATCGGCCAGCACTTCAAGAATAGTCCGTTGGTTTGCATTCAGATATTTCGGCATCTGGACTTTGAACTCGACGCGGAGGTCGCCGGTCGAGCTGAAGTTACGGCTTCGCCCACCGAGCTTTCGCATACCCATTCCCGAGAGTGTGATGCGGTCGCCGGTACCAGTGCCAGTGGCGACCTTCACTTTCACTTCGCCGTCTAGTGTCGGAACCGTCACCTCTCCACCCAGCAGTGCAGTAGTCAGTGGCAGCGAGGCAGTGTAGAGGATGTCAGAACCCGAGCGGCTGAACCGGTGATCTGGTGCAACACGAATCGAAACATAGAGATCTCCCCGCTGTGTACGAGTGCCAGCATCTGCAGCGCCTGTTGGGGGAGAATCACCTTCTCCAGCAACGCGAATCCTCATGCCATCCTCCACTCCTCCAGGTATATCGACGTGAACGGTCCTTCGATCTCTGACTACACCCTGGCCACTGCACGTGCCACAGTCGGAGCCCCGAGGTGTAACCATTCCAGAGCCATTGCAAGCATCGCACGTACTGGCAAGCTGAAAACCACCTTGCATGAAATGAACCCGAGTGCCCGAGCCGTTGCATGACTTGCATTGCGTTCGTTTTGCGCCTTTCTTAAGCCCGCTCCCTGAACAAGTATTACATCCCACAAGTGGCGTGATATGGATATCCTTCGCTGCTCCTTTTGCTGCCTCCATAAAAGATATATTGGTTTGAACTTCGATATCCTCTCCCACAAGGATGGATTCGTGTGGTGATGCGCGCCTTCTCCCTGCACGTCCCGCACCTCCAGTGAAGGCGCCAAATAAATCTTCAAAATTGATGTCAGCAGAGAATCCACCGCCAAAACCACTGCCGAATCCATGAAATCCTCCCGCTCCAGCGAACGGATTTCCACCCGCCGCTGCGTTTGGATCAAACCCTCCATTCTGATCGAAGGCCCCCGAACCATATCGATCGTACGTTTCCCTCTTCTTCGTGTCAGACAATAGCTCGTAGGCAGATTGTGCTTCCGCGAATTTGTCCTTAGCACCCGGTTCCTTATTGGTATCGGGATGGTATTTTTTGGCCATTCCGTAGTAAGCTTTCTTGATATCAGACGAGGAAGCATTCTTGTCGACGCCGAGAACTTTGTAAGGGTCTTTCATAGCTTGGTGCGCAGAAGAAGCATGGAATTCCTATGCAAAATGTGAGCGGTCAAAGCTTTTGGCGATACGGACGCATGTATTACTCACTCTGCTTGCGAAGCGTAGCGGCCCCTTCTTTGAGGAGGCAGGCACATTGTAAGACCGGCCAGTAGGCGACGAGGACCGGTGATCGTAAAAAGAACGACTATTAAGCTGATAGGGAATACTGGAACGGCTCCCAGTCGATGGCCGCGATGCTCTAATCAGGAGCCTGGTGGGAAGAGCGACTGCCTTTGGCAGTCCCGTAGGTGTTGCGCCCATATCGTGTCTACTTTTTCATCCACTCCGCGTGCTAGGCGTTTCTCGAATCAGATAGAATTCACAACAGCTTGGTCGATTGTAGGATGACCCGATGGACAAAGATCCACTCGCGACTGTCGATGCTTACTGGCATCGAAGCCTCTAAAAAAGTTTCTCGGAGCCAACGAGAGCCCGGAACGCGGAAAAACGTAACGCCGGGAATGATCTCAGAGGTTCCCCGACATTCGGAGAAATCGGCGGTGATTATCAATTGTAGCTAACTAGCTGCTGCATCTTTCCGTCATCTTCTCTCTGAACCTGCGTCTCTCTTCCTTTACCTAGTTATACTCTTTTCCTTCATTGAAAACACCTTCTTTGCATCGGGCCAGTACGCGCCCTATTTCTGTTCGCAAAGCACATAGCATGCTCCGAGGCCAGGTAATCTCATGGAGAGCTGCACTCCATCGTGCGCCACACTATGTAACTTCTAGGTCAATTCCCTTTCCAGCGCGGCATCACGCGAGCACACAGCTATCAATAAATCGGACGCCGATACTTCCGGCCTCGATCATTGCTGCTCGAACGTTCACTTCTACACGGGTTTCGCGAAAAGAGAAGGCACCGTCTCCGGACGAAACAGCGGACGATGCAGAAAACAACGACCGCAACAAAGAGGGGAAGGAGAAGGAGAAGGAGAAGGAAGCAGCAAAGCAAGCAGATGCTCGGCGGAAGCCTGGCGAGGTTACGGATAAACAAGGCTCTACACAAGCTACAGAGACACCCGGTCGACGAAGAGACAAGACAAATGCGGAGAAGGAGGACCAGGTAGAAGGCCCCAAAAAGGGGTCAAGTACCGAAACAACGCATAAAGCCAGAGACAACAAGTCCGATCCAAGTGTGCCATCGGCAATTCCAGTTTCTAGTGGAGGATCAGACTCGAAGGCTAGTGGCGGCAATGGAGAAGATGGTGGAAGACGAGGCAAGAAAGGAGAAAGGTCTCTTCAAAAACCATTTATCCCGGACGTCTACCCGCAAGTCATGGCTATTCCAATTGCTAGACGACCCCTGTTCCCTGGGTTCTATAAGGCGATTACCGTGAAGGATCCAAATGTTGCGGCAGCTATACAGGAGATGATGAAACGAGGTCAACCTTATGTCGGAGCTTTCCTATTCAAGAATGATGATGCAGACGGAGATATCATCGAAAGTATGGACGACGTTCATGACGTCGGTGTTTTCGCGCAAATCACCTCTACATATCCACTAAAGCCGGACGGCGAAAATGGGTTGACAGCTGTTTTATACCCTCATCGGAGGATCAAGATAAATGCATTGTTACCACCAAATGACCCCGCGCGGAACGGATCTATTGACCAGCCAATATCGAAAGAGGTGGCTGAGAAACGTGGAGACGTTGTTGCCAGCTTCGAGGAGGGCTCAACAGAGCAACCAAAGGAGACGTACCACTACGAGCCAACTTCTTTCCTGCGCAAGCACGCTGTGAGCCTTGCTAACGTCGATAACCTTACGGAAGAGCCGTTCGATAAGAAGAGCCCTGTCGTCCGAGCTGTAACCAGCGAGATTGTTAATGTATGCAAGGAGATTGTCCAATTCAACCCGCTTTTCCGAGACCAGATTTCTGCATTTGCCACGGATCATTTTCCTGGTAATCTAGGAGACGAGCCTGGAAAGCTAGCCGATTTTGCTGCTGCGGTCTCCGCTGGCGATTCTCAAGAAGTGCAGGAGGTTCTACAGGCGATGAACATAGAAGACAGACTTCCCAAAGCGCTAGTTGTTTTGAAGAAGGAACTCATTAATGCGCAGCTTCAATCAAAGATCTCAAAGGATGTCGAAGCGAAGATCCAGAAACGACAAAGGGAATATTGGTTGATGGAACAGATGAAAGGAATCAAACGAGAACTGGGCATTGAATCTGACGGGAAGGATAAGCTCGTGGAAAAATTCAAAGAGAAGGCAGGGAAGCTTGCTATGCCAGAAGCAGTGAAGAAGGTATTCGACGAAGAATTGAATAAACTAGCACACCTGGAGCCCGCTGCATCCGAGTTCAATGTTACTCGGAATTACCTCGATTGGATTACGCAGATCCCATGGGGCCAGAAGAGTGTGGAAAATTTTGGTATCAAAAATGCCATGTCCGTTCTGGACGAAGACCACTACGGGCTGAAGGATGTCAAAGATCGCATTTTGGAGTTCATCGCCGTTGGCAAACTCCGCGGATCAGTTGAAGGCAAGATTCTGTGTTTGGTAGGACCACCAGGTGTCGGCAAGACCAGTATAGGAAAGTCTATAGCCCGTGCTCTTAACAGACAGTACTACAGATTTTCTGTCGGAGGCTTGACGGATGTTGCAGAAATCAAGGGACATCGGCGGACATACGTTGGCGCCCTTCCAGGGCGAATTATTCAAGCTTTGAAGAAATGCCAGACGGAAAATCCCCTAATCCTTATTGATGAAGTTGATAAGATTGGACGCGGTCATCAAGGTGACCCATCTTCCGCTCTGCTTGAGTTGCTCGATCCAGAACAGAATTCATCCTTCCTTGATCACTACATGGATGTGCCGGTAGATCTGTCGAAAGTGTTGTTTGTATGCACTGCAAACGTGACGGACACTATTCCACGGCCGCTGTTGGATCGCATGGAACTTATCGAGTTGTCTGGCTACGTCGCTGATGAGAAAATGGCTATCGCTGATAGATACCTTGCTCCTGCAGCCAAAGAGCTCAGTGGGTTGAAAGAGGTTGATGTCCGTTTGGAGCAGGATGCTATCGAAGAGCTCATTAAATCCTATTGTCGCGAGAGCGGAGTTCGGAATCTAAAGAAGCAAATCGAAAAGGTGTATCGAAAGGCTGCTCTTAAGATTGTTCAAGATCTCGGTGAAGATGTTTTGCCAGAAGAAAAGGCATTGACCACAGAAGGAAAACAAGCGAAGGAAGAGTCTGACAAGGAAAACATTGATCCTCAAGATGTCTTGGTTGAGCCCGAGAAGGCCAGGACTGAGGTCCCACGCGTCGCTCTCAAAGTGCCTGAAAGTGTGCAAGTTAGCATTAGCAAAGGTGCATTGAAGGATTACGTCGGCCCTCCGGTCTTCACTTCCGATCGGCTATACGATACATTCCCTCCTGGTGTGACTATGGGCCTGGCTTGGACGAGTATGGGAGGAGCCGCTCTTTACGTCGAGTCCATTCTTGAAAATGCGCTTACTCATGATTCTCGCCCTGGCTTCGAGACTACCGGTAATCTTATGAATGTGATGAAAGAGTCAACCCAGATTGCATACTCATTCTCCAAGTCTCTCATGGCTCGAGAATTCCCAAAGAACAGATTTTTCGAAAAGGCTCGAGTACATTTGCACTGTCCAGAAGGTGCCGTGCAAAAAGATGGTATGTCATGCGCTTTTCCCCTTTGTTTACTAATGCAGTTCTGACTTGCCGTTTTCAGGGCCTTCTGCCGGTATTACAATGGCAACTTCTCTTCTTTCTCTTGCCCTCAACCACTCACTTGACCCAACTATTGCCATGACCGGCGAGTTGACAGTCACTGGGAAAGTACTCCGTATTGGAGGACTTCGTGAGAAGACTGTCGCTGCTCGACGCGCCGGAGCTAAAAAGATATTATTCCCAGCGGACAACATGTCTGACTGGCTGGAACTACCTGAGGTGAGCCTCCTCCTTCACATTCATACCTTTACATAAGCCTAATAACATGGAATAGAATATCAAGGAAGGCATTGAAGGTCACGCTGTTAACTGGTACTCGGATGTCTTCAACATCGTCTTTTCCGACGTGGACAAAGAAGCAGCGAACAACATTTGGAAAGCACAACTTACCAAGCCAGCAGACGCCAATCAGCGGGACAAGCACGATGAAGACGACTAATTACATATCGGAGTTCCCTTCCTATTTCATATTGGAGCGGTTACGTTCTGATACTCTTTTTTGCCTCGATCCCTTGGCAAGGGGTTAAGGTTAATTCGCATTTTGCGGGCATTGACTTGTCTTTTGTCATTGATGACTTCTATTTGACAGAGGAAATGTTAGCCTGTCTGCATGTCTGCTATATGCATTGCTCGGAGTTTGGTTCTTTGTATCCGGCCATATATCTTCCCCTTTCATCTCACCACTACCATTGTTTCTCGAGAGAGGGATGAAAATGAGGAAATTATTTCTTCGCACACACTGTTTTGTTTGCGCCATATCTTTCGACATCACTTCAACGGGATATATACAGAACATGGCCGATGCCTCCCATAAGCACAAGGCAAAGGACTTCTTCATCTGTCTCACGTCCCAAAACGATGTATATCAACTACCATGGCTTGAGAGATATACATACATACTTTATTTTTTGGTGGCAGTCCTCTCCTCTCCTGAAAAGAAAACCTTTAGACTTGATTTTCTCTCTTCGTCAATTGCATTTGCGTTGTACATATATCTATACATTTGATGGCTGTTTATATGGATGGGTTATTTTGAACCATCATATGGAATTTGCTGTAGCTTAGATGCTTTCTAGAACAGCTATAATGACCAGATCCAGCAACATGCTATGAAGAACAAGTATCACAACCAACATAGTACTCTCCTGCGCTTATTCCCGGAGCCCCTGAGCGAGGCGGTCTTCTTTATTAGGCAGAACTGCTCAGCGGTGCCGTTTTGGGTTAGCGCCTCCACGAGGAGGGCATTTATAAATTTCTCCTCCTCATGAATCTTCATGATTAATATTACACACTTCTCCCACCTCTTGTTTCTTGCCCACAGCAGAGTATGTCGAGCGGAACAGTCTGTTAACGCTCAGTGTGGAAAAAGTGACAGCGGAATACATATGAGGCATAAAATGAGTATTACCAGAAGCCCCTTTAAGGGATCCTTATTTTTGGGATGGTTAGCATCCCCTTGTTGAAATGCCACGAAGGAAAACGAAGAGAAAAATGAGAATGGACAACGATGAGAGATACAAGCATAGGAAGGCTACAATTTCAGAACACTACCTTACCTGAGTTTCTCAGAGCCATCCGAGTTACACGTCTTCAACCGCCCCCAAAGGCAGCTTCTCATGCTGTACTTCTTTCATGTTTAGTTGATGCACGTCTAACTACTCTGTCATTTCGCTTCCAATACATGCAGTGCTTACGACGGGTACTGATCGTGAAGAAATCTATCAGTGCTCTATTAAAGCTATCTAGAGCATATCTCAAGGGAAGAAAACAGAAATCCGACACGCACGAGTTTTGTGTGCGTGGCAGTATCCCAAAAGGGCACCAGCGCTGACCTGGGAAGCGAGATGAAAAGCCCAGGAACACCTTGGCCTTGGATTTGGGGCCGCCGGCTCGGAGTTCAAAGAGCTAGCTATAAACAATAGCTGATGAGGCGTTGCGGTATGGCAACGACATGAGCTTTGCAGATACGTGAAAAAAGAAAGTTTCTAAATTCGCGGAACGTTGGCCCAAACTTGGACGGAAGGTGCCATGGACAGTCGAGTCCTAGCACTGAAAGAGTCGATCAAAAGGAAGGTTAGCAAATATTGTGACGATGATGATAGCAAGAGCAAGAGCAAGAAGCAGCGAAGAGCCACATGACTGCCAGTGAGGAAGAATTTAGTACGAATACGCAAACGTGCATCCAAAACCATATCACCATTCAAGAGACTGCGAACTTATTCCTGTACGTTTGCCCTCCATTTCGCTTGAGCTATTCCGTACCGTACATGCTAATGTGCTCCTTGCCACGTTCCTATCTGATGCAAATTCATAGCTCACAAGACTATGGATCAGGCACTTTCGCTCCATCGCAATCACTGTTTGCACCTTGGACAAGAAGATGCGCATGAATGCGTCCCGTATGTAAGTTTGAACAGCACTTCCAAACACCGCAAGCCCATCATTGATGCTTACATCTAGCTTCCCGGACGAATCAGCCACGACCTGATACTATCCACCACGCTAGACAGTTCAGACGAGAAAGATAACGACCATAGCAGAAAATGCCCGGACCTATGCGAGAACTGAAGACGAGCGTAGGGGGAAAGAAACGCCACATCCCACACGTAGGGAAAAAAATGTTTTCACCTACGCGTGGGTGGGCGCCATGGCAATGTGTATCATCCTCGACGAAAGCACTTTCTGTGCCATGATCGTGGATTTTATGGCCGAGGATAGGCAATCGACCAAGATCTTGGTCTTGAATTTTGAAGTTAACAAGTATGCAAGCTTCCCCGTCATTATAAGCCGGCGAGAAGACATGTTTACTGATACCCACATACTAGACAAACAACCCCAAACAGTTGTCCATCGAATGTCTTACTGAAACTGGGCTGAAATCACTGATGACTAATGACGAAGAAGGCTCCGACGAGCAAACCCGGCCTATCGACATGGTCAAGACAGTGGAAACGAATCCAATCCGCTCTTTTTTTTGAACTGTTCGACAAGGATATATGGTGTAGATATATTTCTATAAAATAAAATTCCTACTATGAACTATCCACGTTCTAATCATCTAGCCAGTAGATTATAGGCTGGTATAATCTTATATAATAACTAGCTATTATAAGAGGTAAAATCAATTTCTTATACGATTTCTGGCGCTAATTTTGACCCCAGATAACTGGGATCTATCGCCACCAGTCACCCCAGCGCAGGCATCCCACCAACGCACCAACTCGCCTACCTTGGAAGCTTGCATCAGAGATACGCAACTCTCACAAGATGTCTCTAGTCCATGTTATACATCCTGTTCCGGATATTACTGGCGTTGTGCAAAACATTTGTACATTTATACGTTCTGAGGAATGGGATAAATCACCTAAAGAATGGAGTTCTTCATGCTAGCGAAGGACGTGGCGGCCTGTATCTCGGACTATGGTGATTAAGCGGGGAGACTTGAGAGTCAAGGATCTTCGAGCCCTAAAGGTGGAATATGATGAGAATTAGGATTGGGGTTGTCCAGCACGGGCATGGACAAGATAGGGTCTGGTAGTTCTACAATTTCCAACCGCGACAAATCTATCACATTGGTAGCTAGTATCATACGAACACGCAAAAAGAAACAGAAAAACATTCAAACTCGCCTATATTCTCTGCTCCATACCCTAATGATCCCTTCTTATATTCCCATAGTTACAGGTGTCCTTGCCAACCCACCATGAGAGAATGCCAAAAAAAGGAAAACCCCCAAGACAAAGAGAACCAACTCCCCTCCAGATATAAATAGCGTCCCAGACGAGAAAAAAAAAAAAAAATCAAGGCTCAAAAGACAGCTCAGTTAGGCTCCCAATCATAATGCCAAAATAGGAAATGGTCGTAACGTCGTCATAAATAAGGTGGATATAGAAAGGGGGTATATCCGGATGGTGGAAATAAAAATATCAAGATCTCAAGTCAATGCTATATATATCAGAACACCATAAAAGAATAGAACCAGAAAGAGGATATAAGGGGGAAAGGATATTAACACAGACATAACGAAATATAAGAAAGATCTTAGAGGGAGAAAGAAAAGAAAAAAAAAAGCAAGCTAATCAACCATTCAAATGCAATAGCAGGCTCGAGTAATTGAAAAGGAAAGACAAGGTGACATAAAAAGAAGACAGTTTATATAGATGGCCAACTTCCCAAAAAGCAAAAAGAAAGAAACCCAAATACCGTCCCGCCACGAGAAAAACAAACCCCAGGAAAAGAAAAAAGAAATTCGAGCCCCATTTTCGAAGATCAAACTCCCAAAGAAATGCGCTGCTATCTTTGATCACGCCAAGAAACGATTGAGGACGCCGAGGAATAACAATGAGTGGTATACGCTTGTAGTAGTGAAAGCCTATGGTCAAACAAAATGGAAGGACGAACATTCTTTTCGTTGTTGAAATTTGATGAAGTCGATTGTCTCGACTATTTTGTTGAAATATGTATGGTATTGTGCGAGTATTCACATATGTGAAGTTGTGAGCATATAAATCCTATGCCTTCGTTTGGCCGTGGTGATTTATTTATGAAGCCGGGTTGATAGGCAAGACCGAGTCCATGAGGTAAGATATCGGTGGCAGGTTGCTCGCTGGTTTTCCGCTTTTCACCGTTGGCAGTGATACCTGTGGAAGGGCAGGATTTATTGGGAGCCGGGAACCAAGTAGCGAGGTGTCTTGTTGCTTATTGCTATCTTCGGCAGCGGTCTGAGGCCGTGTTATGTAGTTTTCGCTGACTCGAGGCGTTTTGGTATCCTGCGATGCCGCAGAGGAGCTGTTCGTGTTTGACTGGGCTGACATCTTGGGAGTAGGAGTTGTCTTGGATTGTTGCTTGTCAAGAGATGAATCTAATGAATGTGCCGGAAGATGTGACACTGCGGTGGATGGAACTGGCTTCTTGATATCACGTGAATCTGATGGAGAGCCGTTATTTTTAGGATTCCCAGACTCTTCGTTACTTTTGGTCCTGACTGCATGTAACTGCAAATCAACACTGGAATCTCGGTCAACATCGGCATCTTTGCCACTGTCGCCTACTGAGGACGGTACAACAGGGCGACTGAGATTGGAACTGCGCCCACTCTGCAACTCCTGCGAGTCGTGCGGCTCGTGAGTATTGTCCCTGAGAGCCTCGAAATCCTCTACGGAGAACATGTCTGGGTTCACCAGATACTGAGTTCCATTAACTTCAACCTCTTCGAATCGAGGTTCAACGCGGACTTCGGGCGAAGGTCTGTTGAATTCAAAGTCACTCTGAGAAATAGATCGTCGACCATCTGGGTTTGGAGAAGCACTTGAAGGAAGATACGTCGAGGGTTGGTAATCGCTGGGGGGCAGATGGTGGGTAGATGATGGTCGACGACCGCGAGGTGGATAATCGATCTCCTGCTCGTATTCAGCGGGGGTCACGTAGACTACGCTTGGCCGGTTAGCGTGATGGTCCTCATCGAGGCAAACCGAGTGTGGCGGAGCATCTAACTGGATTGAATCGTAAACTGGGGGCACAGTGATGGCTGGGGCTTGGAGTCCCCATGGGGGCATGACAGGCTGCTCTTTGGCATCTGGCGGAAACATAGCCAAGAGCTCCTTTGCAGATAGTCGATCTCGTGGGCGATCGCTGAGACAGTGAGCAATAACCCTTCTATAGTAATCCGGTATTTTGATATCTACTGGTATGAATAATGGGCGCGGTTGGCGCTCCGGTTCGTCTTCTTGCATTGCCAATGCCCACAAAGTCATCCCCAGCTGGAAAAGGTCTGACTTGACGCCAATATACATGGAAATTCTCTGGTTGCTCTCTATTTTGGCGGCAATTTCGGGTGGCTCCCATCCCACGGGACATCCTCTCCTGTTGATATCGATGATTTTGGCATTGTCATTCACGTCGATGACAATATTCGACAATGTAAAATCGCCCTGGACATAACCAGCTTCATGAATCTCGCACAGACCCTGTATGATCTGCCTGGCCCAACGTTCTCTCCGTGCCAAAGGCAACTGACCGCGAAAATCGTACAGCACATCCACTAGTGCACCTTGTTCCGCGTAGCTTATTAACAAGCCCTTGACCTTTTCGCGGTGCGCGTCCACAATGATGCCCTCGAATTGGATAACACTCTTGGAGCCATACAGGGCGTGGAGGGCGTTGATTTCGTACAGAAATTCATCGACAGTGTCCGGCCCTGGGATCTCCTTCTTGATATAAGCTCGTCCATCTAACTGAACCTTATATACAAACCCAGACAGATGGGAGTCGAAAATGAGATCGTACTCTGGGATTAGACGGCACCCAAGATGGCGGATGCTCGAAATAGGCGGGTAAGGGATGGTTTCGTTCACGTCTTCCGTTACGTGCACATGCAGTCGGCCATCACTCGTTTCCAGCTTGAGATTGGTGACTGTGTCATAAAACTGGATTTCCTGAAGGGACTCGCGAATCGATTCGTAGATGCGGGCACTCTTGTCCCGCTGGTAATGTAGCTCCTTTAAATCCTGCTCCAAAGAGTCTGGCGGAGCGTCTCGGTAATCGCACGATATCGTAACCCTCCGCCATCGGTTTGGCTTCTCTGCATATGTGACGAAAAATTTCTCCCGCTCAGACTTATCTCGAAAATGCATGCTCAAATTCAATATCCATTTCCTCTCCAACTCCTGCTCCAGGCCGTCTACTTGCAAACTGGCATTGTCGTATTGATTATATGGTCCCGAATCCACAGGGGACAGAGTCGCAGTATCTCGCAAATAATCGTGAGCGGACTCATCGTCTCGTGGTGCTCGAACAGACACCTGCTCGTTCCAAGAGCTCACCTCGGGGGCTGAAAGTCGGGCAATGTTTAGGGGTGCCGGCGACTGTGTTCGCTGTACACTCAGTGTTCGACGGCGGTCCGCGGACTGAGTACGACGGGGCTCCGGCTCGGACTCTGTCAGATCTTGTTGCTCCGAGTTACGACGACGGGTCGGTCGATGGAGGCCAACGGCGCCGACTTTGCGAGATATACGACGGTGAAGATTTCCTCGGAGGTCGTTCGTGGGGGAGCTTGACCCAGAGTTGTCGTCGCGGTGAAGCCATCGTGACAGGCCCAGTCGCTGCCACATACTTAGTTTCGGCGCTGGCGGCGGGACACGTTCGGACTGCGGTTCGAGCTGGTTGAGGAAACTCCGGTGAGAGCTGCCGATTGAATTGTCGCGGATGGTGATTGCCATGAGGGCTCGACTGTCCAGGCAGGGTTTTTTTTCGGTTTCAAACGCGTCCGCTAGCACGCACAAGGAACCTGGACAATCGGCGAAACTCAGCAGTCCCCGTCCATAAGACGTGAGGTCTGGCTGGGCAGCAATCGCCCGCGTAAGCAAGTGAGGTTTCCCTGAAAGCAAGCAAGAAGCAAATCAATCAATCAATAGGCAGCTAAGGGGATCTCACCCCTTGGCCCCTCAAACCGGAAAGAGCTGAGGCGCAAGGGGTAGTACGTATCGGCGGGATAAAAGAGATGAGGGGGAGGGGCGGAGCAGGCCAGCCGAGAAGCGGTGCGTTTCAAGCGGAGGGCCGTAAGTGTAAGCGTAATACAATCAATCCTCAATCAAATTGCTAATTAATTATTGTTGGTGGTTGATCGTTTGTTAGTTTAGGCACGCTGACGCCGTCCGGTGGAATCGGAAGCCGAGACCTTGTTTGCACTGTAGCACAGCTCGGAAACACCACAAGTCTAGAGAGCAGAGATGTATGGCGGCTGGAACAAGTATCGGAACGATTGCATGGGAGACGCCGCGGTATTCAATTGGACTGTGTGGATGCCTAGAATTGCGGTGCTGTGGCTGTACGCAGAGTGGCAGTAGACAGGCGATCAATAAGATGCAGGATTGGTATTTGTTTTCTATAGAAAGAAAAAAAATTTTTTTTCTTGCTGATGTTGAAAAGCTGACCGCCAATCCGGCTCAGGAACGGGGTTTCTAGAGTAACAGCGTTTTAAATGGCCAGGCAGCAATCGATTTGAGCCTGTAGGTATAGCCAAGTAACGGGCTGCATACCAGAGGAAACAGCTGGTGGCGAATGTATGTATGTCGAATTGTTAATTGTATGGTGTTGATGCCACGAACAGTGGTTGCCTTTTGCTGTGCCTGGAAGAGAGAGGAAAAAAAATTCACTGCTGCTGGTATGTTTTTCTTCTTTTTGCAAAGCTCTGATGCACGGCGGCCTGACCAGGGGGCGCTGGTGTCATGGGCTGGTCTGAGTGTACCTGGGCACAGCCTAGAGCGAGCAAATAGAACAAATTTTAATAGCGCGCGCAGCCAACGGTGGAAAAAAATTTTTTTTTTCCAATCCTTGCAAGTCCTTACGCCGTTGGGGCCGCGTCAAATAAATGGGAATTATTCCGAGGACTCCCAACTAAAAACAAATAAAGAGGGACAGGGGAGTCCAAGAGGAATAAAAGGGAAGGAGAGAGGAAAAGAACAGCTCTCCTTCTCGGGGGGAGTCGCAGGGGCGTTGATCTATCACAGTGCTTGTCCCCGCGCGTCCGACGTGGCCGTTAAGCAGTCAAGCGAGGAGTGATGATTGGACTATTTCGGACTACGAATAAATATACACACATTTACTCCCCAATCCTCATCGGAGGGCCAAATCATGAAGAATCCTCCTATGATGAGCAAGGATTTCAGCCTAGTCAACGGCTCGAGGCTTGTTAAAGTGTCCGAAAAACCAAGCAGTTACATGTGGTTACACTTTCAATCCATGCACCCGAGACATGCAACCTCAACAGTCTAGTGAAGACCTGCTGGCATTATGATGATTAAGAGTACAAAAAAAAGCATGGGTGTGCTATGTACGTGCGAGGTGGTGGTCACATCGCCGTCCTTTCCTTTATCTTCCGATGACCTTGTAGGCTTGAACGGAGTATTCCGTGCCTACGCCCCGGTAATCAACCGTTCAGCCCTTGGTTAAGACACATTGGAAGAATTCTCTCCGTACCACGGCAAAATAAAGTGAAATGCCTACTGGGAGCAGAAAGCCAAAAAAATTCGCAAATGACGAATGATCAATCGATTGATGTGTTGTTGTTCATTGGGTCCTCAAGTGAGGGAATTGCATGACATTGGGGAAGATTCAACCTTGAAAGAAATTCGCAGTCATGGTGAGGGCCCTTGATAAATAAATGGCCAATTCTCATCGACTATGCGACCTGGTGCGCTAGTCTTATGCGTGGCTCCAATTGACTGGGGGGCCCTATGGCTCTGTGTATGTACGTAGTAAAAAGCAAGGCCCCGCTTGCAGCAATGAAAGAAAGGCCAAAAAAAAATTTTTTATTCTAAGAAGCAAGATACCTTTCCAAGTTGCTAGTGATAAATTTTACGATCGATGGAAGGTCCCCACTGAGTACATCAGCGATGCATGAACTGGCAAGAGAAATTTACATGAAGGATGAATTACGGCGTGGTGGAAAAGATTGGCTCGATCGCGGGCCGAGCGGGAAGGACCGATCCATTCCGTTCCCACCATTCGCAACGCCCTATTTTAACCGTCTTGCCGATGTTCTGTATTCTTCCTCCTACAAAATGAAATTATAAATCCTTACATGAAGATGAATCTACTGTTCCTAGTATACGGAAGAAAAGGCTATGATCCCAACACCGTTGTAAGCTTTAGAAAAGGACATGCTGAAAAAAGCTAAATCAGACAAATCCTTCCATGGCCCCAGGCAAAGGTATGCCGAAATTCCCGAAATTCCAAACATGCCCCCCCTACATTACTTATTTCTCACGCTGTACAGCGTAACGCTGTAATTATGGATCCAATAAGCATCTCGTGCCATGAACTGCTTCTCAAGTATGCATTCTTATCGACACTCTGCTTGTGTAGCACTGTAGATAGTTTACAACAACACAGCTCTAAGGGGAAAGAAAATAATCCCAACTTCAAACATCTTCCTAGTCATTTTTTCAAAGTGATGCTTCCAATTGCTAATAAATATGCATGCCAGCTACCAATGGCCCCATAGTACGGTTTGTGGGGTCAAGAGCAAGGTAAATAATAAAAATCGTATGGTCAGAAAACGACTGGTTATCGGAGCATCGCAGATTAGCTTGGAAACTTGGCACTCATCTATTTAGTATAGTGGATAGGTGTTCTGGAAGATTAAGATCTTTCTAATTCTCATAGCAGATTCGTTTAGATATGCGGAAATCAAAAAGAAAACGAAAGAGAAAAACGGATCATCTACGTCGATTTCATAGGTCGATGATGACGATAATCTAGTTGGGTTTGAGACGACACTGATATTATAGGAGGCCAGCTCTAAGTTTTAGGGCTGTGTGCTGGACAAGGGCTTAGGTACTTGCTTATTTAGGAAGGAGTCTGGAAAAACACCTGACTTCCTGCATTCATAAAATCTTGGTTTATCATTGCGTGCGTATGCGTAGATTAGAAACGGTTTGATAAATATCATATTTCCTAAAATGGTAATTCCTGCATCGACTCGTCATCAACCTATACGTATACATGAATGTCGTGTATGCTGTACTACTATCAGGCCAGCTTATGATCTAGCATTATGCTCGTGTCGCTCACTGTTGTTCCTCAAGAGCATAGACACGAATAAGCTCCATATCAATGCAAATATTATGCGTGCAGAGCCCGTTCATAGTAGCTTCCGGGTCTTTCAAAGTTCTGATCCAGCTTTGCTTTTGCTCAAACGGAAGACTCGCAAAGAGAAGGCATCTTCAGTTTTACTAGAGAGACCAAAATCCCCACGGCACATAGAAGGGCTAATGTATAACTAACCCCGGCCCGGCTTTCCGGTCCCTCAACCTTCTTCGCGGGATACTGACTAGTCAGCCTCACAGATATTGATGCCCGAACCGCTTCGCCTTGTTAGGCCTTTCGGGCATGGCCGGTGCAATTTACCACTTCGAACAGGTACGACGAAAGATTAGCCAAAATTGTGTATATACTGCGTATGTATGCGGATATGCAGGTATGCAAGTGTGTGTGTACATGTGGGAGAAATGAGCTATGCAGCTCAAGGGAATAATTGAACGGGCATTTTTAAGCTGCGTCATGCATTCATGCAATCAGTAGAGAAATTTCCGAGAGATATCTACACGAAGCAACTAATTTTAGCATAGATAACCTCTTGGTGGCGCTGATAATGCATCGTTATGCACTGTTAATGCAGAGAGAAGGAGCTTCTGATTAAAACTACTAAAGGTAAGACACATATATCACGAGCAAATTCACATGAAGCCCCAGCAACAGAAGATCTAGACGGAAAAATAAAGATCTTGTGCATTGCATTGATAAGTACTCTTCCAGACTATTGGAGGTTTTCCTCGTATCACGATTTTAATTCTGACTTTGCGTCAGATAACGTCCTAGATTCTGTTTTTGAGGCAGGACGAATCGTTTTTCTGTATATGGGAACGTTTTCCTCTGAGTCGCTATTATTTATTCTGCCTGCCTAGGTAGTTACTCAGATCGAAGCTGTCTCCCAGCATCCGTTGATACGTAGATCCACCATGGTCTGAAAGTCTAGGTCTAAATATGTAGCGCACTTTGTTACAGGCCACCTAAGCCGAAGCTCAAATAGGACATATATCCGAACGTATCCATATATATGAGCCAGTCAGGATGACTGTTGGCAAAGATGCCCGTGAATATCTTTGTCAATGATAGCGTTGCAAGCCATAAGTTCCTAGGTTAAGAGCGCGAGACGGGGGCAGCTTGCAAGGGCTAAGCAATCACAGCTTTATTCCACTGAGTCAAGAGTCTTAGTGCTCTCCATGAAAGTCTCGGTTGGACGGAGTTGCACCCTCGCTCCTTGCCTACTTTGTCTTGCTCACAATCACATGATCCTAGTAAGCTAGGGTTCCATGAATCCCAGCAAATTCCTAGCGATCCGACGGCTTCATACTCGAACAGATGCAACAAGTACAAAATCGATAAAGTGGTTTTGGAAGCCGGACCGTACAGATTCAAGTTACCATGGTAGGTTGATCTGGAGCTGCCTCCTAATATACTGAGCAAACGAAGTCATATTGTGCAGCCTCTATCTTACAGCTACCTAGCCCTAATGAATACTCTGGTGCTATGTCTAACTAAGGACCGCAGTGGCAATTAGGGAAAAACTGTCTACTAGAGAACGTACATTAGTGTCATTCTGAAAGTGAATGGGTTTCGAGACTTACCTCTTCCGAGTGCAATTGGTCGTGGCAACAGGGCAGTGAACATATTCTCATACTTCCAAGGCACCTTCCACTTTCATAGTCCATCGACTTGGTATCCTTCTGATGAGTATTACAGGCTTAACATGACCACCATAACCAAGGAGCAGTAGATGCTTGTCACGAAGATGTCGTATATGCTTTCACTCCATCCAACTTCGAGAATGATGGGAGGGTTTGGAAAGCGGCCATTAGCAATGATCATCACGGCATATTTTCACTGAATTGACAAATGGTACCGTAAATGCTTCTATCGATAATACAGACAGTCAGAGGTCAATGAGCACAAAAGATACTGCAGTCTTAGAAATGAAATACATGGGCCGGGTCATCAACGTCAATCAGTCCATACATATTAGAGATATCTCTTCCCTTCCTTTTCCCTTTGTCTTAGAGTTTGCACGCTCCGCCTCACCAATACACTAGCCACAGTATTTCAGAACTGTGCAGCATCAGCAGGATATTTGGCTGTGTAAGATGAATTTACGTAATATCATCGATCAGATATCCATTGATAATGGCGTTCCAATCCGGCAAAAAAGGGAAGTCTAGCATTGACAAATCTAAAGATGAGAAAAAAGTTTGATTGGAATCGGTCATAAGTTCTTGGTTCAGTTCGGAGAAGCTGGTTGTGCCATGTGCTGCTGCTTCTGCTGCGGCTGTTGCGTTTTCTGTCGTGTCGGTTGACGGCGGAATTTTGGTGACTGGAAGAAGATTCTGGGAGGAAGCAGAATGTTCACTACTTCTGGACAACGGCCGCTGGGCATGTTGTCTCAACGATGAAGCTTGAGATCGGAGTAGATTGAGATATGACCAGATACTACCGTGCGCATAATCATCATCCAGACTCATTCCATGAGGGAAGAGCTCTTCAACCAACGTCCAGGCGCGTTCTGTCTCGGGTCCACAGGGACTGCTACAGAGACAGCGCAGAACGTAGGCAAGAGCGTACCATTGCGTGTACATTTCGAAGAACCATTTGAATCTAGAAGTAATGCCCTCTTTTAATAACACAAGACTGCATTCTAACGTATCACAGGCCAACTTGAATGACTGCTTGTGCACGTCAGAGCTGGCATTATCTTGAGTGTATTTTGGTTTTCGCATGTTGACTTCCTCTCGTAGTTGCAGCACGAATTGCATCTTTGTATGGGCAGTGGTAGTATGTTGAATTGCAATGCGTAACAAATCAATGGGCGTTGCAGCACCGGGTAACATACCATATTTAGCTGCCAAAGATTGAGCATGCTCGTCCAATAGACTTCTTTTTTCTCGGATGCTAAGAAAAGAATTGGCGGAACGTGGCTCGTGAATGCTCAGAATCGGATGTAGAAGCCGGCACGACTCTGTTTGAATCAGAAAGAAAGACATTTCTGTCCAACCGTGCGACTCTACGGGAAGGCGGGCCATGTCTGGATAGATTTGATCGTCATTCACATTCAAAGGAAGCCGTAGTCCACGGTTCATAACATCAACGGTAGGTTGAAACCCCTGATCCTCCGGGGCACGGGAATCGAGCACGCATAAATGCCACCAGAGACGAAGACGCATTTCCGCGTCAAAGGGGCTCAGTTGGAAGGAGGCACCGTCTCGGTGCAGGCCAATTGATTGAGCGAGCCGGATCGCCAGCCCATTGAGAACCCATACACTTCGGCCAACTTGATGGACACGTAAACAGGTCTAAAACAGCGTGATCAATTAGGTAGGTCAATCCAGTGAATTTGAATGATCAAGCAATTTACAGAGCCGGTCTCGGTACTCACAGCATATATTGCGAGGGCCTGTAATGAGATTATTCCAGGTCGATCCATAAGTTCCGTTGCAGTGAGAAGCCGGTCTAAGGATTTCTTGTAACGTTTCAAGAGCAATGCTTTCTCGCAGGGCAGGTCAATGGGTTCATCTTCATCATAACAGAGAACCGTGACGGCGGCAAAATAAATTGCATATGTCAACGCCAATATGGAAGATTGTGCAGATTTGGGGTCCAAGATGGTCGCAACAACAGTAGACTGAACAGTTGGTATATGCAAGATTTTGAGGACCGGATCGACCGATTTGACGTATACATTCCATAGCCGAAGGGCTAGTTGGGCATCAGGGTACAAATCCAGCACATCGGAATCGACATTGGAAGAAGAAGGAGGAGTATTTGGCTGTGCAGGGAGTGTGTGGTGAGCTTTTGCACTCTTCTGGAAATGCGAAGAGGCTGTTCCAGAGCCAGTTGACTGTAGATTTCTGGCTTGTTCTTCCTAGTGGATGTATCATCTTAGCTTGACCGTACCATAATAGAGGAAGTAGAAATGGAATCAACGATTTATACAAATGTAGACTAACATTTTGTGTTGGAAGCGAATTATTCCCATACCGGACAACCTCTTTCTCATTCAACAACAACTCCCATGTTGACTCGCCTGTGTCTTGGTTGGATGAATGTTGATTTGCGGCTTCAATTTCATTGATATTTGCATCAGAATGGAACTGAACCTGCGTCTGAGTATCGCGACTACCACCACTTGCTGCACCTGCAGTCACTTGGCCACCCTCAGCAAGACGTGATAGCAAAACCTCGAGTCGTTCCAGCCGGTTAGAGATGCTTTGGAGAGTAGGGCCTTTCCGTGCCATGTCCGACTCCTTTGTCGGATACTCGCAGATAACATCATATCTCGAACAGTTGGTGCAAGGTACTGCACGGTCACAACGGATCTTGCGCTGATAGCAGCCTCGACAAGATCGTGCCGCAAGCTTGCGGCTTTGCGGGGAGGACTCCCGGACGGGATGGGCCACATCCTTCTTCTCAGAAGAGGCGGCTGCTCGCTTTTGTACTCTGGCCATCATTCTAATGACCAAGGTATATAGTGTTCAGGCTTTGGAAAGGACTCGGCCGCTGGTGGTAGGTAGTTGATAGTTCCCCGGGACCGAGGCGCCCGCAGTTGCCTTAGATGAGGCTGACATTGGCTTCCCCGGCTTTTTCGGCGCCGATGGGACCGATATGACCAGCAAGCCAGCCAGTCACAGCCCAGCGACCGCGCATATGGACATCAATACAGGAGAATATAGAAATGTATATATAACATTCTGAATCCACGCAATCTGTATTCCAGAAACTGCCTAAATACGTTGTGTGTTCCGCCCACGCCTCGATTCGGCACGATTGAAACAAGCCTCTTCGATTCAATTGAATATCAACATATCACCCCTCCATTCTTTCATCATGCCAGGTATCGAGGCAAAGGAAGATATAAATGAAATAAGAAGTTACTCGGACACAATTTTGGCTACAGCCAATGGTCACCGCGAGCCCCGCAAGGCCATAGATGCTATCAACTGGAGTTTAGGCATGAAAATCTATCATACCGTGATCCCCTGCATCCTAGCCTTTTTGATGTAGGTCTTGAACAAGGCATGCCATTACAGCCACTCCTCCTAACTAATTCATCCTTTAATACAGCACATTTTCCTCCTCCGTTACAGTCCCTGCCACCTCGGCCCTCATGGTCGAGTTCAACATTAGTCAAACCGCAGCCATCCTTTCAGGAACCCTATACATGCTGGGGCTAGCCTTCGGCCCTATGATCATGGCGCCGCTGTCAGAGTTTATTGGTCGTCGCTGGTTGTACCTGGTAACTTCATCAAGCATAATTGCTTTTGCAGGGGGTGCTGGAGCTGCACAAACTTTCGCCACACATTTGATCTGCAGGTTTTTCTGTGGGTTCCTCGGATCAGCTGGAATTGCCATCGGTGCAGGAACAATAATGGATGTTTGGGGAGTGGCAAAAGCTGGAGGACTGGCCAGGCTTCTCTTCATTTGTGGCCCGTTTCTGGGGCCTTCGCTGGGCCCCTTGGTAGGGGCATATGTTATGCACGAATACCATGGCGATTGGAGATGGACGCAGTGGGTAGTAGCCTTGATTGGAGCACCCATCTGGATCATGATCCTATTCATGAAAGAGACCTCTGACGCTCGAATCGAACAAAACGCAGAATATTCCGGTCGCTTGGGCACTGTGAAGTTGGCCTTGTCAACACTCAACGCTGCAGTTGTCCGTTCAATGAACATACTCACCACCGAGGCGATTGCATTTTCTATCACTCTGTACACTGGATACGCTTATGCCGTGGTCTTCAGCTACTTTGCAAGTGCCACTTATGTCTATCAACTAGACTATGATTTCACCGATCGAGAGGTTGGCCTTGCTTTTATCAGCGTAATTATTGGTTATTTTCTGGCCGTTGTCATGTATATGATAATCGATGCAACACTTTACGCTCGCGCTGTGCGAAACGCACCCACTGGCCGCCCAGCCCCAGAACACCGACTGTACGCTGGTATGATTGGAAGCATTTTCGTACCCATTGGGCTATTCTGGTTCGTTTCATAGCCTTCTCCCCTGGGAAAAAAAAAAAAAAAAAAAAAAAAAATACAGTCAAACTAGGATTTCGGTGCAAAACTAACATTCATTCAACCTGCCATCCAGGTATGCATGGGCCCCTCAGCCAGGAGGTCACTGGGCAGCAGCTGTAGCTAGCGGTATTCCATTCGGTCTTGGTGCCTTCGTTCTCTTTGTGAGTAACGAATCTTTCCCCCTCGCTTATGCTATAGTAGAAGTCAAACACATCTGACCGCGTCTTTTCCCCTTGAAGTTGTCGTCTATGATTTACCTTGTCGAGTCATACGGAGCTGGTGCTGCTGCATCTGGTAAGCTTTCTTCTGTCTTAGTCTCTGACCTTAACTATACAAAGTCCAGGACTCACTCTGTTCCAGCTCTCGCTGCCAACGGTGCCTTTCGATACCTTCTTGGAGCGGTATTCCCATTGTTCACCGTCCAGATGTACGAGAAACTGGGCGTGCACTGGGCCGGAAGCGTGTTTGCCTTCCTGTCTCTGGCGCTCCTGCCTATCCCTTGGCTTCTCTTCAAATTTGGCCATCGGCTGCGCAAGAACAGCCGATTTATTACCTCGGTCTCCGTATAAATCCGTTGGTTCAGAGGCCTTACCCGGAAGAGTGATTGGGTTTGGTAGAGCCTGGCTATGAAGTCTCACAATCGCGCTAGGCCTGAACTGGGACGCGCGCTAAGGAGACGAGAGTGCATGACATGACACTAGCAGAGGCTAGTATTATTCAGGAAAGCTGATTAACTAAACGACTAATCACTGCCGCGGAAGATAAGATAAGACTAACTAGTTACGAGTTGATGCATGACATAACGGAAAGCACGTGACTATTCACCACTATACCATGGCAGATACTACGGTATCAAGGGACAGGAAAATGGCAGAACAGGAATCTAGATAAATATGCCAGATGTTACGTATCTAGTCTTGTCCTTTCTAGTTCTTTGATCTAAGTTATATTAGGGAACTATTCAATGAGAGAAGTAGCAAGGCAACTTGACTTCAAGTTTTATGATAAATAAAGGAATTCCTTGATTCTCTTCTTTCTTAGTTGTGTTACTAAGTTATTGCTACTCAGGACTGGTTTATACACCTTGTTATAATGAACCCTTAAGGGCCTCTGTGTGATTCAATGTATACAACGAAGGTAAACCCAGGTCCATGACAGGCAGGCGGTGAAGTACTAAGCCCCAGGCCCCACTTTCTCTTGACAAACGGTTCATTGGCTATCTATGGACGTTCAGACATAGTCCTGGAACATCAAGCCGAATGTCGCTTTGGTAGGGGGTCATGGATAGTGTCAAAAAGAGAATATCGTACGTATCTATTCTGTTTACCAAAAAAATTACCAATCAATACTTACAATTCTTGCTTGAGGTGCCAACGGTGTCGGCTGCGAAAGGTTTGTAAGAACTCGTCCAAGTCGCGGCATCAGGACGCTAACAGCCATGCAATGAAAAGGTTCGCTGCAATCGCGTTTACCCATGTAGCACCTGCACCACAAGTGGCGCAAACTGTGTATTTCGAGATGAGGACACGAGGCGCCGGCCAGTGAGTCGCGAATACGTGGACGCGCTGGAGAGGAGGATTTCTTTATACGAGCAGCTGATATCGCGATTACGAAGCGCCTCAGAGAGTGAAAGAGATGAGCTTTTGAATGCTGATGAGCATGCTCTACCCCATCCTCAACTCGACTTTGTAACTGTCGATGGAGACTTTGACTACACCGGGTCTTCCCGGCGGTCTACTATGAACATGCGCAGTGAATCGCCCGGTAAGTAACACCATTTTTTTTATAATGTCTATTTCCAAATATGAAGAGATATTAAAACTCTATTAGGCACATCATCCTTTTATGGACCAACCAGTGTTTATCCGAAAGAAATTATGACGCCTCCGTCATTGCCGAATGCATCATATCATACCCTCGAAAGATGGCGGGATGCACGGCTCCATGAGAGCCTACGATTCAATCACGAAAACTTTACAAAAGCTCTGGTTTGCTTTTTCAAGTACCAGCACCCGCAGTGCATGTATATTCAGCGTGGTGCCTTTTTACGAGACTACAAGAATCTCGATTATAATAGCAGATACTGCTCTTATCCATTGCTATACGCAGCATGCTCGTTGGGCGCCAAGGTATCCGGGGACTCGCAGTTATATCAGCATGCGGACTTTTTCTCCCATGTGTCATACGAAATGATAAGTAAACGTAGTCTTGAAAGCCCACATTTGACCATGGTCCAGACGCTTTTGTGTTTGGCCTTTTCCGAGCTTAGCCAAGGGCGCAATCCTAAAGGCTGGATGCTATCTGGTAAGTTTTGGTTAAGCCGTCTCAAAATGGCCGAAAGAAGAAAAAAGTTTACTGATATGCAGATAGGTATGGCGTTTCGAATGGCACAAGATTTGGGGCTACATCAAGATCCGAGATTTGTGGCAAGTGATGATGACACTAATATTCAAGATGCTCGAGATCAAGAAATTAGAAGACATATATACTGGGGGTGTTACGCTATGGACAAGTAAGACATAAATTGGACTCCAATTAATTTTACGCCCAACTGACGAGACAATCAGAATCATTAGTCTATATTTCGGCCGACCAATGTTCCTGCATGAAGAAGACGCCGCTGTTGACCCTATCAATACATCTTTGTAAATATCCCGTGAATTCCTCATCAATCTTTCTTTTTCACTAAGCTGAGACTGTGTGGCAGGATGCAAGCCGATGATGACGACAATACAACAGGAATTCCAGACCTTGATGAGAATGTAGAACTCCACCAGCTGCTTTCATCATCGTTGCTACAGATTGCAGAATTAAGCAAAATTATTGAAATTGTCCTGTCGCACGTTTTCTCCACCAAGATGATCAAGAAGTCGCGCAAAGATCTGGTTATGACACGGCTTGCGAGGCTAGAAGAGCTAAACCTGCGCCTCTTTCGATGGCATTCCGCATTGCCCGAGAGTCTGACATGGCACAAATGGATACAAAGGACAGACGACTTGCATAGCAATACACTCATCATGCAGTAAGTTGTTCTCTTCCATGTACTAAACTTATGGCTACTGCTCCAGATTGACACCCTTCCAGCGTATTATACCATAGTACGCTCATCTCTCTGAATCGACACTTTATTCAGCCAACGCCCGGCTTTGCGCGCAGGAGCCAGTCTAAGGAGATATGCCTGTCATCCATAGACAATATCATTGCTATTCTGCGACACTATCAGACCCAATGCCCACTTTCGAGAGGCCCCATAGTTCTTATATACGGCACAATCATGGCAGCTACTGCTCTGATATTCACATACGAAAGTCCTACAACTCCGACAAGCAGCAAAGAATCAGGAAATTCGAATGATTCACCCCAGGAGCCCGAACTCGATTATCAGGTGACAGCTATCATAAAAATGCTGGAAGAAGTTTCGCCAACATACCCGCCAGCTCGCGAAGCGAGTCTGAGGCTCAAGGCATATTTTGGGGTTTCTTCTGTGCGGAAGGATCGTCACCAAAAACAGCCAATACAAGCTCTGCGAAACAGATCCATTGACGCCGGTTCAGCAGAAATGCAATATTCAGAAAGTGCACTTGACGAACAGTACTGGTCTCAGGACCCGGTGGCAATGTGGAGTTCGATGGATGCCGGTATACTAAATTTGATGCCCATGGACTGGCCGGGTGCAGATGATTATGAACTGTAAACTTGGGATTAGGGATCCCTTGCTATGATAAATAATTTCTTTCTTTAATTATTTCATGTATATTATTGCATAATTTAGTTTGATAATACGCCGTGGAAGGAGAAAAAGCGTACACGGAGTTCCTAGCCCGCTATATTTACTCACGGAATCAGAACTCCGACGCGGCCTTCAACCAAAAAGTGTGTTACCTACGTATGCATCTTGCTACATTACCTGTAATTTATAAAGCTCACTGTTGCAGCGTGACTGGATAACTACCTTATTTTTGTCAAGATTCGACACAGCAGCAAGAATGGTGCCTTATAGCCACGGACCAGCATTTGACGAGGGGTTCCTATCTGTGAGCTCGTTGCACGCACTGCATTACGAACAGTACGGCAAAGTCGATGGAAAACCAGGTAACTTGACCTTGATACTTTCGGAATTTCTTTCTTTTTTGTTTCTCCTAAAAAACAAGGTACAGCGCTTTTCCTCCACGGAGGTCCCGGGGGAAGTACATCTCAATCCAACACTATATACTTCAACCCCAGCGTCTACCGTGTTGTCCTCTTTGATCAGCGGGGAGCCGGTCGATCCACACCCAGTGCTGAGATTCAAGAAAACACCACGCAGCATCTCATCCAAGACATTGAAGCGCTACGCAAGCATCTCCAGATCGCCAAATGGCACCTCGTCTTCGGAGGGTCTTGGGGCTCCGCGCTGGCTCTGCTCTATGCCCAAGAATACCCCCAATATGTTGGCTCGCTTGTTCTCCGGGGCATTTGTACGGTTCGCAAAGCGGAACTTGAATGGAGTAGGGGAAGTGCTGGCGCAGCGCGGATCTACCCTGATGCTTATCAGAAGTTTCTAAGTTTCCTGTCAGGGGTTGAACGGGAAGATCCCATAAAGAGCTACTACAAGCATCTGCTGTCTTCAGATCGCGATACAAGGGTTGCCGCGGCGCGGGAATGGAATCGGTGGGATCTAACGATTGGCAGTCTTGCGCCTAGCCACGAGGCCTTTAGTAAGTTGGACGACGAGAAATGGTTGCTTACACATGCAACACTCGAGGCGCATTATTTTGCACATGGGGCTTGGATAGAAGACGGGCAGATTCTACGCCCACAGAATGTGGACAAAATCCGCCATATTCCTGGTAAGTAAGAAACATCATGTGTGAACTATGAATAGCTTCTAACAGATTTTGTGTTACAGCCACGCTAATTCAAGGGCGCTACGATATTATCTGCGCTCCAAGAACGGCGTGGGACTTACATCAAGCGTGGCCGGAGTCGAGATTGATCTGGGTTGCAGCTGCAGGACACAGTGCGAAGGTCAGGTCATGCCATCCTTATGTTTCGAGCAGGCAAGCTGACAGTGTTTTTTTATGTTTATAGGAGCCAGGAATTGAGGAGAAATTGATTGAGGCGTGTGACGGGTACGCAGATCTGGCTTTTTATTGAAGATAGCAACATTTTTTTTCTGAATTCTACTATTTTTGAGTTCAGTTTATCGGAGAACTTTTTTAATAAGTCCAGTCTGTATTAGTTGCGGATTGATAGGTATAGAATATAGTAATCAGGACTATATAACAGATAGTAGCTGCAAGAAAGACAATCTACGCAATCTCGCGAGTCTCCTGAAACCTTGAGAACAATACTTCTATCGATTTCTTGAGGGATTCTATTGCTTCCTCACATATTTCTGGAAAATCCGCAATTAGTAATCTTTCAAAATCATAGCAACGAAAAAAAGACACTCACGATAATGCACCACCAAGCGATCACGCGAAATCAAAACCCCCCTTGTCGCTGCTTCTTTGACGAGATCCTCCAAAGTAAAACCCAATCCGTTAAAATTGAACCAGACCATATTTGTTTCTGTCGGAAATGTCAGTCTGCCTCCGTGTTTCTGCCACTCAGCCGCAATATCCCTAGCTATGCCATGGGTCCTCTGAAGAAGACCTCCACAGAAGGTCTGTTCAACAGCGACTCGTGCTGCAGCGCACAGCGGACCTGGTTGGCGCACCCCCCCTCCGATACTCTGCCTAATCCAACGTGCATGGCGAATAACAGCCTCACTTCCGACCACGACCGCGCCAGCAGACGCTCCCAGACCCTTTGCAAAGCAGAGAGTGATCGTATCAAACAATGGACCATAGTCTGATAAAGATCCTTCCCCTGCAGCAATGGCTTCCCAGAGTCGTGCACCGTCCAAATGGACTAAAATACCATGCTTGTGCGCGTAGTTGCAAATGCGTCGAATTTCAGATAGCGGCATAACCATCCCATTAAGCGTGTTTTCAAGCGCTATGATCCGTGTAGGAGCTTTGTGTATCTGCTTGCCGTTATCGACTTGAATACGAGGAATAATATCATCGTCGAGAGTCAGAAACCGTCCATTGGCCGGCTGTACGACCTGCGGGATCGCTCCAGTCAAGGCAAATACTCCTCCAGACTCGTTGTTGAGAATGTGTGCACGCGCGTCGCAAAGTATTGCGTATGGCGGTTGCGTGAGGAGACTGCGTATGGAAACGAGGTTTCCCATGGTGCCGGACAGGACGAACAAGCCAGCTGGTTTGGAAGTCAAATGAGCCATGTAATTTTGCAGCTCGTTTGTTGTAGTATCCGTGCCTGAGACATCGTCCTCGAGGCTGGCATTAGAGAGAGCCTCCAGCATCGCTGCGGTCGGTCTTGTTCGGACATCTCCTGCATGGAATGTTAGTCATTGATTGCTATACATATGTAACTAACTCTCGCTTAGAGAATAAGGCTTTGTGTAGTGTACCGCGGAAATCGAATGCTGCTGTGTCGGGATGCGACCATGCATTGTAGTCTGGCATTTTGGCTTCGTGATAATCTGAAAGATAATCATCTGTCTTTCAAGATTGATTATCATGCGTGAACGTTATAAAAGAGCGAGCGGAGCAATGCTCCCGCTAGGTTTCTGGCCGGAGCTGGTTTTCCGTTGTATATCCAAGTAGGGGACAAATGGACCATTCCTGTCCCTTCAAAAAAAGCATAATTAATCGAAATTCCGGAAAAGTGAGACGTACCGGATTTTCTTTGGCTCTCTGTGGCTTTTTTTCCCTTACCGTTCTTCCGTAGGTAGTGCTCATCCTCGCTGCTACATGCTACATAGATGCGTAGGTATATGTTCATACATTGAAATTCATTATCAGCGATTCTCGAAGATTCCAAAACGAAAAAGGAATGTGTGAATGATCATCAAACACTTCGGATGAAAAGTAATTCTTAATAATGGGCAATAATTCAATCAGGGCGAATCCCACGGCTTCGATCCCAGTCCGAGTAAGAAAATCCCCGCGTAGCTGCAATATGCTTCTCGAATTCTTCTGCTACCCCAATTACCTGCTTAAAGTGTTTATAGCCCAGGGTTTCCTCGCGGAACTGCGCCAGTTGCAAGGAAGTGCGTACCATGTTGCGAATTTCTCGTCCATTCAAATCAACCGCGGCGAGCTCTTGAATGTGCGCTTTGATATCATCAAGATCAACGTTCGGGTTTGCCTTGCTCAGTCCATTGATGAAATTCAGCCAAATTTCGTGCCGACCCTGCACGTGCAAAGCAGGGTAGTGAATCGCCAGCTGAAATCTCGATTTAAACGCACCATCGAAAGTGCCAACTCGGTTTGAAGTGAGAATCAGAATCCCGTCGTAGTACTCCAGGACTCGCAGAAAGACAGATACCAACGCATTGCGCTGCAAGTCTGTCTCCCGGCGTTCTTCGAGAAACACATCTGCCTCGTCAAGAAGCACAACACAGCCCCAAATGGTTCCAATAAGCAGGACTGAATCGAGGTACTTTTCGATTTCCTCTGCGTTTGTTCCAATGTCGCCGCATGTAACCCGATATAAAGGCTTTCTGGTTAATTCTGCGACGGACTCCGCGGTCAATGTCTTTCCAGTCCCTGGGCCCCCGTGCAGGAGCATGATCAATGCATTGCCTTTTCCTTCAATGATGTCTGTGGATTTGGCAGATACCGCGTGTACAGTTATCAATGCTTTGATCAATTCCTTTTTGCTGTGCTGCATCACTAACAGGTCGAATGCACCGTTGTTCCAATCGATTTCTCTGATATACTGCACGAGAATAGTTCCTATGGTGTGCACTGCCTGATGATTGAAATTTGTAAACTCCTTAATAATATTTTATGTCAAACGACTGCCTTGTATGATCGGCAGGAGACCTTGAGGCTGTCTAGACATTCTAGTCCACAGCCCCCAATGCCTCCTGCTATTCAAAGCAACAAAGCAGTGCTGACAATCAAATATTAGCATGACGGGAGTCCCAAATTTCAAGTTCAGGCGGTGCAACAAAGAGTTAGCAGTATACTAAAACCAGGATGATATCGATAATGACTAACTCCATTTTTTATCATGCATCCCAAACCCATGTATCTCATGCGGCAGTAACATAATAAATGAATCATCGAGAGGAGGGTCGTCATTTTGCATGGCTTCAGGGCTTAGAGTGTCTCGCTGTGAAGATTCTGTGGAAGAATCCCCGTGCATTTGCTGATAAGTATCAACATCGACCATATACCGTGGTTTAGACTGGACACATATTTGTTATCACGGCCGGGATTTCCATGGCCTGTAGGATTAGAAGACTCACTGTATGATATTTTAAAGTGGAGTTTGGGGGATCGTATGCTACAAATCGCGCTTTATGACACTTCCAAAACGTTTCTCCTCTGGCTTTCAGTTGTTTCGCTACATGAGGAGCGGCATATCGCAGGGGATATATCTCTAGACCGGAGATTGGGATCTCTGCGTCTTCATTTGCAGAAGGGGGCCAGGACAGGGTCCATTCTTCATGCTCCTTGTAGAACTTCCCATTAAAATGCCAACACCACAATCGAAGCACAATCGAATCACTGTTCCGAGGTCCACCTGAGGACGGCGGGCTTTCAAGCATGTATGCTCGATGATGACCACCCACATTTGTGACTAGAGGTTGGTTTGAACCGAATATTTTTGCCAAGTACTCGCGTTTGATTAACCCCTGTGAGATGAGTGCATCCGCCTCTTTGTATGCATGGCCATGCGCCCATTGCATATACTCTAGTAGGCTGCTTAATTGTAATTGCTGGCTCGTGGTCAGGCGAGGCACAATACCCTTGTCTAGACGACTAAAGTAGTAAATTGAATCCTGAAGCATTTTCACATTCCTGGGTGTCTCAAGATACGCAACCTCTTCGTGACCCATTCCAGTTATCGCAACAACTGCATCCCAGAGCGGTTCAGAGAGTATTTCCATTGTTTCAGACGACTGTATTGTCAAGGGACCATTGTCTTGTAGACTGAAAAATAGAGGTAGAATATAGTCAGGGATCTTGGGATCATTCGGAGTCGGCAAAGCCTTGAACAGTTTTTGTACATGCTCATTGTCAATATACTCCTGACAATCAAAGTATTTCCGCACAACGAAATTGACTTCTTTGTGTTGCTCGAGGTATTTTGAAATATCCTTGACCTTCTCGCGGCCCCTTAAAGCGCTCATCTTGCTATCACATTTGAATAGTCTTGGATGGTCCAGATAAATCGATGACGCTTCGTGACCCTCATGGCCCCCGTCTCGGACATGTTATCTCATATAGGATAAGATACTGAGCATGATTGTGTGCATGTTGTGGATGCGATGGTCGGGTGTTGGCTATGCAAGCATTATCAACGGCGTCATCATATTCATCGAGATATGCAGACAAGTCGGCACTGCTTGTGAGCGGTATCGGACTGGAAGCGGCATCGTGACGGCGTCTTTTAGGCATGTTTGCGAAGGTGAAATTTTTTTCTCTTTCCTTGATTCAAATTCTCAGCTTGAAATTATGCAGAACACAGTCAAGTTCAGCCTTGTTCGTCTCTATTCCAAGGTTCCCGGAACCATATGCCCTATTATGAGATGAGATCGAGTTTTAACGTCGGCTTATAGCCTCTCGGAAAAAAAATGCCAACTCATCTTCAGCATCATGAATATCAAATTGGATGGATATGTGCTCTTTCAGTAGAAATGGCCGCAGCAGAAGCCATGTTAGACGAAATGCACGATCAGCTGCCCAATGCTAAGGGAGATAGAAATGCATATATTCTGGGACGCATTGGTGCCCATAACATTGTCATTACCTGCCTTCCGGCTGGAATATACGGCACAAGCTCTGCCACGGCGACTGCGACACAAATGCGATTCACGTACGGGTAGATTCAGTGCTGCCTTCTTGTTGGAATTGGAGGCGGCGCTCCGAGTGCTGCATCAGATATCCGACTGGGTGATGTTGTGGTTAGCGAGCCAACGATGAGCTACGGAGGCGTTATCCAATATGATCACGGAAAAGCCCTAGATCGAGGCCAATTTATAATCACAGGCACATCAGACAAACCTCCTGAAGTTTTATTGAGGGGCCTGAATCGATTGAAAGCCCGACATATGGTCCATGGAAGTACAATTCACCTTCTTTTCAAGGAGGCCTTGAGCAGGTATCCACACCTCCAAAAAGATTTCCAATACCCAGGCGAAGAAGGAGACCTGTTGTTCCTTGAAGACTACAGACATGGGAGCTCTGCTTCTAGCTGCAAGGAATGCAATACGGTTATGTTGCATACTCGCCCGCGCCGACTTGACAGCAAACCTCGTATATTTTACGGCCTTATTGCCTCTGCAAACAAGGTTATCCGAGATGCTAGTCTGAGAGATCAACTTTCACAGCGTCATGGTATTCTCTGTTTTGAAATGGAAGCCGCAGGCCTCATGAATACATTTCCATGCTTGGTTATTCGAGGAGTCTGTGATTACTCGGATTCCCACAAAAATGAGCGATGGCAAGGCTATGCTGCGATCATTGCAGCCGCTTATGCCAAAGAGTTGGTGCTTTCTCTGTCTTGGTATGACACAAGAGGCCGAGTGAATGCCAATGAGAGCCTCATACATGACCCTTTCAGCTATGAGGTTAAATCACTAGCGCAAGGGAAAGATTCAGCAACATCTGATCCAAGCTCCAGCCCTAGCCCTACATCTCCGCCCCCTCTTCCTCAACATGTAACTGGTCAGGATATAGGTGCTGGATCTATTCAAGTCAATGAACAGAAGTCAACCAATGATGAAAGAAACAACGGAAATTTCTGCCCTCAAGGAAACTATACAAAAAGCCTCGTACCGTATCAGTCAGAGAAACTTCATAAAGGACAGTTTGATCAAACAGCCATCCTGGAAGCTTTCAGTCCACATATAGATTACAGACTTGCCTTCCAGACCAGCTTATCTATGGCTCGTGCTCAGAGGTCGTGGCATCCCTGGCCAGGAGATTGTGTGGATGTCTTTAATGCAATGAATACCTGGCTCGCGGCAGGCGAATCATCATTGCTAATATTGAACTCAGAGTTTAGAGCTTATTCTAGGATGAAAGACCTTGTTGTCGAGGTTATCCAGTTTTTGAGTCAATGGGAGGAAGAAGAACATAAAAAAGGAGCAAACTTCTCTAGTTACCAAATCTTCTGGTCCGTAGATTGCACAGACCAAAGCATCGGAATCGAGAGTTGCTCGAATACCACCGATGGAAGCATTCGACTTGAGGCTCTCAAGTTTGTCATACTTTCTATTATTAAAAGCAATTCAGAAGTTCTCAACGAGGTTACTTTCAACTCCCTCGATAGTCAGTTTTCGGAGGATGCATTATGGCAGCTCCTCTTATTAATTTTGTCTCATATCACCAAGGCATTCGTGATATTTGAGTCCAGGGACCCATCATTCATTTCTTCAATATTGCATCTACTCACTAATCTTTCTAACAAAGGAGATCATAAACCCAAATTCCTTGTGGCGTATGGTTCCTCAATATATTCCAGTTCTTCGGACCCTTTCTCTGATAACTCACTGCTTGATTCTAACAGCACGCAGCTTGTCCATGTACGGCCACCGCCACCGCAATCGAGGAAAGCACTAAGACAACCTCGAAGAGATTGCGATTGGAGATTATTCAGCCCATGTGTTTAGCTGAATACCAAGCGCTCGCTGCGTTTTGGCCTTCTGTGTGTTGTTGCCAGGGTGCTGGTGCGGTTTGGTAATGATTGCATTTCTTGCTGATGTTTAATGAAAGAAGAGTTGAATACATGTATGTCGTTAGCCAAGTTTTGAGATGGCGAGCCAATCTTCTGACCGGCGTTTGTGGCTGTTATAGAAGGTCAGTCAGGTAATATAAAAGGCCGTAGTTGCTTAGTAGAAGTATCTTGACCAGTATTGAGCGATTTAGAATCTCTAATCCCACTCAACTGCTCGGGGATTTGTTTGTTCGCTTGGAGCCTATTTGCCAGTTCCCCTGGTTACTTCAACCGCATGCTGAGCCACTTTAAATCCGTCGCCATTTGATTTGCGCTTCAAGTAGGGCCTGGTCCTAGAACCGGAGCGATTCTAAAAATAGTCGCCGCAAATACAATATAAGCTGCTTCTGCCGTGGAGTTATGCTAGGATCGTCCAAGCCAATGTTTTCTGCAGCGCCCCGTTGTTTTCCTAGAGGTGACGACGCTGTGTCCTGACGGGTATGCAATCCACTGAACTTTTCATTCTTTTTCTTAAAGTATTTCAGTTTGGCAACATAGTCTTTATCTTTTCCTGACAGATCCTCTGATATAGTGGATTTGATAGCGATTCTCGACGTTGTGGTGTCCGTTGAGGAGGACTTCTCTGCGCTATTGGTGTGCAAAATACGGCTATGGTGGTGCTTGGCTTTCTTGCTTGACGTTTCATATAGTGACTCGTTTCTTCTTTTGGGCATATTGCAGGTCGACAATTTTTTTTTTCCGGCCAGGTTTGGAGTTGATCGTAGTCAGAAGAACGGGCTATACATCGGAGGAACAATGGCTAGGCGGCGGTATTTCCGGAATCGGTGCATTCACTGCTGGGTGAGAGAAGACGGAAGTTCAAGGTTGGGTCTCGATGAATTTATTCCTTTGTATTCATGAAGGTTTCGAAATCGGGGTTTTCGGCTTCGAAATGCAGTGAGATTTTCATATGTACGACGATATGCGGAAGAATCGGACTAGATTTCCGAAACTCGATCTCTCTGAGTGAGCAGCATGGGTCAACTTGATGAAGTTTGACTTTTCAAGGGCAATTTGTGGAGGGGAATAAGGAAGAAGGGGTTGGGCAGGGGTTTTCTCTAGTGCTTGATATGTATGGCTGTGCAAGGCTGTGCTACTGCAAGGCTACGTAGTACATACTGACCTAGTGGCGCATTACTATCAAGTTTGTACTTGTATATAACAGTAAAGCATTGTTCATGCCCAGCTCCAAATGATGGAAGCTATACCTATTTGACACTCTGCATCTGGACACCAAATCGTGGAAGACGATTACATATATAGTTCTCAGCTCAATCAATGGGCCCTCAATTGACTACCCCGTTCAACTGCAAGGAGGTCTCCGTGAAATTTTCCGCAATCTTCAACAGGACACAGCTCGCTAAATTCAGACTCTTCCTTGGGAGATTGGTTCGGAAGCCAATGTCCGACATACCCCGGAGTCCTGAAGTTAGAGGAGAGGTTGCTGCTCGCCAAATCCAGATCATTAGTGGACGGTTCAAGACATTACTCATTTTTGGCAGTCTGATTTTCATTAGCAGGTTAGCAGAATACTATATCCAGTTCTTGATTCACTTGAAGTAGGAAGAGTGAAGTTAAACGAGTAGAACTCTCCAGTATACACAACTCTTTGGACTCCAGATTACGCTGACCAGAGCAGCAGAATGAAGGGTTTTTTTGAATTTCACTGATAAAAGCATTCGACTTGAGACTCAAGTTTGTCATAAGTTCTATTGGTAAGTGTACAGCAAATAAAAGCAGAAAGCAACGCTTATTGACAGCGTTTTCTAAACTCGGGAGTTTTTAGACGACGTTCTCCTTGACCGAGTTTGCTTGCAGAGAAATTGAATCCTCGGTATTCACCGTCGCGTATTTTCCATTCATGTGTTTAAAGAAGTGTCCCGGGTGTGTGATGCAGAGGGTTAATACGGCCACAGCGCACATTCTACGCCATGAACATTAGCTTATGTGAGATACAAATAGAGACGGGAGTGTGTTTCGACATACGCAGATTCAAATATGATGAAAGTGGTTTCGTCTTGCATAATGGAATTCTGCCATCCACCGGCCATCTCTGCGATACTGAATCACGAGTTAGTACCCCAAAGGTAGAAAAAAAGGAGAAAAGGTGAGATGCACTTACCGGTAGACACATCGTGCATAGGTAGCCACAAATGCCACCAAAATGCCACTACAAAAGATCCAGAAATTCTTGCGCATCCAAACATTCTCAGCTTCCACCGACAATTGATGCGCTGGTGCCTTCTTGACACTCCAAAGATATTGTGCCCATAATAGCCCAAATACTGTTAGAGTGATCACCTGCCAGACAATCCCTGCCAACATAACATCACTTCCAATGGAAGCGTCGTGGGGAGTGGTGGCTGTGGCTGCAAGACCACCACCGGTTCCTTGAAGAATGAGGGACAGGAGATCACAGGTGACGAAAATGTAAGGATACCATTCCGCCTTGAGCGTCGAATATTTGCGTCCAAAAAGATAGACTTGATGCTTCAGCGTCAAGTAGATGGCGGCCGACCAAAAGGCAGGCGCAATGGTCAGGGTGCAAATCTGTGTTTCAAATCCAACGTTGGAGTATGCGTTACTGTGCAGTATAAGTCGGCCAACGTACCCTAACCGAGCTTGTTAAATCCTCAATGCTCCAAGTAATCGGTTCCAACACTCGCGAGTCCGCTTACCGATGACCTCTGAGACGGCTCCTAGAATCACAGCAATACCGAAAGACCACATGCGCCATTTGAGCAGCTGGGCAAGCTGGACTAGACAAAGAATCCCAAAGATGGCACAAAAGGCGACGTTTGCGGCGAAGTTGGGGGCGTATCCATAGATAGTACCTTGGACAGGGCAGTCAGGACTTACTTCCGTGCACTCGATCGGTGCGCCGTCTCGAGTAATAAGCATTGTGATGGATACAGCATTGATGTTGATACACAGAGGTTAGATTGAAAGGGCTCTTGTTCGGATTTACTTCCACTCAAAGGGATCATTCCCATCTTTATAACTTTGACTCCTACACAATGTGTCTTGACTTCGCCTTGGAGTCGAAATACACTGATCTTGGCAAGAAACTCAAACTACAGAGGAAGCCAGGTTCTATTCCTGCGCAGAACTGACGTGGCCTATAGTGTGAGAGAATCATACGAAGGATGAGGTTCCAGGTACGACAAAGTCAACAACTCAACAGAGCCCTACGGACGTAACTCATAAATATGTGGCAGTGCAAAGCCAGAGAGCGAGTGTTTACGGCCGTGTACGCAAATTTTTCATGATAGGGGCATAAGTCCGCTAAATACTCTGTGTCATTAAGTCCGGCTATACGCTTATTTCTGTATGTTCACACGTTACGGCCGTAAGATATCATACAAAATCGTTCTATCAAACCTTCGTGCTGTGTTGGTCTTCAGCCCTGTGTCAATAGAGATATAAGCGAAGGCATCCATCAAACTCATATGTATCGTTGGAAAACCATGCAAAATAGTACGGTACAGCCTTCTGGTCTTCTATCATAGGAAAAGGAGGAAAGATGGCAAACCAATTCCGGTAGTGTTCAGCGTTCGTACTACAGAATAGGGGTAGTTGGTAGAACATAGGCTTGTACTGACTACCTCATCTTTTCCATTTTTGCGTTCAATTTGCCTCCTTATACTTATTTGGCAGCCTTATTTTTATCCCCAAGCCCAAAATCGCCATATTAGGAAATATGTCTAGGGCGTTTAAACTTTTTCAGCCAATCACAGCGCCCAATGCCAAGGCACGAAAAAGGGCAAGGCTGTGTTTCTATCAATAACCATGGATGATCCATAGCCTTTGCTAGAATTCAATCCTTTAATATAAAGATCAGGTCAACCAAAGCCACCACACTAATCCAGCTGTGTTGTTAACCTCTCGATCCTTGTTATCGGGAACCTTTGTGTGAAATCTGACACTGACTGTCCCCTAAAATGACGCCTCTCGCATCTCCCGGTATCCGGAATCTCTCAGCCACGGATATAATTTCTGCTAGCAAACCTCCACAAAGGGCCCGGCGTCGAAACCGGGCGATCCAATCATGCCTTGAGTGCCGTCGGCGGAAGATGAAATGTGATAGAGAAGTATGCATAACCCCCCCCCCCGGGGCTCAAATCCATACATATTGAAGGCCAGACAGAATCCCTGTCAGAACTGTCACGCATCGCAACAACAATGCATCTATGTCACTTCAGCAAACGCAGATGCCAAGATTTGTCAACGGTTGAATGAGATAAAAGAGGCCAAAGATGCAATCGATAACAGTCTCAGAGTAGATCAACTGAAATCCACAACAAAAGGTGGTGGCCCACGGCGAAAGCGAACTAGAAAGCCCGAAGAGCCCGTGAGCCATGATGATGATGATGATGATGATTGGGAAACTTCCGCCGATGACGGGCATTTGGAGCCAACGCCGCTGGCAGTGCAAGATGCAGCCTACGCGGACGAAGCTGACGATGATGTAGAAGATCTAGGCTTCAGAATTGGCAGATTGAGGATGGGAGAGAGGATCGGAGGCTACTACCGTCCACGGATTGCAGACGAGGTGTGTGTAACAACAGTACATTGCCCATGATCGAGTCAATAGCACTGACTTATGCTACAGATATTACTTTCCCTTCAACAGAATCCAAATCCCAGAGGTTCTTCTCCTCCCTCAATACTGTCACCGAGAAAGCCTAGTATAATAGAAGACTATTTGCGACCAGGGCCGTATTTCATGGTGCCTTCTATCAATTTGCTGTTTACTCAGGCTTCTTCGGGGGATGATTTGACTCGGTATCTGCCCCCTCGCAGTGCTTCAGACTCGTTGATGGAATGCTATTGGGCTGCGGTTCATCCAGTGTCTCGAGTTGTCCACCGACCTTCTTTCGTTCAACGATACGAAACTCTATGGGAGACAATAGAGAATGGGCATCGGGTGGCCCCATCGCTTGCAGCAATTGTTTACTCCATTCTATTCTCTGCTTCAGTTGCAATGTCCGAAGAACAGGTTTCAAAGCTCTTCCAAACCTCGAAGCAATGTCTGAAGGATAGCTTGCAACTGGGTACTGAGCTAGCTCTCGGTCAAGCCCAGCTGCTTAGAGCGAGCAAGTTGGAGACTTTGCAGGCATTCGTTGCATACTTGGTATGCTTCTTATATTTAGTCTATAAAATGGAATGAACTGATTTCTCATTGTATACTTTAGCTCCCAATGTGTCTCAATGAGATATCTCGCGCTCACTCCTCTTTGACCGGTATGCTGATTCGACTGGCCGAGTGCATGGGTCTGCACCGTGACCCTACTGAGTTTGGATTTTCTCCCACCGAATGCCACACTCGACGCCTAGTCTGGTATCAAATCTGCTATCTCGATCTCAAGACAAGTGCCATCCAAGGACCGCGCCCATTCATTCAGACAGACGGATATACGACTCAACTTCCTCTAGACGTGACTTCATTGCAAACATCCACCACCACCACCACCATGAATAAGCCACCAGCGTGGAACGACCTGATATTCTCCATGATTCGATTCGAATGCCAGGAAATGACTCGGCAAAACATAGCATTGCGCAATAGACTCGACCAAAAGAAGATTAGCCTAACCAAAGTGCTATCCAAGATCGAGGCTTTCCGCATTGAAATGAATGCCAAATACGGTGCTTTTCTCCACGTACCGTCCCCAAATTCAATGCAGAAAATGGCCAGTCTCGTGCTCAAGCTTTTCACAAGCCTGTTATACGTCAACATCCTGAATCGCTACATGACCGGCGTCGCATATCAGATCCCCGACAGGTTGCGCCAAATAGCGCTGACCAAGGGCACCGACGCCTTGGAAGCCGCGGTCGAGTTAGAATCAGCAAAGGACCTTCAGAAATGGGCGTGGTACAGTTCTTCCTGGCAGGAATACCACACTGCATTCCTCTTGCTTCTCGAGGTTTTCTTGTTCCCGATGCGCAAGGAATCAAGCCGCATATGGCGTTGTCTGGACTTTATATTTGCAGACGTTATCTCGACGCTGCCCCCTCCATTGCAACAAAAGCGAGCGGCGCAGAGCAGCATCCAAGAGAGTGTTGCACAGCGAGATACGAAAGCGAGGTATTTGCTGCTGATGATTGTCGAGCACATGCGCGCTTACCAAAGGGCGAAAGGAATCAAGACTCCAGTGCGGTTCAAGGACTCGATGATTGTCGTTCCGCCACAAAATGGGGGCGATGATTCCGAACCTAGGATGCCACCCATCTATACAAACGTGGAGCCAAAAGCAGAATGCAATGCTCGATATGCTGCAAGTGGTGTCGTGTCTGGCGATGCCGAAGTACCGTCACAAATACCCACAGGACTGCCACCTGTCAGCGAGTACCTGAATACTCCCAGCAATACAAATGATACTTACGGGACTACTACTTCCGGAGAATTCCCTCCTTGGGCGCAGTTCGAAGATTCATTACTTGAGAATCCGATTCTTCACCATAACCCCTCAACGGACACAACTGTGCATGGCGGAATGAATGGACAGCCGGATTACATAGATTCACAGATGCTAGAGATCGACTGGGTAAATTATTACTATCTTCAGTGCTCACCGTGTTTTATGCTTTTACTGACACGCTCTACAGAACCTTTGGAATACCCTATTCCCCCCACAAATCAACGATGGCAACCTGGACATCCACGAGGATGGCTTATACGTTTTTGACCAACGGGGATTCTAGCAGAGCAGCTGGCTTTTGTTTACACACCTAGAGCAGCACAATATGACTGTTATGTTACGGCTGAAGAATTCACTAGGACTGCCTTCATTAGACTAGATAGATACTAGGTACCATCCATCCCTATCAATAATGATATCTAGCGGTTAACGCCGTCTATCAATCTATAGGAGCATAGTATCCGAGAGCTAGATGTAACGTGAGGATGCTCTATATCAACAGCCTCAACGTTACATGTCACCACCACCACGACGACTCCAGTCCAACAGTATTTCCTCAGGACATGATCTGATTAGTTGACTGATAACTAGCTAGTAGCTGTGTGTGTGATGACGTTAAGTCCTAGTCTTATCGCAACTATTGACTGCTGTTGGGGGCGAAAAGCCAAGTGAGGGGCATGTCTTTCAGCTGGTTTACTACATACATGAGAATTAGCAAGTCAGCTCTGTTAGATATTGAATCGGCTCCAGTACGCCCGCCTTGAACACATTCTTCGGCTTCTCGACCACCACTGGCTCAATTGGCCCCCCGCAAAGATCCCACGAGACACTGGCATATCTGAGATAGTCAGCAAACGTCCCCGGGGCAATGTCATCCTCCGCACGAGCCTCCTCATCCCAGATAGACGCCAGATTCTCCAGCCCACACGGCGGGCCATGGCTAAGCTTTATCAGGGCGCTGTTCCGCAGCACATCGTCGACAAACTGGCTTGCGTCCGCATGCAGAGGCGCGTGCACATCATCCACGGCTGTCGCAAGCATGTCGTACTGCTTCCGCCCGTCCCAGCCCGTAATCCTCTGCGCGTAGTACAAATGGTCGGTCGCTTTGAGCTTGAGGATCTTCTCGGCAAAGTACTCTGCGCCATCAAAGCCCGACGCCGGATCGTAGAGATGGTGCAGCCGTTCCAAGGCCAGGAAATGCGCCAGATAGTCGCCCAGCATGGCATTGGGGATCAGCAACGGCGGGCACTCGAGCTGCGCGATCTGCACCTCGTAGGGCGCCAAGTGGGCCAGCAGAGGGTGCTGGTGGAAGCCGTCTGCGCTGGTTTTGCCTTGCCACAGCGCGCAGTAGACGGCGTGCCAGTGCTGGACCATGGCATTGCCGCGACGACAGGCGATGAAGCCGTTGAGCATGGGGCCGGGGGCGGCCCGCAGCGGCATCAGCACGCCGGCCATCTCGTAGGCGCTGGCGGGCGACGCGATCTCGCGCCAGCAAATGTCGTCGAGATGGCGCAGCAGCAGCATGCCGGCGTCCATCCACACGCCGCCGTAGAGGAAGAGCAGCGGCAGACGCAGCAAGTCGGACAGATGCTGCGGCGGGCCGGCGAGCGTGCCGTCGTTGTAGGCGGCTGGGAAATGGGACGATGGCACAAAGCGCAGCATGTTGTTCACGGAGCCCTCGACGTTGTCCAGCACGCGCACCGTCCACTCGGGCCCCAGACGGCGCACCCAGTTGATGATGTTGCGCTGGCACCAGGGCCGCATGCCCGTCCAGCCGCTGTCCCAGAAGGCCCAGACGTTCTTCTCGGACGCGCTGACGGGCTGGTGCGTCTGCAGCAGGCGTGCGATCTGCTCGTCTGTGCGAGTGTCTGGCGCGAGCTGGCGGAAGCCGGGGGGCAGTGTGAACTTGACAGTCATCATGGGCAGGTAGATTTGCTGGTGGCAGGGGAGGTTGTAGAGAGGCACATAGAGAGGCCTTCAAGCTTCAACAAAGAATGCCAGCAAGGGGACCGATTGGGGAGCCGATACCCCGCCCAACACAACTTGTCACTTGGTCGCAATCTGACCTATCCTGCCTGAAATGTAGCAGCGTGACTCTGCCATCGGCTGCTGGGAGGTAGCCCTAATTGCTTGTGATCAGCTAGTCAATGCTAGTGCCAGCGCGATTCTTCAGCTCGTCAGCCACTCAAGCAGCGTCGTATTCGCTCTTCCTGCCTATAAAGAGCCAGACAAAGCTCTTTGACGCCGGCATGTAACCTGCAAGCCTGTCTAGACCTGGCGTGTCGCATTGTAGCATGATACCGTACTCTGCTCTACGGGACTGTACTATGCTATATTATATTATACTGAGCTATACTGTACTATATTATACTGTACTATAGTATCATGTCAGATTTAAATATTAGCTGCAGGAACCGTTGATTTCAGACGTCACACAACCGCGTATTATTTGATCATATTTTCTTTTCCCCCCTTCCATTCTGTCAGAAACAACAATTCTGGAACCATCGTCATGGCGCCCTACGTGACTGAAGAGGCTACTTCCTCCTTGCCAGTCTCCAAATCTGGCCCTATCGAAAGCCCAGCCCAGCCCAGCTCAGTCAGCACACTAAATGCCCCCATGGAGTCGCTGAACAACTTCTCAGAGCTCCTCCATCGAGCTGCCACCACCACGAGTGGGCTCACATTCTACCAGCCCGGCAAGAAAGCCTCGCACGTCTCCTATGCCAGCCTGCTAGACGACGCAAAGCACAATGCCCATCTGCTGAGCAGCATCGACGGCCTCTCGCCCTCGACAATCCTCCTCCTTCACTTTGACAGCCAGTACGACACGATCCGGTGGTTCTGGGCGGCGACGCTGGCAGGTCTTCTGCCGGCCATTTCGACGCCATTGGTGAACGATGCCGCACAGCGGAAGAAGCATCTCGCTCATCTCCAGAGTCTGCTGCTGCTGCCCGTCGTGCTGACGGCAGAGCATCTGGTGCCAGAGTTTGACGGCGTGGAAGGTCTGCGTGTGCACGCCGTCGAGTCACTAGATGCGAGCAACGAACAACTATCGAGCTTTGCTGCTGCAACGGGACCGGAGAAGAGTAAAGACGACATCGCCGTGCTTATGCTGACCTCAGGAAGCACAGGCAATGCTAAAGCGGTCTCCCTTCGACACGGCAAGGTGCTGAAAGCAGTCCAGGGCAAGAGTGCTCACCATGGCACTGTTCCTGGAGACGCCTTCCTCAACTGGGTTGGCCTAGACCATGTTGCGAGTTTGACCGAGATCCATCTGCATGCGAGTAAGCTTCCCCCCTCCAGTGTCCTTCTTGTGTATTTTATCTTCTAATGCTAAAACGTGCCCCGTCGCAGTGAGCCTGGGCAGCGACCAAATCCACGTCCCTGCGTCCGAGCTGCTGCGTGATCCCCTGCGCTTCGTCCAGCTGCTTGAACAGCACAAGATCGCCTACACCTTCGGGCCCAACTTCTTCCTGACGCAGGTGCGAGACAGTCTCGTCGCCAATCCCACGCTCACAGCAGACCTATCACCGCTCAAAGCGCTCATTTCCGGCGGTGAGTCCAACGTCGTCGCGACCTGCGACGCACTGACGCGCGAGCTTCGCCGCTTCGGCGTCAAGAACGAAGTCATCCGCCCCGGGTTCGGCATGACCGAGACCTGCGCCGGATCCATTTACTCTCGCACATGCCCATCGTTAGATATTGCGGCTGGTCTCGAGTTTGCAAACCTGGGCACCTGCATCCCCGGCATCCAGATGAGAGTGATGAGCCTGGCAGCCAAGGATGAACAGGCACCCGACGGCGAAGTGGGCGAGTTCCAGGTCTCCGGCCCCATCGTGTTTGACCATTATTTCAACAACCCCGAAGCAACAGCCGACTCCTTCTCGGCTGACGGGTGGTTCATCACGGGCGATCTGGCCTGGATTGATACATCCGGGAACCTGAACCTGGCCGGTCGGACCAAGGACACCATCATCGTGAATGGGGTCAAATGGAGCTCGACAGAGATCGAAACGGCCATCGAGGAAGAAGGTATCCCGGGGCTTGTGCCATCGTTCACCGTGGCCTTCCCACACCGCGCCACTGGTTCGCCGACTGAAGATATTGCTGTCGTGTACTCGCCGGCATACGCCGCGGAGAACGACCAAGCCCGCTTTGAGACAGCCACGGCCATCGCGAAGACGGTAGCACTGATCACAGGCTGGAAGCCGGCACACCTAATCCCATTGCCGCAGGGCCTGCTTGACAAGTCGTCTCTAGGCAAGATATCACGCACCAAAGTCCGCACCGCGTTGGAGCAGGGTGAATATGCCGCCTTCGAGCAGCAAGACCTCGCAGCCCGCAAGCGCTACCAGGAGTCGACATGGAGGAAGCCCGAGACGGCGACAGAGAAGACCATTCAAGCACAGCTGGTCAAGCTGCTGGACATTCCGCCGGAGGAGGTTAGCCTGGACTCGTCCATTTTCGACCTGGGCATCGGCTCGTTCAACCTGATTCTGCTCAAGGCCATGATCCAGGACGCGATGGACACGAAGACCGACATTCCCATGTCTGTATTGTTGACAGAGTAAGCCTGTTCCTCCGTTTCCTTGCCCTGATAAGTATAGGTATACCTGACAGAAGAGAAAAAAAACAGTCCCACCGTCAGCGCCATTGCCTCCTCCATCGACAAACTCCTCTCCAGCCCCCCCGTGTACAACCCCATCGTGCCCCTGCAACCACACGGTACCAAAACACCGCTCTTCTGCATCCATCCAGGCAGCGGCGACATCCTCGTCTTCATTGCGTTGGCCGCGCACTTCCCAACACGCCCCGTGTACGCCATCCGCACTCGCGGCTACAACCCTGACGAGCGCCTGTTCGCCTCCATCCGCGAAACCGCCGAGACATACGCGCACCACATCCGGCTGACGCAGCCACAGGGCCCCTACGCCATCGCAGGCTACTCGCTGGGGTCCACGCTGGCCTTTGAAGTTGGCAAAGTGCTCGAAGCCCAGGGCCAACAGGTCCACTTCCTCGCCAGCATCGACTACCCGCCGCACATCGCACACTACGTGCAGCACCTCAACTGGACCGACGTCCTGCTGCACATCGCCTTCTTCCTTGAACTCATCGACGAGGCCACCATGCTCCGCATCACGCCGCACATGCACACGCTCGACGACAACCGCGCCGCCGCACTCGACTACATCCTCGCGCTCGCCGACAAGACACGCCTGCACGCCCTCGCCATTGACGCCGCTCGTCTCGCCCTCATCAGCGACATTGCCGAAAACTTCCGCGTCAACGTCGAAACCTACCAGCCCCAGGGCAGCGTCGAAAGACTGGACGTGTTTGTCGCCGACCCGCCGAGATACGCTGCGCGCGACCGCCGCGACTGGAGGGAGAACAAGCTGGGCGCCTGGGCGGATTTTGTGCGCGACGACAAGATTGAGTTCCATGACTGTCCGGGCATTCATGCCAAGATGTTGAACCGCGAGCACATGGCGGATTTTGCGCGCATTTTCAAGGCGGTGATGAAGCGGCGGGGKGTGTAGTCTGACATGTAATAATAATAATAATTATTATTTGGATGGTTGTAGGTAGATGATGTCGTTCAGAGTATTCTCGCGATAGGGTGTGGTAGCGGAAAGAGGCATAAAGCGGGAGGTTTACGATGGAAAAGCATGTATGCATAAAGATTAGTACTACCATCCTCATATCGTACAGACCAGGAACACCCGAAAGAAGACAAAGCAAAGGAAAGAATGCTATATTACAATACAGGGAATAAATAATGCGTATATGCAAAAGTAACAAAGTCATGAGCTCATCACACTACTCGTCTTTTTCCGCCGCCGTTTCCACCACCGACACCGTGGCCGAAGAAGAATCTCCAGATGCAAACGGCGCTTCGATAATCACGGGCGACTCACCATTAGAAAGCTTCTGGTCGGATGTCGTGGGCTGTTCTGCTGCCTCGACCACTGTCGCAGTCGGGGAGGACTGCTCATCTGGATCTGGGATTGCCTCGAGCAGTACTTCGGGCGCCTTTTCTTCTTTTGCTTCTTGCGCCGGCGCTGCTTCCGGCTGTCGTTCTTCTGGTTCGTTCTCTTCATCGGGTGACTTGTCTTGCTCTGCTGATAATGCACTTTCTGCATCGACAACCGGCGTTGACCGCGCATTGTCGTTCTCCTCGACCTTCGGCAACTGATCATTCTTAGCCAGGAGGGCATTGTTGTCCTCATTAGCTTCGGCGATAGTTGTCACGCTCGACCCCGTCGACGGACTATGCTTGTGTCGTCGCGTCGTAGCGCCTGTGCTAATGTTCGATGGAGCCGGCAGGCTGCTGCTGGGTTCTTCCAAGCTCAGTGAAGGCATCCCGCCGCCCGGTTCCTTCCGTAGCACTGAGATTCTGCGGTTATTTTCAGGAGATATTGCTGCAGTCGGCGTGGGATTAATTGGCGAGTCGTCGGAGTCGTCGGAGTCGTCATTATCTTCCGCAGCAGAAGCGGATTGCTCTGCTTCATCAGGAACCGTGTAGTTGTCCGGCGGTATCAACTCGTAAGCATCACACACCGTCTTGAAAAACACGTATAGCCCATCGGTGTTTTCAACTTGACGAAACACATCGCGGTGCTGGAACCATGCATGCGCAAAGATACGGTACAGTCGACGAAATATATTGGTTAAATGCCGCATGCTTGCTTGCGGCCCGCCCGCAGACTCCGATCCCAGCGTAAGACGACTGGGGAAGTATTTCGGAGACGTCAGGATGTTGGTCGCCCAGTCAAGAGTGTGGCAGCAATAATCAATGGCGCAGCAGGATTTGGGCGGGTCATGCACAGCGCAAAGATATTGCCATTCGGATGCGCGCATTTCCGGACACGACTGCTGCGAGCAGGGAGGGTCTTCGGCAAAAAACGCAATGATCAAGTTGTTCACTTTCATCGTCAGAAACCGGCATAGCTCGTACAGCCACAGCGAACGCTCGACGCCTTCGGGAGGCTGGGCAAGAGCAACGGCGACATCGTGCGTGATGGGATGGATCGTAGACGACCCAGCGGGCATCGTATAGTTGTGGTAGAGAGCTTTGAGATGCTCTTGAAGCTGGAACGGCGAGTCAAGCTAGTTATACATCATCAGCATTGCAGTCATAATCCCACCATTCATTTATCATACCTGCGACAACGGAATCAGCGGAAGTCCCGACGCCATGTCCGCAGCCTTGGTGCCAGGGCGAATCCTCCTGGTCGATCCGTCGTCCGTCTCGGCCAGCGGCGCAAACAGTTGCTCGTTGCCGGCTGCGTCTCCCACGGTAGGCGACTGCGGACCGATCTGAACCTCGGTGAACGGCGGAGGGCTAGGCAGACGCGGCGAGCTCGAAGGAGACACGGCACCAGCAGTAGCAGCCATTTTCCGCGAGACCGACGTGGTTGCGAAGGCCTTGTGCGAAGACGAGGACGAGCAGGCGGCAGCGGGCGGGATCGTGGAGAAGAAGAGCGGACAGTTGCGGTCGGTTTGGGTCTCGCAGTCGAAGTCGAAGTCGTCCTCGAGCTCGAGCTCGTCCTGGCCGGGCGGATCGTCGAAGAGGACAAAGTCCATGTCCATGTCCGTGCCCTAAGCCCTAACTCGCGTCCGTTTCGGGCGGCCCGCGCCAACTCTTTCGTCACTCGCTGGTCAGTCTGCGTCTTGTCGACAAACCGCACGGCACGACGCTTGTCTTACGGCCAGCGTTGCACAGAATAAACTGGGAAGATGGACGACGATGCTCCAGAGCTGGTCGAGGTGACGGCAGTGCCAGCCACGACCGAGGAAGTCGTCAGCCGCGTGCCCATAACTCTGGTTACAGGTAGGCAGGCACCGCTCTCTTTTGCCTACTGACTACTGACTACTGACTGACTGACGACTCGCCAGGCTACTTGGGCGCGGGCAAGACGACCCTGCTGAACTATATCCTGACCGAGAAGCACGGCAAGAAAATCGCCGTCATCATGAATGGTTCGTTCGTTCGCTCGCTTGCCTTGTCGAGTCATTTTATGTGCTGAGGCTGTCTAGAATTCGGCGACTGTAAGTCACCTCTATCAGAGAATGCCGTGCCACGACTCACCCGTCAACAGCAACCGATATCGAGAAGTCCCTGACCGTCAACCAGAATGGCCAGGAGGTCACCGAGTGGCTCGATGTCGGCAACGGATGCATCTGCTGCTCTGTCAAGTACATTCTTTCCATTATCCTCCTATCCTTCGGTTCCCAGACGTGTAAGCTAATATAACTGCTTGCAGGGACTCGGGCGTGCAAGCCATCGAGTCTCTCATGGATCGTCGCGGCACGTTCGACTACATCCTGCTCGAGACCACCGGCCTCGCAGATCCGGGAAACATCGCGCCCCTATTCTGGGTCGACGACGGCCTAGGCAGCTCCATCTACCTTGACGGCATCGTCACTCTCGTAGACGCAAAGAACATTGTGCGCCTCCTAGACGAGCCCGCACCAGACGAAACAGCCCATGCAGGAGGCCATGAAGACCATGCCGGGCCGGCTCTAACCATGGCCCATCTCCAAATCTCCCACGCAGATGTCATCGTGCTAAACAAAGCCGATTTAGTAACCTCCGCCGAACTGGAGGCCACCCGCCAAAGGATCGCATCCATCAACGGCGCGGCCAAAATCCACATTACAGATCACAGCCGCACGCCACAGATTGAAGGCGTGGTTTTGGATCTGCATGCCTACGATCAACTGTCCAAGTTGGATTTTCAGGAGAAAGGGCACGCGCATATCGACCCTCGAATATCTACAATTGCATTCACACATCCCAAGATCACCCCCGCTCAATTAGCGGGCGTGGACGAATGGCTAAGGTCTATCTTGTGGAAGAGCATTATCAAGTATCCCGGTGATGGGGATGATGCGGAAGAAGCCCAAAAGCACACGCCCAGATTTGAAATTCACCGTCTCAAGGGTCTTTTGGCCCTGACTGATGGCACATTCAAGGTCATCCAGGCAGTACGAGAGATGTACGAGATTAGAGACTCGGAAAATAGAGAAAACAAGGAAGAAGACCAGGCAGATGCTCCTGACCACTGCAAGATTGTCATAATTGGACATGATCTTGGGAAATCAGCCGAGTCTTGGAAGGAAAGCTTTGCTCACAGCCTAGTCTCTAGAATTTAGAAGTATTAAATAAGAATCAAAATAAGAACTTTTTTTTTAGACATTACACATAGCCATATCTCATAACTTCATTATCATCTCTTCTTCATCGCCAACGGCGAGCCGGCAATAGCCAGATCGAGCACGCTCTGACTATCGTCAACATATCCATCCGCATCGTCGTCATCATCAACATCAAACCCTACATGAACAGCCGGGGACATCAAAGGACTATGCGCAACCCGCGGCCGACTCTTAAAGATACTAGCATACTCCGCTTCCTCAGTGAAAAGCTCGTCCCGTGGCGTAGACGCTCCTGAGCGAGACGGCTCCGGCACTTCCTTGGGCGGGGTCTCGAATTGATTGATAGGGAACACTTGCGATTGTCTCGTTTCGCGTCGTGCAGCCAGAGATTGTCGCGAACGAGTGCTTGATGGCGGCGGTAGTAGAGACATAGACTGTCTTGTTCGTTCGACTAGAGACGACGGACGGGGCTCGAATCGAGGGTGGGAGAGCGTTGTCACTGGTTTACCGTCTATAACTGAGGAGAGATCATCTGGGTCGTTAGGGGAGTGCCCACTGGCGTGGTGCTTATTCTCGTAGTCGGTGACTTGAACACTGGGCGACGGGGACGAAGAGGGGGCGAAACTCTCGGTGTCTGGTATGGGCGATAATCGATTTGATGGCGGTGGCTCTACGTTGGGACTGTGCGAAAAATGTTCCGTCTGTATGCCCTTAACTTCAGACAAGGTACTTCTCAAGGAATCGATAATTGCTTGATGCTCAACAAACAAATCACGAGGCTCCGCAGTCTCTCGTAGTGATTTTGAGATGCCTGCTACCGTCAGTGTTTGGTGGTCTCTGAAAGTAAGACCTCGATCCTTGTACTGCGAGTTGGTCATCGTGGCCGTCCTGCTTCCTCGCTTGGCCTGTGATAATGATTTCTTCACGTCTCTCAAGCGTTGTAACCGAGCTCGCTGCTTTGAAGAAACCCGTTCCATATCCTCAAGCAAATCCATATGTGACGGACGACGTAATTGCTCAATATGTCCTTTTCTCGCATGATTCCATGCTTTCTCAAATGGCAACTCCAAGAAAGCATCCTTCTCGACAGACGAGCCGCCATTAAACAAGAAATCGGCCACATTTTGACCCCCGAGCCAGTTAGCCTTGACATCGCGCACTAGTCTCTCAGACTCCGGAAAATCGTCTGTGACCTGCAACTTATTGCTTGAACGCGCCGCCAATTCTTTCGCTTTCTCATCAAGCAGCTTCACAAACTGTTCATGACCTTCTCGTATCCTACCATTATCCCTCCTAGCAGCGCTCAACGCAGCGTGATGGGCTATTATCAACGGAACCAGTTTTCCCTCCACTTCATTCTCAGATATACTTCTAGCCAGAGCTAGGCGAACCCCGAGCTCCGAGGGATTATTTTCGCATACGACCTTTTGCAGAACCGCGGTTGAAAACACGGCTAGAACTTCCTCGAATTTCGCCCCTTTGCAGTCGTCCAGCATCGTCTTGCGTAGTATTGTGTCTCGTCCCAAATCGCCATTTTTCTTGAGATCGGATAATGCCCGGAATAGAGCGGCGCGTAGGTTGACCGATTGTAGAGGCTCTAAGGGCGGGAAAAAGGGTCGAAGTTTCTGAAAGTGAGGCTAGTGAGTGTCTAATTAATAAAAAAAAAGATTGATAGCGGGGACGAACATTCTTCGCCTCGGACGGATCCCATAGCAGAAATAAATGGTACAATGCCCATTCCACACTCTTTACTCGTTGAGTCTGCACTTTTTGCCCACCGGAAAAGAGTTTGCGAGAAAGGCCGGGCCAGTTTGGTCGCTGGTCAAGTTGTAGTAGCTGGATGTTGCGCAGGAAGACGGTGACGGGGGACGGAGCCGGCCATGATGGGGTTGAGGGAGGTGATGTACGGGGCGTCTGCATAGGATTGATAACGCGGTGGTTCGGGGTGACTGTAGAAACCGAATTGAATATGCCACAGGGCCTGGCGTTGGTTGCAGAGTTGAGCTGACGGTGAAATTGGCGTCGGTTGTTATCGTTATCTTGGTGCCTGAGGCTTCGCGATGACGATGTCAACAATCCTAAATAGGAATAGCCTGGTTTAGCCCTAATTGCTCGACTCTGTAGACCCATAAACAGAGATCTGATTCAGAACACCATTGGCTTCTCAACTTCTTTTTGCTGTCTTCGCGCTGCTCACGAGAAGAAGCCTATCGGCAACATAGTCAAGCTCATCTCATCCCTCGTGGAAGGGCAAATTTACGCACCGATATTATCCCAATGCGTTTTGTTTGGTGGACTGGGAATTTGTGGAAAGCTCAGTCTCTCGCAGAGCCGCTGCACATATATTTAGGTCAACACGTGCAATTGAGAACTTGCCTAGGTAGGGTGCGACCTCTCAAATTGTTTTAGTCATCTGCAGCCTGTTTGATTCTCCAGGGGGTATCCGAGTCGGAGAATGTGCCGTCGGCTTTCAGGAAGCAGAATTAGCAAGTAGATCGACCTTTCCATGGATCTCAGTTCCAACCTACCAAAACCCTGGTTATTGTCCGTGGCGGCGGTGTTCATCTCGACTACAGTGGTACCAGACCTAACATCTGTCCAGTTGTCATTGCACTTGGAATCAAACTTGGTGTTCTCGATCAGCCCGGTCACTGGCTTGAGGGCTCCAGATATAAGCACTGGCGAGAGCCATTCATTTCAACCGACCCATATCAATCTACAAGTGAACTGTTTCCAGATCGAATTGTTCAGTCCGTTGTCTCCTATGGCAACAATGTCGATGGCACCATTACCTTTAGCGACGACTTGCAAGTCCCCATGCCCGGGCTGCTCAGAAGCTAGACATATTGACTGCAGGCTCTGAGGCGTACGAGATTGCCACTACTAAGTACAAAACAGGCATATTCGAAGGTCATCAAGTGCATCGCGTCTCGAGCACACAAGGGATATTTGAACTTGCTATCGCTCGAGGAAACGAAAATTACCCAGCCATTATCAAGCCATGCAACGGCTAGGCTTTGAATGAATCTTCAAAATTGACAACTTCTCGAGCCTGCTCGACGACCCTCCATCACTGCAAGCGCTACAGCACTCAAAATATGTCGAGGAATTTGTCATGGAGAAGTACTGCCCGTCCACCTGGCATGAAAGGAAGTCAGATTATCGGGTTTACCTACGGCATAGACTACTGGGGTCTCTCAATGCTAGGTTCCCTTGGTGACAAGGAGCGTGTGTACCAAACCTATTCAAGAATGGACCGCAGTACACATCCTAGACGAGAGTTAACAGTTAGTTTCTTGGCGTATTTCAATGTTTTTTCACGCCGTGGAAGGGAGGAATCCTTACATTTTGCGAGACTGGTTAGGAGTGTGGTCAAGTTTTCTTCCAGACAGTTTTGTACAATCTGTGTTAGATTCTGTGATTAACATATTACTTAATCAAACTCAGACTCTGCAGTGTACGGGGTCATCCCTGCAAAAAATAAATGAAACTACGGCTTGATTGGATGAAAATAAGTCAAGGCGGTAGCTCCCGGCGCTAGAGAAGCTTAGTCAGTGGGCCTGCCCGATCAGAAATCTTAAAGTATCATGGCTTGCGGAGTGTTATTACACCACCGAACGTCAATATTCAGAGCTTTTACTCTATTTACAAATAGGTTAGGTAAAGAAAAAGCAAATTCAACTCTCATGGTACGCTCTCATATCTCTGAAATACTGGTAGACGGTTGTGGACTTTCTCTTGGCTGCTAAATGGCGTGCTTTCGGCGTGTTGTGCGAAAAGCCAAGTCGTTGCACGCGCCTTGCCAATAAGATACATTACTGCTTGCTGTTACAACACTGTTCACTTTACCAATATTGCTAAAGACTTACAATACGCCACAGTGCAGCACCATGATCCTTAGCGGAGCATCAATCATCAAACGCGAAATAGTGCGCAACCTACTATCAGCACACCAAATCCAGCCATGCGGCGTCGACATCTCTTTTCGTCGGGTTCTTAACTGGACCTCTCCAGCAACAGTTGATTTCGACAACTCGCGTCGACAAGCAGCAAACACATTCGAGATCCCCTTCCATCTCGAGAAAGGGGCCGTTGCGCTAGCTCAAGGGTCGTACTTGGTTGAGTTCAATGAAACAGTGCGCATCCCTCCTGATTACATTGCCCAGATATTTGTGAGGTCGTCTCTATGGCGGTCTGGTGTGTTGCTTACAGCTGGGGTTATTGATGCTGGGTATAAGGGCGCTTTGGGAGCTCTTCTTGATGTGAGAAATCCACATGGTATTGCTCTCTATAAGAATGCCAAGCTTGGACAGGTCACAGTTCATACACTAGATAAGAAGGTTGAAGGATACAGTGACATATATCAGTTTTCGCCGAGCACTTTGGGGCGAGATGGACAGGTCAAGGACCGAGTTGGAGGTTTGGGAAGAGCATAAATAAAACATGTGTATATACTCTATTAAAGGCGTTAAAAAGGAGGCACCCCGACTACCCTAGCCCATTTAATACCATTCAATCATATCATACCTAGCTACATTTTCGTAGCTTACCGAATTTAGGGTTTATATTCGTCCGCATTCGTCCGCTTAGAAATACCGAACGGCTGATTCTGTCTTATCGCCGAAATCTTGCCTCTATAAGTGGTTGTATATACCTAGCTTTATTGAAGTATTTTTGTTCACTTCATTTCTACGATACGGTTTAGACTCGATTCTCTATTTTACAAGATCATCCATTTATACTGTCGAATCACCTTAAGGAAAATGTCCGGCGCAGCCCAACATGGATTCAACATCCAAGCCACCCTTTTCTTTGCTCCGGAGAACATAGAAAAAGTCCTAGAGGCACTCACACCGGTCTACGAGAGGACTATAGCGGAGCCTGAATGTCTTTCTTTTCAGGTATACCAGCTACATGACGACCCTGGACAAATACTCTTAGTAGAAGATTGGTCCGTCAGTCCTACCTATTTGAGTCAAACACGCTAAAAATTATCTTTAATTTGCAGGGAAACCCCTTTGGATCGCTACATGGTTGTACGTTGACATGTTTGCACTTGCATTCTGTTCCGTGGCCCCCGACTAACGAGCTGCAAAACGTACTAGGAGAGACTCAAAGTGGATTATATGCAGGAATTCTTTGCGATTATCGAGCCGTTGTTTGTGAAGACCCAGGAGGTTAAGGTGTTTAGCCGCCTTCCTCAATTCAATAAAATCAAGCAGTAAGATCGTTACATCTGTTTGTAGGGATTGATTATACTTTATCTAAACTTCTTTGCTGCACTGTACTTGGTTTTGTATCTGACGAATGGTCAGTAAGTCACTGATCTAAATAAAAATGACAAAACCGCCGTACTGCAAATCACGTTAGCATTGTGAGCAGATTGAAGGCTTTTACCAGCTAAAGGAATTAGTCGCAAAGCAGCGACATATCAATGCACTCTTCCGTCAAAGAAATGAAGATGTAGTTGAGTATCTTGTTTGGAACCATGCTAAATGATGTCACCAAAGAGCCCTCTGTTTGCAGTGTTTGCACCCAGTTATCAGCCCCATATTTTATGCCCCTCTTGAGCCTTCTGTTTTCTCCCTCAGCATCACCAATTATTTGCTTTCTGCCACAGATATCTGTTCGTTTTGCATATTCCTCGCCTTCTGTTATTGCAAATACGCATTCTTCCCCCTGCATCGCCCACTCAAAATGGGCTCTACTGAAACACAGCAGGGAGACTGGACTCCATGGACAGGTAACACTCCCGCGAAGCCAGCGCAAAAGCAAGACTGCAAAAACTAATTTGAACTGAATGAAAAGTCCTTTCCACCATCCCTCACCCCATTGAGGAGAACAGCGCCTCTCCAATCCCTTTCTTCCACCTGCTGGAACGTCTAAAAACAACGAAGCGCGAAGGCTGGCGCCGGTTTGGCCTCAACCACGCCGAATCGATTTCCGATCACATGTACCGCATGGCCATCATCACCATGCTAGCGCCCCCCTCTCTATCCTCCAAGCTCAATATCCCGCACTGCACGAAAATGGCCCTAGTCCACGACATGGCCGAATCGCTCGTCGGCGACATCACGCCGGTCGACCAGTCGGTCACAAAGCCCGAAAAGGCGCGGCGCGAGGGCGCGACGATGGACTACATTGAACAAACGCTGTTGCGCAATGTGCCTGGGGGTGCGCTTTCTGGAGGCGAGATCCGGCGCATATTCCAAGAATACGAGGACAACGAAACCCTAGAAGCACAGTTTGTGCACGATGTGGACAAGATTGAATTGTTGTTGCAGATGGTTGAGTACGAGCGCGAGCATGGCAAGGATCTTTCCGAGTTTTCGCATGTCGCCAATCGAATCACGCTGCCGGAGGTCAAAGGGTGGGCGGATGCGATTATGAAGGAGCGGAAACACGTGTGGCAGAAGCCGACTTCTACCTGATTCTGCGAAGGTTGGGCTGCATGAGCATGGTCGTTGTCATTGATTTTGGAAACTGGTGGGAAATTATTTTGTTATCATTAGGTTTCGGGATTTTTTCTGTCTTATTGTAAATAGATCGTTATTATTCTTAATATGTGACGCTTGTTAAGGCACGGCGCTTGGATGGCTTTTGCTTTTCACTGCACAATGCTGCATGAGTTAGATTCATACATACCCTGAGTTACACTTGCGCTGGCGATGAAATCAAGCATACCTAGATAAGACACGCGCAATAATACAATTGACACATTGTCCAAACAAAAATCAATCATCCACCTCCTTCTCCATCTCCCTAGCCAACATCTCCGCCTCGCGAGCCATATCCTCCTCACTCCTCGGCGTCCTACTCTCATTATCAACAGCCGGAAAATCCGTCCTCCTTTTCTTATTCACTTCTCTCTGTATCCGCCCAATATCACCTTCCTCGCCATCCAGCAATCCATAAATCGCATCCGTACCGCCCATATGATCGAGATCCGCCTTCCTGCGCGGGATAATATGTGTATGAACATGCGGCACACTCTGTCCCGCATCCACGCCATCCTGAATGGCGATGTTCAGACTCGATGCATCGTAGACGCGCTCAATCATGCGCCCGACTTTGCGTACGGTTAGGAATAGATCTGTGGTTTCGTCCGGGGTAAGGTCGGACACTCTCGAGACGACGCGGCGCGGTGAGATCAGTACGTGGCCGGGTAGGATTGGTTTGAGGTTGACGAGGGCGAAGGATAAGGGCGTTGAGTAGAAGACCTTTGAATCATTTCATGTCGATTGTCGGGTCAGGATATTTGATTATCTTGCGGTTAAGGTTGTAGGGCGAGGTAGTCTTTCACACCTGTGACGTTACTATGAAGGGCCCGAAGTAGATCGGTCCTTTGGCAAGAGTTGCCATGGTTGCGTGTTTATAATATATGGAGATTGTATGGTATTTGCGTGGTTGATTCTTATATTCAATGTATAAGAGATGAGAAAGTATGACGGTCAGATGTGAAGTTGGAGCTCCAGAGGTGGAAGTGGAGAGCGGAAAAGCTTGATGATGATCTGATAAGATAAGCTATTTAAACCTAAGTATACGAGGTAGATGTTACAATTTAGTTAGAGTCCGGCGTAATACATTCATTAATAGACCACATTTTATTGATATGATACATGACCCTTACGCGTCTAACAGCTCACCCTCCGCGTCTGCGTCTGCGATTGGACGTTCGAGGCGGCGGCTTATAGTCCTCTTCTGAATCAGACATACCCACGTCCATGGGCTCAGCCTCATCTCTCTCGTCCTTATCGCTGTCCATTGACGCGTGAGCGGCCTGTCGACCGGGTTCATCCCCGTGTTCGACGACAAAGTCGTTCCCATCGTCGTCTTCTCCAGGCAACAGAAAGCCTCCACCGTAGTCTTCTACATCGTTCTGCTCATGATAGTGATCATCTGCTTCATCACCGTGTTCGTTCTCATGGTCATGATGATGCTCGTGCTTATAGTTTTCCTGTTTCCCCTGGCGTGTGTCCGCCGTGTCTGTAGATTGAGCAACATGCCGTCGCCGCTGAAACGGATTCTGGATTTCAGCATCCCCATCCTCGCCATACTCGGTCTGAACGCGCTCCATAATACGCAATCCCATAACAAACTTTCTCCACGTTTGCAAAATGCGTTTCTCTTGCGCCAGCCGCTCCTTTTCGCGGCGGACTTCTTGATCAGCTCTCCACGCGTCCTTCACCAGGTCTGCATTCTCCTCGGCGACAACAACGCCCTCGATAACAGGAACGGCCATTTTACTGCCAAACTCAAACCCTGTTACTGCCTCGGCGTAGTCAATGCCGAGCTTCTTGCAGATGCGCACTGTTCCGCCCCAGGGGATATGAGTTGCCCCTCGAGGGACCATACTAGGAACGAAACAGTCGATGTTTCCGTAATCGTTCTTCGGAATCACACCGTTTTGAATGGGAGGTGGGATGATGAATTCCGTCTGATACATAGCATATAATCCCTGCAGGGGCTTCTTCCCCGTCTCGCGCTGGGCCTCTTCTACCTCTCGTTTCCGCATCAGGGTGACTGCTCGAATGGGTACCCGTTTCAAGGGTGTTTCCCCGATCTTTGGTCGCCGGCCTTCCTTATGCCAGCTCTCAGCAGATAAACATCTCACGACATCTGCGCGGCGATAGACATTCTCTTCTTTGGCTTTGTTCCCCTTTCCTGTGGTGAATTTTCGTACAACTTTCGCGCCCGGTTTTAGTGCTTCTTCTCTGCGAAGAAAACGCTCGAGGACAAATTCCGTAGAGGCCTTCAGACTCTGTAAAGTATCGCCTTCCTTTTTTGTAACTTTTTTGTCCGGTTGATTGGCAACCAGATCCTTCGCATCTTCGATGTCGTCTACAAGCGTGCGTTGGTTTTGGAAGCGGCAGTATCCTCTCATTGTTGTCTGAAACCAATCATAGTCAACTGCATATGCCTGGCCTCGATTAGCAGTCCTAAAAACCAACTTTTCCATCGGCAGGCGGTATCCCTTGGTCTTGCCTGGCCACGTCCGGCGTCTAAGATATCGTGTTGTAACATCCTTAGCCGTGCCGTCAGGAGAATGCGCAACGACGTAAGCAATTACTTGTTTCGCCTTATCAGCTAGCGCGCCCCTGGGTTCGAATGCTGCAACCATTTCAGGGGTGGCAGCCACTGGATTGCTCAACACCATGGGATCCACGGCGATCACTTCGTGGGTTATTGGGGATACTACTTCTGTCCAGTAAACGGGGAAGGGCAAATCGCGATCAAATTGACTAGATTTTGAGTAACCCGTTCGCGTGTTGCTTTTTTCGCCGTCTGTCTCAATCTCTTCATCACTATCACTGCTCTGAGGAACACTCTTACGGCCATTCACATCCTCCTGCTGCCCAGTCTCAGAGGTGTCAACTTCAGATTTTGTCCACCCGAAGCCGAGAGGCTGCAGATTAGAGACCAGACGCGCCTCGATACCCAAAGCCCGTAAAAGTGCTGTGAAAAGCTGTGCACCGACATCTCGCGAGCCTTGCCGTTTATCAGCTAGAGTGCGAAATTCATGTCGATCAGAGATTCGCTCTCCGTGTGTATGCAGGTCATACTCTTCTTTTTTGAAGGAAGATACAATTTCCTCCAGCTTTATTGCAGTTCGGTAGCCATTTTTGCGCAGTCCCGGTGCTGTGACCTTGAAATTCTTCTTCCAGTAGGCTGCTAGGATACGCAATAATTGTAGAATGGGGTCGCCGTTACTCATGTCCGGCTGCCCCGGTTCTAAGCGCGTCGCATCCTCCCCCCAATCGCGAGCATTTTCATTTTGTTTTTTCTTCGATCCTTTCTTTTTAGCAGCCTTTGCCTTCGATCGGTCGTCAGTTGCCTTCTGAGGTGGGGGAACTAACGCCGATGCGACTCGCCATCTCTGTATCTCCTTCTGAATGCCTGCGGGCAGTTGCGCTTTGAGTAAGTCGTGGACCTTGGCGTCATTGATCCAAGAATTGCGGATAGCATTGTGGAAAAGTAAGCATTGCACATGCAACCTGTGTGTATTCAATCGGATGATACGCTCGATCTTGGAGGGGCCCTTTTTCGTGTCAAGCAGACTGGTCACAGGGACATTCGCCGTAGGATCCAGGGTGAGTTCTAGGTCTTGGATCGCGACATCTTCAGCTGGCTGGCCACCAGGGGTGGTAGTGGCTGTGTCCATGGCATCCTCCCAGTCCACGCTGTCGTCGTCATGCTCGTCTTTATCCTCATTGCCGCCATTCTCGCCTAGATTTACTGGATTCCTTTGGACATCGACCCATTCCTCTTCACTGGAAGCATCGCTAAGAGACGAATCGGAGCTGTCGATGGGTTCCACGGCCTGCTTATCGACTGCGCGGCGTTTGGCAGGTGGCGAGGTTTGCGGTTGCTCTTGAGGAGACAGCGAGCGTTTCGTTGGGATAAAAGGGGGCATTGATCGCGAAGCCTTGCGGATAACGTAAAGCTGTCGAAGTCTGCTCTGGATTCAGAGCTTGCAGAGGTTGAGTTGTTGGAGTTTGAAAGTTTCCAGGAAGGAGCGAATAACCTGAGGCCGCCGATAAGATAAGCCACTCGCCGATGCGCTTCATTGAACGTTCAGCGAAATTTCTCGTTAATTTTGTCTTCGGTCCTGATCTGTGACAGTCATTTCTCTTTGCAATAACTCATTTGAAGTTGAGGATGGAACTAGTGTTGAGTAAGAATTTCGGCTTAGATCAGTATATATAATGAAGGACTGCGGGAGTTGCCTTTGTCCGTCGCAATAATTCTCGCAACACTCGGTTTGATCCATCTGTCTATGCTGGGATATTATACAAATGTGGACTAATAGATACTTTAACTTATGATTCACTGAACAAAGTGGCAGGTATAAATTGCAGCAATAAACTTGTTACACAGATCTCCTGAAACTCAACAGGATAACGAAGGCTTGTGCAGTTGCGGACAACGTTGACAGGGCAGCCATTACCATACGCGTAAGCATTTTGATTCTCGTATTCTCTTCCTTATCGACTCAGTTCGGTTGTGAATCGCGAGCCTCCATTCTCGCAGGATCTTGAAAATGAAGAGAAATACCACCAATAAGAGTGAAGAACAAGTTGTAATTGCGATGATGACACTGACCCAATAGCAGCCCTCAAACACCGCGAAATGCCTCTCATTATCATCGCCAGCCCGAATGACCTACATACAATTGAGCAGCATCGACATAGGCGTACGCAGACAGATCCGGGCCCTAAATCCGCGCAAAGTAGGCCCGAAACCGGTGTCTCAGGCGCATGAGTCTAATCTCACCATAATGATAGCGGCCGGGAATCTCATCGTCAGCGATGTCGCTTAAAGAGCCGAGAAATGGCAAAACTTGGCTAGGGCACGTTGTTAGGAATCAGGTTGTGATCTGGGTTCTGTGAAATGCCCTAATCCGATTCATGTTGGATGAGATAGTAATATGTGCGAAGGTTACCGAGGGCAGCTGTTCGGAGGGTTGGCGATATAGATGTTTTGCAGCAGTTATTCAAACACTGGTCCCAGCTAGGAATCATGTTAAATAGGGAGGGAGGGGCTTGATGAAAATGCGGTTCGTCAATCCAGTTTAAGTGAAGTTTAGGGTCTTCGGTGACAAAACCTTTTACTATCTGTCGATGAAGCGGGGAAATATTGCAATTGTCTTGTTCTGACGTCCACCATAATCCGGGTGAAATCATCTCTAGATCATCCGACTAAAGCTTCTGACAGATGAAGCTGTACAGGCTTGCAGCATCGTCGGTTTTGATACGGGGACACCCCTGTAGGAAATCACGAGCAGTAGTCTCAAGACCACTATTTAGCTGATCGACTCTTCCAAAAGGGTCCCCATGGCTTGCTTTATCTCGATTATCGTTTTGCATAAGGAACAATGAAGGAAATATCAACCTTGACTTAGACTGTCGTGTAGGTAGGTGCATTCAAGAATATATGTCAGCATGTTTATGCACAGCTTTGTCGTAGCCTCGAACCAATCAGCCGGGTGCACAAAATCAGCCTTGCATTTCTCGTCCGGTTTTAGATAAAATGTGCTAGTAGATTCGATTCTGGTCCGTTGTTATTTTTTAATTGGCGCAGAGCCGCATTTATGTCGTACTACTGCATCTTCGAACAGCATTATGGTGCCTTATCATTTGGTAGCCAAGTCTCTTAACACTCCGTTCGTTTCCAGCCAAACCAAATAGCGCGCTCCAAAAATGCTTTTGCAGAGGGGGGTTTAGACCTTTTTCACACGTACGTACCATGTCGACTTTTGGTGAACTTGTGAAAAGCATGATTCTAGACGGTCTATATCTCGGTGGGGTCTGTGGAAACGGCTTTATCCGCGACGGGAGCGGGCCGGGCGATCTCGACAAATAGGTGTAGACCGATAATTATTAAGTCGTCTGCATTTCATAGTAGACTGCCGGAAAGACAGTCACTATAAGACCGCTTAGTAGGTTTGACCCCCATATATCCGCTAGATATTAGTTGCCAAAGCTGTTGTTACACAAGGCCCCCGAAGAATAGAAAGGTATGGTAGCTGGACCTGACCGATCTTCCCGCGTCCAACCGGTTGTTAGACTGAAGACTCAGCCTTGCTGACAAGGCCCGGCAGTGAGCATAGCCTTTCGAAATATTCCTTCTGACAAATTCAGACAATGTGTTCCGTCCGGTCTTTCAAATCGCAAGCCTTCGAACGATTTTCCTCTTTGTCATCATCATCAACTCTGACTGATAATAAAGGTGGCTAACCAGAAGAAATCGCCAGTCTTTCGGGTGACGGGCCTGCCGAGACTAACCTGACGAAGACTTCCAGGCAGCCTTGAAAGAGGCACTCAACAACCTCACCAACGACGAGAAAATTATCAAGGTCTGAAAATTGGCATTGTTCCTTCATGCTCTGACACTTGACACGGAGAGAGTGGGCTTGGTGCAGTTCCGTGGTGGTGTACCCCAGTTTCAGTCTGAATTAGCAACAAACCGAGGCTGGCATTTGAATGGCATATGCTGACAGGGAGTGGAAGTCATTCGCGAGAGCGATTGTTGCAGCAGATCTCCAGCAAACTGGATTTGCTGATGCACCTGCTGGCGGTTTCAAAAACCTCAAATTATGTATAGTAACTGTAACTTCTTAAGGTTTTAATAAGATAACACTACAGATATAATATTCATAATTGCTATAATTATCCAGTGCTGATTCTTAATTATAAGCTAATTAGATTATAAATCAATATTAGTATGATTCTATAAACGAGTTATAGCACAAATAAATACTAGCATGAGTATCTAACTGTGCCCCACTGTTACGCTCGCAATGTATATCTAACATTGTCGCCTGAAATGGTTGATCTTACTATTCTAGACGACTACCAGGCCAAGGTTAAGTAGCTGCTGGTACTATGCACGCCAAAAAGCAAATACTTGATTTTCCTAGAAGATCATTATCAAATGGCGTATTGTGGATGTGCGCTTGCACAGACCTGCTGCAGGATCTGCAAGTGTGTCACATCAGATGTAGATCTGTGGATGTCTGTCTACGTGTCTGCGGGATGAATTGGCGCCATGAGTAATACTTTGAGACACCTCTTCGCCTCCGAATGTGACTTATAGCAGCTTCAATCCCTTGAGGTTTTGTGTTCAACGTCCAATCCAAAGACACGCGAAATTTGGTATCCGAGAAGAAAGACATAAGGAAACAAGATTTGTCATCGAGATGTCTTCTGAGCGCCTCGGTAAGTCATTCACGACGAGAATGAGAAGGCCAATACTGATATCGCAAAAGATTATATCAGGGGATTTCTGGACACCCTCTACACAGACGATGAATTTCTCAACTCTTTTCTCGACTGCATTATCGACCCCCAAAATAATGATGGCTTTAAACTGCTCAAAAACAAAGGATTCGAGTTTCAACCCGGAGATTACAATCTTCTAGGGCAGCTTCGTGTCCCGAACAAACACTTCGAAGTCCGTCTAGCTGGCGGCGCTTATCGATTCCATACCAACGAAAACCGGTTCTGGGAGTTACTAGTTGATTCCAAGGCAAAGGCCATCTACAGTATGTATCAAGTGCAAACAAGAAGAAGAGCAATGGAAAGTAGATGATGGAAAAGCTAACGAGTCCCAAGTTGACGCCAACCTCGTTGAAAACCAAACCATCGATGATGAAGGCCATGTCTGCTTCGCTTATGCCGAATACAACTTTCGGCTGCGATTCGAAGTCCCCTGGATTCTAGGCGAGGAGCGACCAAATCACTTTGGCTTTTCAGGGCAAATCACAAAAGCAGATGGAGCGTCAACCCAATCCATCCTGGGGCATCGCATCTTCCCAAAAGGAAATGCTTTCAGCCCTGATCTGCCTACCAATCCAGACCTTCCATCCAGCCAGACGGCGTCAGAGGAGTTGATGGAGAAGGTGGACAGGTTCATGCGCGAATTGACAGGCAAAGCGTACGCCGTGAACATAGACCTGATCGAGACGTGCAGGCCAAACGGCGGCGGCAGCAGCAGCACATCGGCAGCCAATTTATCGGATGCGTTTTTAATGCTGCCCAGTCTCCCAAACGGAGAGGAATTATTGACTGCCACCAATGGTGTCTTTTCATCGGCCGGACTCGCTTTTCGCGCCACTGAGACGTCTGGTAAAGCGTGGGCTGCGGCGCTTGGAGGAGTGTTGGGAGCCACTGGATCTTTGCTTACTACGTCGGTGAAAACCAGACTTGTGGATGACGGCCAACGGCGAATGACAAATGATATCCTGATAATCAAGGTGCGCAATGTCGAGGACATGTTGAGTGAGAAGGGACGGGAGTTGGTCAACAACGTAGCATTATCAGAGCTGAGGAATAGAGATTTCGTGGACCAGGTCCGGAAACAGTTCCGCGATAACTACTATATTCCCTGGGCAAAGCTGAATATGAACACATATCTTCGCTCAGCATACTGGACTATGCGCAAATTCTGGTACAATGCTTGGTTGAACTGTTACAACAAGGCACTGGCCATTCGTTTTGATGAGAACATGCCCAAGGCTTCGATGGATGCATTGTTCAAGCATTTCATGGAGCAACGGTGGGCAACAGATGTTGCCCCCAGTAGAATCAAGGAAATTTCACAGGAGATTACAGACAAAGAAAGGGAACACGACGAGAAGATAGCAGCTATTGATCGTGAGAAACATCTATCAGAAGAAGACAAGGAAAAGAAAAGGGAAGACGTGAGGAAGGAATTTAAGCGACAAAAAGAAAAACTGGAAGAGGAACAAAGCAAGATTGACCACGAAACCAAGGATATTGACAATCGCAGAAAGAATGAGGTGACTAAGAAGCTTCTCGAAAGCATCAAGCACGATGCCGAGGAGGCGAGGCAACGAGAGTTACGAAGAGTACGAGCAGAAGAGAAATTTCATTAGATAGATAAGGAGATTAGTTACCTATTTGGTATTCCTAGCCCAACGAGCGCGTTGGACGAAACAGAACATCAAATTCCAAACACGGATTTTCGGCTTGAGATAGATCCAATCCATCGTTGTCTTCTCGGACAATCTCGATATACCACGTAGTAAATGGCCCAACTAAAGCATATGGATCCTCATTTCGGCCCTTGACAGAAGGATTCAAGGCAACCGGGCTGATCTCGCCCTGCACTGTCCCTTTCCCGGTATAATTCCTGTCGTCCAGTTTGTAGCGGAAGTTGGTCTTGACAGGCTGGTGACTGTAGAGATGGGGCATTTTGTCGTCCGCCAGGATAGTTTCTCCACCGCTATGGGTGATCCATACGTCCAGGAAGCCACTCTTCGTGGACACCTTATCCACATAGAACCGGACGCTGGTCACTCGCACGTCGACTCTCTCTGACCCGAAAATTGGACTTTTGCTCGGATATTGTACGGTGTGCGGCGTTATCACCGCTTGGAGGATAACCCTCATGTCCGTCGGCGTCGAGTCTTGCAGGTCCATGTCAGCGTCGGGGATCATGTATTGAACTCCTTCCACATGTTGTGGAGGACGGCCCCAGGACTGAGCCCGTTCCGCATACGCTTGGTTCAGCCGAGTGTTGATTCTATTTAACATGGGATAGTTGAAGTTAGAAAAGTCGAACTCTCTCATCTCCTCACCGATGATGTTTCGGTCCTCCAGTGCGCAGAATTGATATGCGTTTTGCATTCCCTGCAGCCAGATCATGACGCCATCCAAGGCGTGGGTGTACATCGACCTCATAAAGGCTGTGAGCGTCGGATGCTCCATTCCGAGTGAATCGTATTCCTGGCGGACCAGATCTTTATTCTGAGCCTCCAACGACTCAATCCGGGAGAGATGGCGAATCAAAAGTTGGACGTCCCTGGAATAGCTGAGCACGTTTTCATTTCGTGTCTGAACGGCATCTATTAAATGAGCATTAGACTAGATACCATCGGGGTTATTAGGAGAGAGGGGATGAGCGCCATACTGATATAGTCCTCAAATGCTTTTCTGACCTCTTTCAAGGTTTCATCACCCAGTTTTGAACTAAATTCATTCAGAAATGTTTCCATCATAGACTGTTGCATGGCCAGCTTTTCACCCCCTGGATCGCTGAAGTTCACACCCCCATCCTTCATGATCTCATATCCCTCCTTGAGATCCCGAACTGTCTCACCAATTCTCTGAATATGTTTCACCAGATACTTTTTGTCAATGGAGACGCCAGAATCATTCTGTATCTTGTTCCAGGTATCGTAGGCGAATCCGAGCCCCTCATTAGCCATCATCCAATACAATCCCCCTCCCTCTGCGGTAAAAATCACCATGCCAATGGCAGAAACCAAGTCGTTGAAGTTAAAACCAAGAAGATATGTCACTTTCTTCTTGATGCCATCCATAGTCTGCATCAATTTATCTTTGGCAATTTTCATTCCCTGCTCAGCGACGGATATTTTGTGGACAACAGCGTCCATATCATGTCGGACGACTTGAATCAAGTCTCTACTTTGTGCAATTGCTGCTTGGCAGGAGCTTTCGCGTTGTTGGATTGCCTTTCTCTGTCTTTCCTCGGAGATATCGTCTTTCAAATACGAGATATAAGTGTCTTCAATCTCCTTCAGCTCCTCCAGAAAGTTCGTGGCATAAGTCGCATAAAAGGCGAATGAAGCTCGAGGGACTTGGATTGAAGCTGGGTCAGATTTGGTTTTCGGGGTCAGCAATCCTTTCAACGTCTTTTCGACCTCGTTCCGGATCACTCGTAACTGCTGAAAGGATACCGGTTCTTTGTCCCGACGACCACCGACAATGTGCAAAAGGGGCTCAAAGGCTCGATAGGCTTTGCCCAGTGCGGTTTCCGAAAGGTCTTCTGGGAGATCAGGATCTCCCAGGAATGACAATTGCAAGTGTAAGCGCTCTAGAAGAGTTAGTGCACGGGCTAGATGTTCTTCGGTGCCCAGTAAGAGGAATAGTTTTGCCTTGTCTAGAAGCATCTGACACTGCACCGGATGCAAATAGCAGGTTGATAAGCTGAGAATATTTTCCGATTCATCGACAATTGCCACCATGCTCCGTCCAGGGTGTCCATTTTTCCCATCTTTCCCCAGTCCATTTGGTCCTCTTCCGCCCATGCCATAAGTCCCGCCGTTGACATCAATCGCCTTTGTCATGTTATTCCTAAGCGTGTCTCCCGGACGAAGGAGATGCTCGTACGAAAGCTTCAATATCTGATGGAAATCCTCTTTCGGCTTTTTCAGGATCTGATCTACATCTGACATGTCCTCTGGTAATGGAACCAGTTTCTGGATTGCCTTATCCACTGTCATTTCCAACACCCAGTCGCGCACCAGATCGCGAAAGTCAGTAGGCCATATCTTCCCATCATCAGTGAAGTGACCCAGGAGTTGGCGACAAAGCAGCACTGCCGACCCAAATCTGCGTCCGAGAAGAACAGTGGACGATCCTCCATTTCCTCCATCTCCGCCATCTTCCAGCGGTTGATTTTCTGTCGTAGCAGTACCGTCCCAACCGCGGCCTCCCTGAACTGCGAATAGTCAACCTGACTGTTAATATCAAAGGGGGGAAAAGAGGTGGGGGGCGCGGGGGGAGGAAAGAGAGACACTCGCCATTAATTTTGAGATGGTCTATCACAGCCTCCGTGGGTTCTTCAATGTACAACTGTATGTGGCCTCCAGATATACCGTTCGGTTTCTCTTTGGTACCATCTTCCCCAGCAACTCCAAGTGTGATCCTCCTGACAGCGCTCTCAGGACCGTAAATCTTGCGCGTGTATAGATTAAAGCAATCCCGGGGCACTTTTGTTTCTTTTGTTTCTTTTGTTTCCTCCTCTTGATACACCCATGTCTTATCCTCGGTAGCTTCGAATCCTTCTACGTACAATGAAATCGGAATTTTGAGTTCGTGCGGACGAATTGCATCTGGAGACACTGAAAGGATTACACTGGGGTTAACTTGGGGATACTTGATGATATCGGGGTTTCTCGGGTCCATTGTGCAGAGCTTGGTATCATGAGAATTGCTTCCCGCAAAGCGCTGAGTTGGATTATGAACGCGTTTCTAGAGCCACACAACTGATTACAAAGTAATAACTAGGTTGCAGGTTGCTGATCAACTTTGTCTCCCTCCCTTTAGACACAGCCATGTTACATGTAGGCCCGCAAATCTAAAGTAGAAGAGATCGGCTGGCCGATTCATAGGTACATCAATGCTTGCTTTGCAGAGTTAGGTAGATTTGTCAGGCAGCCACCGCGAGCTTGTGTGTGCCGATCTAAAGGTCATCATGCATATTAATCCCTGCAACGGAAGCGCTGAGCAGATGCATTCGTCGATGACACGTAATTATTTGCTCTCATGCAATCAATAAGAGCAGACTGGGATCTGGGATCTGCAGAGCTGACGACACTGGTTTGTCTACTTGATACCCAAAGCTAACCATGTGGCCAGTTGCAAAGCTGCATAAGTGCCCATGTAGATAGATGATTAAATGCACATGAAAGGTATGAACCTACCTCGTCAACGTCTCTGCTCTGGTTGGGAAGAGCTAACTAGGACAGGAAACATATAGTTATCGATATCCAAGATTACAGTTGCTTTCCCATGCAATCCTTTTCATGATGGCCACTAAAGTCGCACCTAAACAGTTCCACGAGAAGCTTGTCAAAGCAAATGAGTCTACGACCGATCGTTGGGATGTGATCGTTAGTTATACCAAGGATAAGCTGCAGCCTCTGTTGGATAGAGACTGGTCTCAAGCGATTGGCGAGACTACTGTTTCCATTACACATTCCACGGGCCATAAGCAGTATGACCGCACCACGACATACACCATAACACTGGCCTCGCCTCATTTCGAGTTTGATACCAAAGAAATTGATGGCGGAAGTCTCTCCAGAGCAAAGATTACATGGGGCTTCACGGGCACAGCGCATGTGAAACTCAACAGCGGAGAGGATAAAGGGACCGAACAGTTGACAGCCGAAGATGGTTTGACCTTGACGGTCAAAACACCGATAAATGCAATTGAAGACGGTGATGCAAGCAATGATGAAAAGGTCGGTCGGTCTTTCAATCCAGGCCACCGGTGAGAACTAATAATGAGATTTAGACAAGCCATGACATGATCGAGTTTACCGACGGAGTCAGGTCTTCCTACAAGGTGATCCTGCAGTTCAAAAGTACGGAAGATACTCTCTGGGAAGTCAATTACACCAAAAAGTCCGATACAGCCGAAGAGCTGCAAGATGTGGCAGATGATATTGGCGCTGAGCTGAACAATCAGGACAAAATCAAGGGTTTCAAATTCACGCTGGGCGAGGTTAACAACACCCCCAATCCGAATGACTTTGTGCTCACCCCTAAAAAGTTCTGTTTCGGCGTCTTCAAAGACATCTTTTGTATCTTTATCCATGTTGAAGGAGGCGATGGGACCGGGTCGGTTGGAACACCACAATTCAAACTCCTACACGAGGAGGGCATTGCCCCTATGCCCGATGGCTACGATGCCAGTATAATCCTTTCCAGAAACTTGATCCGCGACAAATACCTCATCCCACAGATCGCAGACAAATGCAAAGATATTCTGCGAACCGAGGATCCAATCGTGGCACAAGATGCGACACTGGGGCCTTCTATTGGATTGAAATTCCAGGATAGCAGAGTTTGGGAAGGCCACAAATACACAGCCGGTCCGACGGATGAAGATGGGTATATCTCAGTGGATTGGGACAAACATCCTCTCGTTCTCACCTTGTTTGATGACCCCTCGACTCTACACCCGCAGTATAAATGGGAGTGGAACGACGCCGAGGTAACCCTGACCTATTTCGTGTATAATGCAAAATTAGGACGTGTAGGGCAAGATATAACCATCAAAGGAAAGATATCTCAGGTGCGTTGCGACCCATTATGATCCTATGATGTAGAGTGCGGAAATTAACAGGATCTATAGAATGCGTCCTCTGTGGCGACCCTGTCTGGCGACAACCTAAAATTTCACATCGCCTTCTCAAGCAACAATCAGCCAGATGCCTCGTTCAAAGACGTGGGACCTGTTGGGTTGAGTGGCTCGGTCAAGTTCAAGACCTTTGACGTCTCGCTTCTCGATATCAACTTCTTTCGGACGCAGAATGTGCTTGCGCCTGGACAGCGATTCATCAGTGCTAAGGAAACCATGTGTCCTTGCGATTTTTTTATTTTTGGATCGATGGAGGATGCGAAGAAGTAGGTCTTCAATAAACCTTATGATTAAATGGGATCAATTGAACCATCTCTGCGGTATTTGCTTTTCCTGAGAATGTAGATATACGCTTATACCACTGCTTCTAGATAATAGTAAACATGACTCAATTCACTTTGGAGTCCCATGCTACGCTGAAAGACAACACATACGATTATACCTACATTTATAACCACTTCTCTTGGATTTCTGAGCGGGATTAGACAGCCCACAGAGCATGTTCCTGCAAATATCTCAGCTCCGGCGCTCATTGTTACCAGCCATGACCAGGAGTTTGTAGTGTTACAAGCAAAAGAAGGGCATCTGGAGATGGTTTGAAGTATCTTATTGCTAATCAAATCCATCATTGTCTACCAATTAGACTTCTCAGATGGCTATATTTCCGCGTTGATACGCTTCAGTGTGTAGTGCGTGAAAGCGTGCGCGAGAGCAAGCAGGACTAACCCTTTACTTGTAATCTTTTGTTCCTTTGTGTGTCTATCAGACTTCAGTGTCCTTCTGACAATTCGCCAGGTATGGATCGCAAAGTAATGGATGTAAAGTGTGCAGTGTGCCTATTGAAAACTGTAATAGCGCTTCTTGATTGGCTGAAGCTCGGGAGCAAAAAGTCTGTGTCCTGACTGTGTTCTGTATACTCCGGCAACAGACGATTCGATATCCTTGCTCTTCTGTGACGAACATGAAACATGGGAGATAACGTGGCAGGCGGGCATTGGCTACGGCTGTTTTGCAATGCACAGCGCATGCAGTGTCTTCTTTCACGCCCGCAAGGCTGAGTCCAGTCGTGTAGTGACTCGGCCTTGCGGCCTCTCTTCATCAATGAAATACAAAACTTTCGCTTCTTTGCAGGAACTCAGCGTTTGGTTTTATCTGAGCAAGAAGGAATGGAAGTTTACTGAAACAGACTTTTAACCCATCTCATTTTACATTACTTTTCTCGACTGCCTCTTTTTGCGGAAGGCCCATCGAATCCCTCTACTGCCCGAGCAAGCATCCGTTTCCAAGTCGAACGCTCCACGCTATGTCAGAGACTGGGAAAGAGTTCGTGTCTAGCCAGCACAACACAAAAAATGCCGACAAGTTGTCTCCTCCGACTCGGTTCACCCCTATGGACTATACCATTGGATGGATCTCCGCGCTGCCCAAGGAACAGACTGCAGCGACGGTCATGTTGGACCAAATCCATCCAGTGCTACCCAGGCCACCCACCGACCACAACACTTATACCTTGGGGTCAGTTGGCAATCACAACGTCGTAATAGTCTGTCTGCCGAAAGGCAGGTACGGCAACAATCCAGTAGCGACCGTTGCAGCCCAGATGGTGAGCACTTTTCCGTCCATTAGATTTAGCCTCATGGTTGGCATTGGGGGCGGTATTCCACCTACAGTTAGACTTGGCGACGTTGTCATCAGTACTCCGGTCGACGAGTATCCTGGAGTTGTCCAGTGGGATCGTGGGAAAGCAGAAGAAGGCGGCAACTTCAGAAGAACCGGTGCACTGAACAATCCACCAAACGTATTGCTAACAGCATTGACGAAATTGGAGACTGCCCACGAAATGAATGGATCCAGGATTCCTCAGTATCTGGACGACCTGAAAAGGAAGTGGCCAAACCTGGCATCCAAATATGTCCGGTCTGACTCCTTCGTGGATCCTTTATCCCTACCGAGAAATCCCCATACAAGTGGAAGCAGCTGGCAAGTAGTCATGTTGATGCTCTGGAAGAAGATTTTGGCACTATTCGGGTTCCTGTTAGGATGGTGGACGTTTATTTATGTGGACGCTGAGACCAAGCCAATAACGAGCAACGCAGTGAGCACCGTGATTCACGAAGACAAGAGAAGTCCAACAAACATGCATGTTCATTATGGCTTAATCGCATCCGGCAATCAAGTTATCAAGGATGCCAAATTGCGGGATCGCCTCAACAAGAGTCTCGGCGGGAATGTGTTATGCGTCGAAATGGAGGCAGCAGGGCTGATGAACGACTTCCCCTGTATTGTTATCCGCGGCATCTGCGATTATGCTGATGCACAAAAGAATAAGAACTGGCAGGAATATGCTGCAGCTACAGCAGCAGCGTGCGCAAAGGAACTTTTAGAATATGTCCAAGTGACGTTGACAGAGAACGCCCTGTGAAGGACATATTGGACCAGGGTTAGTCGGTTTCGTGATGAGCTCACAGCAACTTTCGACTAATATCATACAGTCCTTGACAGTATAGAAGATACCAGAAAGGGCATTGATCGATTGCATCTTAGCAATCGCCAGCGTGAAGTCCTTAAGTGGCTAAATCCACCGGATCCCTCGACACATTACAACAAGGCCCTGCAGCAACGCCATGGATGCTCGGGACTTTGGTTCTTACAAAGTAATGCCTTCGCCAAATGGAAGATACAGCCGGATTCATTCTTATGGTTAAATGGCATCCCTGGATGTGGCAAGACAATTCTTAGCTCCGCAATCCTTAAAGACCTTCTTGACACCCTGCCTTTTCAGCCCCTCTACTTCTACTTCGACTTCAATGACACAGGGAAGCAGACGTTCGATAGCATGTTGCGATCCCTAATCAACCAGCTGTGCTGCAAGTGTGAGGATACCTGGAAACCATTGGATTTACTCTTTTCCTCTCACCAAGACGGACGTGTACACCCGTCCTACGAATCACTTCGTAAGGTTCTCTTGGAAGTGATCGGGCAGGTCGAACAAGTTTGGATCGTTCTGGATGCTGTTGATGAGTGCAGCACAAGGAGTGGCCCCCCAACAGAAGGATTACTATCCTGGATGAGAGATCTAACATCTCAACAGAAGAATGTCCATCTTCTTGTGACTAGTCGACCGGAACAAGACATCAAATCCGAGATCGTTGAATGGGCTTCTCTAGATAACATTGTGCCTATTCGGGGTGACGGCATTGACGATGATATTCGTGCGTACGTCCATACTAGAGTCAGAGAGGACAAGGGCCTTAAAAGATGGCGAACTCAACCAGATGTTCAGGAAGAAATCGAACATCGACTTATGGAGAAAGCAGACGGAATGTAAGGCATTCGTTTTGACCAATTATCTATAAGAAGTGCTAAGGATTGACAGGTTTCGATGGGCTACATGTCAGCTTGATGCGCTAGAAAATTGCCTCGAGTATCGCACTCTCCAAAAGGCTCTCAAGTCCCTCCCGAAAACTTTGGATGAGACCTATAGCAGGGTCTTACACAGCATCCCGTCCGAATATAAGCAGAATGCCTTCAGGATTCTTCAATTCCTGACATACTCAGCGCGGCCTCTAAGTGTCAGCGAGATGGTCGATGCAATAGCAGTGGATACTGAAGGAGAAGATTATCAATATTTTGATCCAAAACATAGGATGCCCGACCCTCGCGAAATCACCTGTTTTTGTTCCAGCTTGATTGTCTTTACATCCACAACGCATAATTCAGATGTCGACAACAAGGATGACGATGTGAAGCTTCAGCTAGCACATTTCTCTGTGAAAGAATATCTAATATCAGGTCGGCTTGACAAAGACCTCGCGCACAACTTTGAGGAGTGCGCTGCCAGAGCGTCGATTGCTACCGTTTGCCTTGCGTATCTCTTGCATTTAAACAAGGAAATCTCGGTAATAGAGATCAGAGAGAAGTTTCCGCTGGCGCAGTATTCGGCACGGTACTGGATGGACCACGCTGCAATAACTGAAGGGAAAGACGAAACTCTGGAACGTTTTATTGTGAAGATTTTTTACCACAATAGAGATTCCTTGCGGAACTGCTATAGCCTCTACCAACCAGATCAGACTTGGTTTTGGACGGAATTAAAAGGCCAATGTTCGGCATTATATTATGCATCTTATGGGGGATTGGTGAACGCTGTGAAGTACATACTAAGTCAGGGCGCGAACGTCAACGCGCATGGTGGAATTCATGGCAACGCGCTGCATGTGGCATCTTTAAGAGGCCATGAGAAGGTTGTTGAGCTGCTGCTTAGAAAAGGTGCTGATATTAGCGCGCAAGGTGGAAGTAAAGGCACTGCACTGCACATGGCATCTTCAAGAGGCCATGAGAAGATTGTTGAGCTGCTACTTAGAAAGGGTGCTAATATCAATGCACAGGTTGGGCATAAAGGCACTGCGCTGCGCGCAGCAATTATAGCAGGCTGTAAGGAGATTATTGAGCTGCTGCTTAGACAGGGTGCTGATATTAACGCACAAGATGGAAGTGAAGGCACTACACTGCACGCGACAATTGTAGCAGGCTATAAGGAGATTATTGAGCTGCTGCTTAGAAAGGGTGCTGATATCCACTCACAGGTTAGATTTTATAACACCGCGCTGCACGCGGCAATTGTAGCAGGCCATGAGGAGATCGTTGAGCTTCTACTTAGGGAGGGTGCCAATGTCCACCTGCAGGATGGGTTAAAAGGCAATGCACTTCAAATGGCTTCATATACAGGCCATGACCAAATAGTGAAGCTACTGCTTGATTATGGTGCGGATGTTAATGTACGAGATGGAATTTATAGCAATGCACTACAGGTAGCTTCATACAAAGGCCATGAGCAAGTGGTGAAGCTGCTGCTTGAGAATGGGGCTGATATCAATCAAGTCAAAGGTGGCTTGCATAAAATACATGAGCGAGTGGTGAAACTGCTGCTTGAGAATGGGGCTGATATCAATCAAGTCAAAGGTGGCTTGCATAAAATACATGAGCAAGTGAGCTTCTGCGATATCCTCAACGAGCATAGCAGAAAAGCCTATATTTCATTTATAACCAATCTTTGTGGCGTGTTGGAGGTCTTTCACGGATTTTGTCAAAAGAGGGCATGAACGATGTGCCCAGTTATAGCCTTGATCGATCATAGCGATAGCCTCTGCTGTCAGGAGATTGAGGAGCCAGTTATATCGTACTTAGTAATTCACGCCAAATCCAGGATGCAGAGCAACTTAAATAAGTTTATGTTTGCCAGAAAAAGAGCAACGGGCTCACAGCTTTGAAAGCTGTCAAATAGATTCAAGCTCGCAGGCCATATTCTCTGTCAGATGCCTAATGAGACCATCTTCCGTTGCAGCTTGATGACCACCGTGTTCGTCTCCTTTCCTCTTCCATAGGCCAAGGTCCAGTTGTCGTTTGAATGGCATGGAGCAGATGCTGGCAGAAGATAGAAAGTATAAGAGCAGCAGATTCTGCGTGAGTCAAATTTACTGGCGGGTTTCAAACCTGATCCGAAGGCTATGAAGAAACATTCTTTTCAGCAGACATGACGACCTAGGGCTCAGCGGTGATCTCGCCACTGACTAATCTGATTTCATCATTGGAGTCTCTGTCGGTGCCCCGCAAACCGCGACAAACAACTACAGACAAGCATCGCATATGAAAACCCACCACAGGAAAATATATACAACGCTTGGTTCATTCACAGTCCGCAAGAGTAGTAGACCGCTCTCCATCATGACTGAACCCGCAGCAGTTACACGCTTTTTCCAGTCGCCTCAATTTGCCGTGGCGGGCGCCAGCAACAACCCCAATAAGTTTGGCTACAAAAGTCAGTCACATCTACTTTATCGAGAATCGAGAATCTCGTTGTGTAGGCTCTGTTTGCTGACTATGAGTGTAGTCCTGGCCTGGTATCACCAGCACTCGCTACCGGTTACTCCGATTAACCCTCGTGAGCAGAGCATCCAGCTGCCATCACGAGCATATTCTGTTGCATCTTCGCCAGAGGCGTTGCCTCAACCAACCGAAACGTCTCTTTCCATTGTCACACCCCCTAACGCTACACTCGAGCTGCTAAAGGAGGCTCGCGAGAAAGGCATATCGGCGGTGTGGTTCCAGCCGGGCACGTACAATGACGAGGTGCTGAAATTTGCAAGGTCCAACTTCTCCACTGTCATTGGTGGCCCGGGGGGCAATGGCAGTGAGGGATGGTGCGTTTTGGTCGACGGTGAGGACGGTTTGGAGTCTGCTGGACGGACGTGGAAGCAGCAGAGACTGTAAGGGGGAGTGGATATATTTTCCGCTGCATCACATGCTACATTGGTAGGTTAGCAGAATGATTGTGCAGTTCAGCAATTCAAAGCTTTCCATCAGTCAATTCTGTGTGTAGGACAGAGCAGAGTAGAGAGCAAAGAGTAGAGCAAAGAGTCGACATGAAAGAGTAGAGACCGAGCCAAGTGACGTGACTTGGCCAGATCGGGACGGGCCCCGCTCTGGCGATTAGCTCAAGTCGATCTAAAATCAACAACTTCACATCGTCAACTTCACCCTTGGCGCTCATTTCACTCGCAGACCATCTTAATTCCTCCTATGCAGGGCTGCCCCTATTTCTATGCTTGACGGACATTACCGCGCTTTCACCTGAGCACGCCCTGCTGGCCGGGCAGGCTGCACGAAATGGCTTCACTTACCGACTATGACGCGCCCTTTCGGATGCGCACCCAACTTTTTCGACCTCCTCGTACCCCGTCCTCCTCTGCATCCATATACCACTCTCCCGAAAGTGTCGCAACTCGCAAACGCATGCGCCGCGAGGGACCAGACAGCCGATCGCCAGCGTGGGACCCCATCTCTTCGACGGAGCTGGAAGGCCCGTCACCGTTGATAAACACCGACTATATACTAGCCAACGGTGGCGAAGATCGCCGACGGCTCGACCTCAAAGACACCAGAGAGAAACTCGTCGAAGAATTAGACTACCGACCGAACCGATACCGCAACAGTTCACTCTTCTCAGGCCAACGCGCTTTATCTGCTGAGAACAAAGACGTTGGCAGTCGCAAGCGCAGTCATAGTGAAGCCACAGAGATGGATTCGCTGCAAACGCCTACAGCGTCTTCTGCGACACCAGGCTGGGGGCGAGCTGTGTTCACTGTCGTTGGGAAAGTTTGGGACTTCTGCTGGACAAGTGCATTCCGGGGCTTCTCCGCCGGCGGAGGCCATGGCTATCAGGTCGAAACATCTACTCCGGCATCTAAAGAAACAAGCACCTGGCAGATGGTGCAGCGGCAGCAGGATGACTCTTCAGCTTTTATCTCCCACCAATCAAGGCAGGAATCGACGCCGATTCCTGGACAATACCCCGAGGAGGAGATAGACGTCGAACAGACACGGGATCAAGAAACCTGGGTCTTGCTTCCAGACGCATCGTCAGTGAGATTTCCATTCCCGCGGAGTCCAAGTCCTTCACAGATACCTCGCAGAGTGCCGCGGCGCGGTAATGTTTCTCGTCTTCAGCCTCGACGATCATTAGGCAACCCTCGAGCGCTGAACAAACGACCTATACTGAACCCTACTCGATCCGTAGCCACCACGCCATTATCGACAACAGGACGTCCATCTACGCCCGTCAAGCAGCCAATTAGTCCCACTCGGACGTCGACTCACGGGAGTCCAGCGTCTCGGGATGCTCAGCGATTCGCCGCTCAGTTTCGACGGCGCGAGCGCGAAGAAGACGCTAGCATTCAAAAAATGAATGACCAGCTAAAAGCGCTTATTCGTGAAGGACGTGAAGCATTAGGGTCTCGCGTGGAGGTTGATGATTTGGACCTTGACGATTCATAACCGGATTTTTACCGCTCTATTTAATTCTTTTCCCTCCTGGCCCGCTCTTGTTCTTGGAAATATTTCGGCTGATGATACGATACCCTTCTCTTACACGCTGTATACACTTATTTAATGACCCACCCCTTCGCTAAGGAGTCTACTAGTGGAAAGCTTTCGACCTTGTTCTTTTACTCGGTTTTGACGACAAGACAAATTGACGTTTAGCTTTGGATCCGCTCTTCTTCACCTTCCTTTCTATATGTACCTAGTTTGCGATGCTTGGTCTACCTCACTATTGGCTTCTGGCTTAGTTTTATCGACGAGACGTCTTCAATGACTAGATTTGCAATCAAGTGATGATAATTATGCATGAACCCTGAGTATTTGGAAGAATTGAACTGATTACAGAAACTAAGCACAATAATCAGAGATATTATACCTACCCAGCTAGTACTGGTCCCGGATGGGCTGAATTGAATCTGTTACCATTCACAGAAGAATAGAAAACCAAAAGAAAGCAACAAGAAGAGAAATATATCAACGACCAAGCATCCACGTCCGTTGTCACTTCCGATTCTCCATTCAGGGAGTCGCAAGATCACCGATTGAGCTCCCTCCCACCATGATACCCTCAGTCACTGGCTTGACAGCTTTTCTAGGGTCAGCAAGCAGGCCTTTCACAACACTCAATACATCCGCACCAGCAATCGGGGGTACTTGTCGCTTAGATACAGGCTGCCCCTTAGCTGCGTCCTTGGCTAAGGACTCGGAGTGACCCTGCGTTGCTCTTGAGGCGTCCTGAGCATCTTTTGTTCCTGCCAGGAATTCATCGGCAATACCAGATAGGCCGGTGGCATCACCACTGCCGGAAGCTGCATGCTTGCCCTTGCTTTCTGCCAGTCCGATCAATGATTCTAGTGCAGCAGCGCTAGTGGTATCTGGGTCGCCATGGTCACGACGGTGTTTCCCAGTAACAAGCTTTGGGAGATCTCCAGCAGCCGCGCCAGCATTGCTCAACGTCGCAGTGGCCAGAGTCGAGAGAATGTCCAATTGGCGTTTAGAAAGGGATTCGAGAAAAGTACCCACTGACTCCGAACTCTCGCGCTTGCGCAGAATGCCCCAAAGGCTGGTCAGCTCGTCAAGAATGTCGAACACGCTGCTATCGCCACGTTTTCCGATAAGACCCAGGCCAGAAACGAGTGATTCAATACCGCTTAGCGGATCCACGCTTCCGCGCTTTACGAGCTGTTCAAGCATGGCCTTCTCCTCGCTGGTTAGAGAATCATCAGCATCGCCCCGTTTCACAATCTGGTCGAGACCTGTGGACTGTGTCGCCGATGGTGTCTCCTCCTTGTCGTGATCCTTAGAAGAAACAGAATGAAGCATGCCTTGGAGTCCTTTAAGTGCATTCTCGGTATACGTAGGCTTCTCTGTATCACTTTTCTTGGTATCGCGCTTGACAGAACCGCCTAGAACACCACCCAGCCCCCCAAGTCCCCCGAGCATGCCAGCATCTTCTCGGGTACGCTTGATAGGGAGGACTTTTGCAAGATTGGCAACCTGGCCAAGCTGGCTGGCTGCTTCAGGGATGCTCTTGACCAGTCCCAATTGTCGAGTTTCAAGTTCTTCTTCGCGCTTCCCGCTGATTTTGTTCAGGCTTTTTAAGAGGTCGGTGATACCTTCTAATTGCCGACGCTTGATTTCCCCGTCACTGGAGCCTAGGGGCAAGTCGTTCAAGACATCGAAGACGCCGTTATCTTGTTGCTGGCTGCTATCAGACGAAAGTGCGCTAGCAGCTGCTGCTGATGCCAGGGCATGAGCGTCAATAGTTGCAGCGGGGATACTTGACATGACCGGGTTGGCCTTGCGCATCGGCTCGCTCTGATGCGTGATGGGCAGGGCTGCGCGGGACTATATCTCTCAATACATTAGCGAAAGTAACCTCCAGCCAAACATCATCTTCAAATCTCACCGTCTCAGCCTCTGCATTGGGATTGATCGGAGCAGTAACGGCCGCCGAAAACACAAGGGCCGACGCCAAAAGAAACCGTACAGGCACCATTTTGACCGCAAGTCAATAAGGAACGCAAAGAAAAGAACTAAAGTATACGGTGATAAAAAGAGCGTAGTAACTAGCTAGCTAGTAAAGAGCGGCAATCGGTAAGATAAAGCCTTCGAAAGGAAACCCACCGGACGGCAGAAGAGAGAGAGACGACAGAATGGGAATTTCATTCATCTTATCAGCATTCAAGGGGACAAACATTCTTGTCATCTCGCACTTGATGTTCCCTTCGTTTCGATATCGCAAGTCAGTCCCTGTCTTGCGAGCGACCAAGGGGAAGAAGGAATGATTGATGGAATGTTATGTAGGAGTTTATTTATCACGCTGGTATAGTTAGTTGCTTGATGTTACTGGGTCTAGTCCCGTGCTGCAAGGGGTTGATATAAGGCTGCGTTTTGTGGTCCCTTCGGAATGCACACATCCTGATCTTTAACCCTAACTGCCTCGTACATATTATCGACCTTAAGTGATAAGGTATAGGCTAATCTCTGAGACTTTCACTTAATCGAACGTTGTATGCATAGCATAAGGTTATGCAATATCAACATGCATATGTATGAAAAAGTCTTTATTGAACCGCTATAATGCAACAGCTTTTGGTATATCAATATCCTTATAAACTCCACATAACAAAACGCAAAGAAAGGGGGGAAGAAATATCACGAAAACCGTATCCCCTCCTGATTAAACGCATGCAACAACTGCAAAAACGCAGTCTCATCACATTTCTGGCTCCGCTTCTCTGCAAGCCCAAACTTGTCCAGCGCACGCTGGATCTTGACCTGAATAAGTTGCACCAATCGTGCTCTGTCGACATTGATGCCATTCACCGAGATCATCTTGCCGGACAGTTTGGGCGCGTCCTTCTTCGGTAGCTTTGATTGGTTATCGCTACGTCCAAATATCAGGTCTTGCATGTCTTGCATCGTGTCGTCTTCGTTGTTCTCGTCTGCTCCATTATTATCTATAAGATTATTGTCGTCTTCGTCGTCAATTTCCATGGTAGACTCCGGCAGTGGTAACGAAGCGTCGCCATGGCCCTGTAAGAAATCTGTATCTTCCTTTTTCACTTGTTCCGGGAACATGGACGCCCATGTCACCCAGTTCCGCTCGATGAGTTCGCGGACTTGTTTTATGAAGAAACTGGAGCGGAGGGTCTTGTTTTTCCGATTGAAGCAGATGCGTAGCATGCCATCGAGTTCCTCCCATGAGATGTCGGGTCGATCGGGCCTAGGCTCGATTCTGACGACGCTAGACTCGACTTGAGGGGGTGGCGAGAAGTTGTTTTTGCCGACCTACAAAGCTGCACAGTTAGCACTGTTGTCGTTTCTTCGTAAAAGAATATGTGGGGGATAGAATTTACCTTGAGAATATGACTGCATACAGCGTGGAATTGTGCATTCACGCTTAAACGACCTTTATTTTGTGTTTCACATGTTAGTAATTGTGATGAAAATCAAAGGAATAGCGACATGTTGCTTACTATACATGGCATCACCAGGCCTAGCAATCAACCGCTGCGCGAATTCACGCTGAACCATCAATCTACCTCATAATCAGAATCGACGAACAGAAAACGAAGATTATTCAGTAAACTTACATCGAAACACGCGGAGGACGCGGCATAGCGAGCAACTTGAATACAAGCGGCGAAGAAATTTGATACGGGGTATTCGAGATGAAAACATCAAAGTGGCCAATCTCCTTCAGATCGACTACACAGCCATATCAAAAAGAATGAAAGTTAGGAAAGAACATTCATAGACATGCGGATCAGCTTCTCGCACCTTTGATAAAATCGCCCAGAATAATCTTCAACTTCCTCTGCATAGGCGTTCCTTGCACCATCTTGGTGAGCTCTGCAGCCATGCGAGGATCCAATTCAATGGCCGTGCAAGCCTTGGCCTTTGCCAGAATTCGACGTGTCAAAACACCCGTTCCAGGACCGACCTGTGCTTGAAGTTAGCTTTGAAAATATCCACATACGCACATATATAGAATAGTCAACTTATCTGCAACGACTTCATGTTCTTTGATATTCGCCTTGTCGACGATGGCGTCTGCAATTCCGGGATTCTTAAGAATATGCTGGCCTTGAAATCATGTTAGCATGCACATGTATATCACCCACTCGATATACACACCAATGTCGGTGTTGAATTTGAAGATGGGATTCTTCTTCAGCGACCCGCTCGGCAGGTTTTTCGTATACGGCGACCCGGCAGAAGCGTTGTTGCGCTTTCTCGGTTGGACCTTGCCCATTATGATGCACGTCCCTGATTGTTTCTAGCGTCTGTTCTTTTGCTATATGCACTCCCAGCACTGCCTAGAAAAATCGATGGCATCTCGAAAGATAACAAAAATTTGTGGATAGCCTAGGCTTATCTTATCGACACGTGATATTATTCGTTTCCGCGGGGATCTAGCCAAGTTGGGGTAAGCGCAGATCAGAGGCGTGTTAGCGTCATCCGGACGCCCGCAGCCAATCATATCGCTTTCCTCCATTGAGCATCGCTAGTCCTCCTCCAACGCTTTCGTGCCAGGGCGAGACATGTATGAACAAACCGTGGAACGAAGCTTCTCCGCTTTGCAGGCTGTGCCCTTGGCGAAAATTCAGTTGAAAGATAACACATTCCATGCTTGTAGAAACACTTCTTGTGTTACACCGTTCGTTATGTAAAGCAGAGGCTGGGATTCTGCGAGATGATGCCAAAGCTGCTGTCGAGCTAGCGCCACTCGTTTATTCGGTGACTATATCCTAGGTAGGGCTTGTGTGGTAGATCTGCGATGATATTATGAAGCATGGCCGGCGAGGTAAAACCCACCCGGCCCTCTGACCCGGACTCTCTTGTGCTCGAGGCATGGAGTCAGGGATTGACGGTGGGAGCGCTAGTGGTGATGGCGGCCATGACGATCGCCAATATGAGGAAAGGGGTACTTTTGCATAAGCTGATTTTGACGGAGGTGATTCATCTATTCTACGCAACACATATTGATAAAGCACTGGCTTATTCCATTTTTATCAGCTGGTCCTCGGCATGCTTCACGGGACATGGATCTTCACGACGGCGCCTGTCTACGGATGGTACCTATCGGCGACTGCCATTGGGCTGCTGACTTGTTGGAGTCTTCATAATGTGATTTCGTGGATGAAAAGCCGGCCGTTTTTATCTCGCCGGTTGTCAGCGTTCTATATAACAACTGTTATACTTGTGCAGCCCTACTGGATTCTGGAAATATACGCCGTCTTTGCCTATTTCAACGACATCAACGACTTATTTTTAAAAACAAGGCCTTTGGAGCCTCTTTTTCGGTAAGTATGAATCTTAGACTGAAGGAACCGACGTCAGACAACTAACTTGATAAGGGATCCCTGGTGGCTTTTTACAACATGTTGGCTATGCTACATTGTCACAAGGCAGTACAACTTCGGCCTTATCGAACTCATTCGCATCAGTCCGCGATTTGGCGTTATGCTGCTGTCAATGTGCCTGTCTCTTGTGTTTGTTCTACTCGACATATTGAGTGTAACTGGTGTGCTTTACCTCGGTCTTCCCACGGGAGTAGAGCCATTCTGGAAGGTATATCCACGCGAGAAGTGATGTTCTATTTCTTTTTTTTTTCCCATGTTGATGTGATAGTGGCTATCGACAGCTCTCGTTCATTTTCAAATGTCTTTGCGACATTGTCATTCTTGACGACTTCAAGACCGCCCTAGACCGCATCCGAGCGTACTGGATGAGCCGTATCGACTCGACCGCGGCAGGCCCAGGAGGATCCCAAGACACTTCCAGGGATCTTGAGAGTAGCGGAATCGTGCTACCGTCGCGTAAAAATGTCAGTAATCTGATCCCTCCGACTCCTGTTCCATCGTCATCAAATCCCCAATTTCAACATACCAGTTAGCTCGTCTAGCGGGACACGGAAATCCAGTACCATAGCACGGAGTGCTCTTGAGGATGTTGTCCTATGAATTAGCATGATTATTGTAAAGAATTACATTTCAGTAACTGCATGCGAATATCTACTTATCTCGCCTCATGTTATGAAGCGAGCATGTGTACGAACCAAACCGAAAGTCATCTTGTATCTCGGCCATAAAATATCCAACGTGACACATATAAGCCTAAAGGGACATACACGACATTTTTTAGACTACCCAATAAATAGACCATCAAAACAAAGGCATATCAACCGTCCTCTCCCAATCAATCGCCTCCTTCTGCGTCTCAATCCTCTCGCGACAAGTGCCAAAAATCCGATCCCACAACCTCGTCTGCTTCCCATAATTATGGCTCGCCTTCCAACCAGTGCGATGATGCAAATCGTGATCCTCAATAACCAACTCCGCATCAACCCACTGCAACAACCAACTAAACAAATTCGGCGGACAGGCATGAATACGCAGGCCCGAATGACCCGCCAACTCCGCAAAGACGACATACTGATGGCAAATCCACCACTCATAAAACCCCATGGGCATGCCCATCAGCTTCATACTAAAGTACGTCAACAGCGGAATGCCAGCTATATCCCAGAACTCCTGTTCCGTGTCTGCATACAGACTCAGCAGCGGATTGGGATGTTTGGTGAGATGATGCGTGCGATGGAATCTCCACAACGAGTCCACCTCGTGCATCACGCGATGGTACCAATAGAACCAAAAGTCGAGAATGATACCATACAGCCCGACCTCGAGCAGCACCCAGACCCAGTTCGATGCCAGCGCTGTCGCCGGTGTGTCAGCGCTGCGGTAGGCCAGGAAGACGGTCATCATGGGTCTGAACGTCGACGTGGACATGAGCGAGTGCACGACCTTGGCGACGCCGATATCTGGAACGTCGTCGCGCGCGTGCTTGTCGCCATCGAAGAAGCCGTATATGTGGCCCAGGTCGCGCAGCACGTGCAGCTGGTTGATGGCAATGGCCTTGAAGGCAACGCCATAAAACAAGAACGCAGCTACCGCGCCGAGGTTGTGTCCTGTATACGAGACGTAGGTCTGATGCAAGATGAGCGGGATCAGGGCATGCGAAATCACCCAGCGATGGGCCTTCCACTCCGGTAGATGCGGCACCAAGTCTTCCTTAGAATGCACTGGTATTGGCTTGTCGAGGGCCGTGGGATGCACGCCCAATACCTCAAAGAACCAGTGCCATGGGGTCCATTCGTCCTTGCTGGTTTGACGCCAGGTCGATTTCATCGAGTCTTTGGGATTAGGAGCCGACATTCTCCTTTCTGCCCGAAGGGTAGCAGCAATAAATTTGTAAGAAGGTCAACCGAATGTATGCCACCGGGGCATAGAGCTAGATACAAAACATGAGGGGAACAACTCCTATCTTTATATCCATCCTGACTACAACCAACCAGCATTCAATGAACCGGCCCTAGCGCGACCGTTCGCCCGGCTGATCTCACGATGAAGGGGTTCGTCCATGCTGAACGAAAACATGTGAACGAGTTGGCCGCGGCTGTTTTTGCGAATAGTGCGATGCTTAGGTCCCAACAGAAGACCAGCTAGTCGGCTGATTGGCCTGGTGGGAGTTAAGAGTAGGGCTAAAATTTTAGGCAGGCGGGATAGGTAAAATACGGAGAAAAGACTCGATATTATAACATTACGAGCAGTGGCTGGCAGACATGCATCAGAACGATAGATCCGGCGATTGCTCACTGGATCAATGAACATGTGAGAAAAAGGCCTTGCAGAGCAAATGCCTGAAATCATCGCCACCGGCATTTCACCTTCGTTATGTACCGGTACTGCCTAGCCCTAAGCCCTCGACTAGTGCTGCTGGTAAGGTTACTAAAAGGTGCGATCTACACTGCACCACAATCACAAGAACAAGAACCGAGGCACTCAGCCTATCCTTTTGGCTTGGTGATGTTCAGCAGACATCTTCATTAGCACGTAATCATAGTGAGAAATCACCGATTAGTGGCATTCAGAGTCTTCTAGTTGCAACAAGCTAATAGTAGAACCTTCAAGCGCCCAAATATTATCTCTGGTCTGCAGTAGAAAAAAGGCCAAGGCACGTGCAAGACCAAATTACAGACTGGCCTTGCCTTGGGGCTCAAATGGCAACAGCAGCGCTAGCAAACCAGACACCAAAAACAACGCTCCGCTGACATACACTGGAGCCGAACTGTTGAGGTTGGCAAACATGGCAATAATCGGCGACATAATGCCAAAAACACGATTAGCCGTTGCAGCAATTGCATTTCCTGTACCCCGGTCTTTGGTAGGGAACACCTCGGGCGTATACGCGTAAAGTACAGCATACATGATGTTGCTCATGAAATTGTAAGCACAGTTCCAGCCAAGTAGCGCATTCGATGTCGTCGCCGTGGTGGATGCAAAAAGGAAAACACCCGTCATTGCAGTGGAGACGGCCAGTGCACCTCTGCGCCCAAATCGTGGCAATTCTACCAGCAATCCTCCCAACAGACAGCCAGGAATCCCGAGGACGGCAATAATCACCTCGTTTCGATACGTAATGTAAGTTGATCCGTCGCCAAATGACGCCCCGCGAGTGGCCTGGATGTAAGGAAGGAATGCGTTGTAGAGCGGGAAACCGAGGCCAATAAACGCCCAGATCGCCGTTACCATTGAGGTTGAGATCGCCAATCGGACTGTCGAGAAAAGCGAGCGCACATGCGTCAAACTCACTTTTTCCAGATTCCGCTGCAAGGCTGCTGCCGCGGACGTCTGCTGTTCCCGAACCCCATCATGTCCAGACCTGGCAAGTTCGTTGTATTGTGTCAGATCTTCCAAAGTCAGATTCGAAGTTTTGCCATTGCGGCGAGCGACCTCGTGGACAACAGCTACCGCCTCTGCATCTCGGCCACGTGACATCAAATACTTTGGTGATTCGTATATGGTGAAGCAGAAGAAACGAACGGCAAACATGACCATGGACAAGCCGCCCATGGCAATCATGAAATATCGCCAACCCATATTCTCGCTTCGCGTGCAAACTGTGTCTTCTTGGCAGGTGTAGTCACCCAGTAGCGGCCATGCCACCAAGGACGCGAGAAGTTGTGCAAAAGCCCAGTCTATAGACAGAACCGTCAACAAGAATTGGTGCGATGCGGGGAGAAATTCTAGAAAGATGGCTGAGTCAACCGGCAAGTTTCCGCCCACGCCCACGGACCACAACGCCGCAAAGACGCAAATAGCTGCAAAGTTGGGCGACCCCGCGGAGATGAGACCAAACACGCCTGTAATGCCAAGGGTCAAATTGAAGGCCCATTTCCTCCCGAACAGATCACACCCAAACCCCCAAAACATAGCACCTACAAGAAGACCGATATTTTGCGAGAGCGTGAGATATTCCGCATACGTGGGCTTGAATTCATTGCCGACTGCGGTGAGAATCAAAGAAGTGATAATTGGCCACATATTATCATTGGCCCAGCCAAAGCCGATGACGGCGAAAAGCTGCCATTGGTATTTGCCCATGCCAATGCTTTGAATGGCCTTGTTGAGCTCGCACGCTTTAGCTTCATAAACGGGATCGAAGGTTCCTGATGGCAAAGCGCTTCTCTCGCCTTGCTGGATATCGACATCCCGGAAAACTTCAGTTGGTACGGGTCCGGCATCGGTGCATGTCTCTGTATCTTTCGACGTAGACATTTTAAAAGGCCGTGAATAACGCAGCACGGGAATTTGAAAAAAAAAAAAAAAAAAAGAAAACAAACTTGCTACCTGCACATCTTATCAGTTGGATGTGAACTCCTAAATTTGACGATAAGACTGCAGACAAACCAGTAAGAGGCAGAGCGTCGAGCGGAAAAGATAAGCCGCTAACTGAGCTATCGGAAGTTTAGTTTGATATCGTCGTTCTCTATCCTTCGTTTCCCTCGTGCTCTTTTTCTTTTGCGCTGTAAGAAGACACTCGGAATCCGCAAGAGCAAGCGTCACCTATTGATACGCCTGCTTGCTTGAAAGCGCAACGACGAGAGGAAATGGACGTTGCCCGGATGGCATAGCGATAAGAAAGCATTGCGCTAGTGAAGCTGCACGCTCATGGCAGAATTTTCATTTGTCGCGGCGGCTCTGTAATGGCGTGATTGTACCCGTCACAATCGGCATTCAAGTCGTTCCCGCGAGCAGGGGACAGCCAAAGCCGGCTAGGCCCATGTAACATGGCTTCTTCTTGCATCCATGGATTTTGTCGTTGCGTTGACTAGCGGCGCACGCTCTGGGCCGGATTGCGTTCAGCATGATGACACGAGGCACACAGCATAACTACGTAGCGAGTAGCGAGTGAGAGTTCCTGGGAACAGGCGACGGAGAGAGTTTGCATTGTCAGCTTGAGCCTCGAGAGCGGAAACTGCCGGGTGCCGCATCCGGCCTAGCGCGGGGATAAGCAATAGGCGCTCTCTGATTGGACGGTGCCCTTTACTAGTCTGTATTTGGCATTTGCTATGTATACCAAGCTAGCAGATCATTAGAAGTCGTGAAATTCTTTCCTATCTTTTTAACAGTCATAACGCAATCACGGACGACTTTCCACAGGGCCAAAAAGCATCCCAAACGCTGCAGTGATGGCGAACATTGAACGGGCCGTTTTAGTCAAAAGTATGAAATATGCATCACAAGGGGAACATCATCAAAACAGGAATATGAAATCCAATACAAAGAGTGAGTCGCTGAAGGAGGGGAAAACAACAAAGCAGGTGGCCTTCAACGGAGAGTATATATATGCCTCGAGCACATACAAATACCAAACAGACATATAATTATCAAAAGGGGAGCATAATGGTATCAAAAAGAAAACGAAAGGTCCGAGAACATAGCAAGGCGGGTGGGAAAAAAGGGGCAAGAAGAACGAAAACAAAAACCACAGAAGTTAAAAAGAGGGCATTGCAGCATAGCCAGCAGTGGAGAAATAAATAGAAAATGAAATGCGATTATAAATGAGACAGGGCGAACAACCACGCGTCAAGGTATATCAGCAAAACCGCGGACAACATAATCTTCCCCTCGAATGGTCACCTTTTGTGATGGCTTCCTCCAGTTTCCCTTGCCTTCCAAAGCCGGTATAAAGTCACTCTTATTCTTCTGCATAGTAGGCAATTCTTTGCCTTCAGGGCCCGTGACAAATTTCTCAACCCATCCCCTCTTCCCAGCGAATTCCTCGTGGCGAATACTGACACCTTCCACATCTCCGAATTTCTGGAACGAGTATTCCCCATTCATCTGAAGGGTTCCGACAATGCGAGTAGGTTGACGGATAGCAATGTACACTCCGCCTATTCGAGCAAGAAAGGTTTCCACTTCCTTACTCTCTTCTGTCCCAATGCCGTCAGCGTTCTGTGTCAGAGATATATGTGAGCCGGCGCCCTCGAGAATCCATGCTATGTTCGACCCGGGGACGTGAACGATTTTGCGAGGTCTCCAGACTTCTTCGTACTGGCGCGGAAATGAACCTGCGGGATCGCCTGGACGAATCGAGGTGCCCACTTCTAGTTCGTCGCCGTTTGGCAATGCCGAAAACAGGCCGGTATCGATATGTTGAAAGGTGTTGCGCGAATTAATGGTGTGCAGGAAGGTGACTCTTCCTACGAGTATGCATTAATTATTTTTATCCTTGCGTAATTCCAGAGAAGGTAAAGAAAAAGGGGTAAAAGTCAACGGATGAGCAGGACCAGAAACATACTGGAGTCATTCGGATCTACGAGGCGCACACCGGCAATGGCCCAGTCTAGCTTCCTCGTCGCCTTCTCGACACGCAGATCCACGAAGAAGTTGTTCACGCTAATGACGGTGGTGTCGGTGTTTTCGTACGGATCCTCGGGTGGCCATCGTATAGACACTCTCTGTGATAGCGAGTACGCGTGTTTCCCCGCAAAAAGAGTCTGGGTCTTGATAGGGTTTTGGTACTGCTGGTACGCCTGCATCTTCGCCTCCCCTTCCCCTGCGTGCACAGCCTTGACGGTTGTCGTGGTTGACGCTGATGCGGTTGGTGCTGCTGCGATCGACCACAGGTGCTGCTACCTGCAATCGAGCATACGCCGGAGACACGCTTGCGGAAAATTCAAAACACAAACACACAAAACGCACAACACATGACCTGACTTTCGAACTGTGGCGGGCTTTGCTGGGAGACGGCGGATCGAGATCTGACAGCTTACGTTACCCCGCACTAGTTGGCTTAGGGTGCTCTCGGCTGGAGATCCTGGCTGGGTCACCGTCACTGGGTGTTTGCGGGGAGTCGCGCGGTCATTGGTGGACGGGCGGCTGGGGAGTCTTTTTGCCTTGGGTGCGATGCTGCTGGTGTGGGTTGTCGCTGTCTACGTTTTGCCACGGAAGAACGAGGCGAGGTGGTTGGCGATACGCAGGCACGCGAGGAATCTTAGCCCAGCCAGGCGGGCCCGTAGAGACCGACAAAAACAAACCAGGGCTAGTCCCGAAACAGGAGCAACAGCAACACTAGAGGCTAGCGACTAGTGAAGCAGCGAATAAAAAGGAAGCTGGCATTAACATGTAAAAAGGATAGGGGGATTTTACGGAGAGAAGAGGGGAAGAAGAGAGGGAGAGAAAAAGAAAGAGAGAGAGAGAGAGAGAGGAGAGTTCATCTTGATGTACTAAAGGAAGGAACGAAGGAAGCAGTGACTAGCGCCTGTGGTAAGTAGCAAGTAGCAACTAGCAAGTGCCTCCTGCTACACAGTGGGCAACAGCGGCAAGCAGGGAAGGTGCCAGCCCAACCAAGGCGGCTGCCTCTTCTTCTATTGTATCTAAGCGCTCTTTGAGCAATCTCCCTTTACATGCCTGTCCTCGTCTGCTATCTATGGTCGCATCTCGTCCAGATTCACCCACTTCTCTAGAAACGCATCCAGCTCAGATCGTCTGGCTGATCACGCCCTCCCCGCCGGATCGCAATGGCAAAATTCGGGTACCGGCTACTGAACTGACGCTCGGTGGTCGGGCCTCCAATATCGCTCCTCGAAGTCGCGAAAATGTGCCACATCATGCGGAAGCGGATCTTCCATGCGTTGCGCCGTCAGCTGCACCATCCGCACCATTCCCCTATGTAACGGCCATCGTTTGGCAAAGTGAACATGGTTCGCGCAAAGCTTCATGAACGCGACGTGGCTTTCGGGGTCCCGTAAATTCTCCATCAAAATGCACAGCGAGGTGGTAAAAAGTGGGCATTGGCAACTGGCCCGGGATCAGGGCCCCAACACAACTGCTGAGTTTCGGCGAGCCGACAGATGGTGCGAGCCGATGACAAGCATATTTGCTGTGCTCGACCCGCCGATTCCATAGCACGCTTATCTGCATTCGACGGCACGTTCTAAAGGAAAGCATATATCGTAATGATGGTGCTGTGATAATACATGCTGTGCAACAATTGTTAGAAGTGGCGACATACTGTCTTAGAAAGGCGAATACTCACGAAAGTGTCAAGTTCCCCGGCAATGGGTCCTTCTCACAGTCAATACATCTAGCTCGCATTTCCCAGCACTGGGAAAGGCGTGTATGCCAGCCTTGGACTGCATCGACCAAGTCGGCCTGAGTGTAGTCCCTCTTTTCTCGAAATAGAAACGACGCAATATCCCACACCACGTCTCCTATTTGTGACAAAGTGTCAAGAATACAATCATTATGAGCGGACAGTATCTCTTCCGATTGAGTATACGGTACCAATTCTCCTTCACGGGTGCCACAATGCTTTGGCACGCGAATACCGCGTAGCTTTTTCACCCCAGGTTTCGACTTGAAAAGCTAGGGCACTCGCTCTATATGTAGGCGTCAGCAGATTTCCAAGGTTCAAGGGTAAGGGTAATGGACCTACACGAAGATATTGAACTGACCGAGTTCAATACGGTCTATGAGCTGCCCGAGATCGGTAGTAGACATGTCGGTTTCGAGGACAAGGCGGGCTTGTCTTCTGCGAAGAGTTCGGATCCCTTCGGCAGCCTGAATGCTATACACCCATCCAGCACGATCTTTCCCCATCAAACAAGCACTGTCCCTTTATTAGGAACCTCCCAGTCAAAATGTCACACAAGAAGGAATTCATCTGTTTACCATTCGAACATAACTCCTAAGCCTTGTGGGATAGAGAAGCGACCCTCCTCATCGTCTAAGAGTCTTTTCGCCTCTGCATAGAAGCGATCGCCATTCGTCCTCGTATCGCCGTCGCAAGCTTCGAAACATTCAGAAAAAAACTATGACCAACCGATTCATTAGTAAAAGGGTTCAAGCGAGGGGAAATTGAAAAGATAAAAATCTCACACAGGCTTCAGCCAAGATTGCATTGACGAGGAAGGGTGAGCACAAGGGTGACTGGGGATTTTCTGATTGCATAGCTCTGACAAAAATCTCTTGATCGATGCAATGGAACCAAGGGAGGTGCCATGTGAGCCAAAGATAAATCAACTGAGAAACAAAGGCGTCGTCGTCCGTCACGGTTGTCCATGGCTTCGCCGAAACTATGACTTCTGGGGTCTCCGTCAGTATTGTCGAAGGGCGGTTTTGAAACTCTGGCGATTGTTCTCGGTCAACATACATATCTGTTGATTGGGGCGTTCTTCCAAATTCCGTTTGCTGGAGGTAATGATCGAGGCGTTGCCTGACCTCATCAGTACTGGCAGATGACCGGATGTAATTAACCAACTCGTCGACACGAGAATCCTGTCCTGTGCGAAGAGTTTCAAGCAGACGAAACAGCAACCGCCTGTCATTTTCCAGGACATCCATTTATCTCTTCACGTTGAGTTTCCGGCGCTGATCCCCTTCGGCATCGATCACACATTCTTGTTTCGTCTTCACGCAATTCTCGCACGGCGGTATACCACTACACTGCAGCCGTTATCCACACGCTATAGCTCGAACAGGGGAAGGGAGGTTGTAAGGGAAAAGAGAAAAGAAAAAAAGGGGGGCATTCATCTAATACCTTTAACTTTCGCGTTTTGCAAGCACGACATGCGGAGCTGACATTTTTTCGGGTCTTGCGCTTACTTTCAGAGGCTTCTGTACTCTGTGCCGCTTGTAAGATTGGTACCAGGGGAATATTCGATGACATGGCGGCGATGAGGTACTCTTGGGCACGGACGGCAATATGTCATGGTTCAAAAAGTCAAGAGGGCGACCCGGACGAATATCTTATGAGAAAAGTGAACACAATGATGATGCCCAGGGTGATTTTCTTGGGCTGCCCGGTAGGAATTCCTGCCTTGCCCTTCCTTGGGCTCCGCCGCTCAACATTACCGAGCGTGGATAACAACTTCGTGCGAGGACAAACCAGCTTTAGCAACGGGGATATAGTCTCCGCTCCAATCAGGCCAACACCGACAGCTCGTCCCCATCGATATGGAGATGCCGAAACGCTGATGAAGTATGATATTTATGTTATATTTTACTTTCTAGGGAAATAGACTCGCTGATGATTGAAATCCGCCCACTCATATTGGCCTATTATCATTGGCCTCGGATCGAGTAAGCCACATGGACCACACTGAGATCACCATGCAGTGCCAATCACTTGTCTTGGTATGCTAACAATGAATCGAACAATGAAAATTGAGAAACTTTTGAAATGCCATCGTTTAATACCACAAGAAAAGATTCATTGACGGAAGTTCAGACCGAGAGACGATCTTGAAGATCCACCTACAAGAAACGGAATGAGGAGTGAAAAGCGTTTCCGCTCCCTCGCTTTTAACGGCTAGAAGTATTTTTCAGCTACGCGATCATCCCAGCCATCCAAGTTTTGCCTCAATTTTTTAAAGGACTCCCTGTTCGACTATTTGAGGTTATACTTGATGCTGTAATTGCTTCACGGAAATTCAACGAATCTTATTCTGAGTGGAGAAATGCAAGGGAGGGTGAAGGTGGCTGGCAAGACCATTTACGGCCAACTAATTGAATGGCAGGTGTTGAGAGTCGTTTTCCCTCGTGATTAACTTGGCCTGTCAGGCATGCTGGATACTATTTTCTCGACCATGTACTGCCATATGATGTGAGTCCGATGCAGTAGCAAACAAAACCACGAGCAGTATGAGTTGGACGGGCATACAAGAGCATGCATATAAGATACATAAACTGATATAAGCCAAACCAGCCGGCAAAGAACATGACAAAGTCACAGGAGTTGTCGTCACTGGCTCGCGTGGAACATTGCCGCAACCTCAGACACGCGCGCACACCGAATAACTGGGATGGTGCTTAGTAATCTACTACTTGGTTGGACTGTGGTGTAACTACGTCAACTATACAAACGAGATCCTCATATGGACTAACATCGTATTTGTCGTATATATCGAATATATAGTGAAGTAAGAGGGGGTGATGATCGGGGCTATTTTAGCCAATGAGAATTGTTTGATATGCGTCAACGGGTCTATCCATCTGGGCACTATGCTCTCATAGCTTCACGTCCATCAACGAAATGGCCGCAGCATAGCAAACGTACTTAAATTAGAAGTTCCTTCGTGTTAGACGACATATTGTCAGATTCACTCTTGTTGAAATCTCCGGGGCAGCACGGGGAGTTAAGCAATTTAAGCTTTTACCCCCACGGGACTGAGATTCTGCAGGCAGCTTTTCCCCAATCACGAAGCATCAGAACAGCCGCCAGCTCTCACTCGGTAGAGATGATGGACATAAAGAGACTTACCCTGAGTTTCTCATAATTTTGTTCCTTCCTTCCTTTCTTTGCCTTTTCCTTTTCTGTTGTCTTCAATGGGTCCTGTCGATTCATCAGGTATAACTCGCCATGCCCCAGGACGGACAGGAAGCTGATGCTGTCAAAAAAAAAAAAAAAAAAAAAAAAAAAAAAAAAA